ATTTTCAAGGAAGCAGAGTTCAGGCCACCTGCGAAGATGTGGACCTTTCAGACCATGCTTCTCCTAGAACTCTTCGAGAAGATGTACAGCACCAGGGCACTGCACGAGAGGGCGCATATTCACCACGCCACCACACTCACCGTCATGCGCCGTGGCTCTTCGCTCATCGGACGTGGTGCCACTGATGAGGCAAAGGCACGCGAGGATCCTACCAGAACCCCACCTGGACCCGAGGGCAGCATCAATACCAGTGGCCAAAACACAGCAGATCCTTGGTGGAACAACTGGATCAGTAAAGAGGCATCCCTCCGAGTCGGCTATGCTGCCTTCGTCATCGATTCCACACATGCTGCGATGTTTGGACATGCGGCTGCCATGGCACCAGCAGACCTCGCGCTACAACTACCGTGCGACGAATCCATTTGGGCTGCACAGAGCGGCGCCGAAGTTATGCGTGCTGAAGGAAGTCTTAAAGCCAACGGCTTCCAGCGATTGACCTTCCAAGAAGGTCTCAAGAGAATCATGCACGGCAAACCAGTCCGCACTAATGTCTTTGGCCGTGTCATCTTGATGGCGGGCTTGTTGAATCTCAGTTGGCAGATGAATAGCCGAGAACTGCAAGCCAACACATTCTCGGCGCAGAACTCCATCGGCAACCCGATCAAGTGGCGCCTGACCTTGTGCCATGCGTTTGACCACTGGCGTAAGGACTTTGACGAGAGTCTGGTGAAAGCCGAGGCGACTTCCGACCCACCCGTAGACTTGGGCAACAAGTCGAATTGCCACAAAGATCATCGCGACAACGTGTTCGAATCCAGAACCTGCCTGCACAGCCTTGCACACATGGCTTTGCATGCAGAAATTGTCGACGTTGAGGTACTGGCCGGGGCAGATCGTGTATTGGGACGAGACATCCTCGATGTAGACCGGGTTGTCGTTCGACAACGCATGCAGGAATGGGCATCAAGTCCGCGCGCGCGAGATGCCGTGTTCTACGCGATGCGGTTCCTTCGTGAAGTCTTGATGCCAGATCCGGAATCATCGACACCGCATACTGGACGGATGCGGTTCAAGACAGGAATTCCATACAGTGCGAGGGATGATTATTTGCTGAATCGTCCGTACATTCTGTACTATGCCTGCATGGTCGTCTGGGCGTACGGATATTTGCTGGATGGGCCGATCACCGATCGAAAATTCGACCTGATGACAGTCGAAGCGCAGGTTTGGGACATGCAGCAATTCCTGGGTGTTCTTGATAAGATCAAAGATCCTAGCGAGCTCGACAACGTGACGAATCGCAATCGCGTGATCGGTCTGCTCGTCTTGATGCGCGACTGCTTCGAGACGCCTCGGTGGGAACTGCTGGAAGAATCGGCGCGCCAGCTCGGATTGTGTATCGAAATGCTGTGTCCTGGATTTAATCAGGAACTGAAAGAATATCGTCAATCACAGGAACAGCAGCAGCAACAACAATACGAGCAATACGAACAAAACAACCAAGTGCATGGAAGTCGGATGGGAAAATAGCATAACTTCTTTTTTTGGGGAGCGAAACTGATGATAACATTATCTTGTCAAAAACAGAAAAAGCACCACAGGGCGGTTCATCTGTGCAAAATTGGTGCATTGGGGGAACTGGGAATGGGTTCGGGATCAAAAATGGGAAATTGGGAAGGGCGTTTTTACGGTACTTGTGTGTGGGAAGTCCTTCCTTTTGGAAGACTTGATGGGCGGCATTTGTGATACCCTGGCATCGATGTGTGTCTCGTATTTTAGTTTTTCGCGAATGCTGCTTTTTGCGCTTGATCGTTGGGCGACGGTGGTTGTTGGTTGTGGATGGTGTACATTTCCGACACTAATCACGCGGTGGCAGGCGCGCGCGAGAGCTTGTTGTATGGCGATGTTGTAGGTAGGAGCAGGAGGACGAGATAGCGAAATCTTCTTCTGATTGAATAAATCATTGTCGAAGTGATGCAATTTCGTGCGGTGTGATGGTCTCGTATCTTTGCGTAAGCGTGTTGTGCTGAGCCGTTGGATGTCGATGCGACCGAGTCGTGTCTGCTGAACCCAATACCAATGCGCGCGAATTGCTGCGTCGCACGTGCAATCACCCGAAAGTCGGCGAGTACATCGTCAGGTCTTCGCGCACACGATTCCGTCAGCGCTGAAAGATGCCGCGGTAACTTCGTGAGATAAATAGCATGCCGGGACTGAATGAGACATATGTATATTCTCAGAACCGAGGACATCAAGGTGAAAAGCATGTCCTACTTTAGGGCGGTCGGGAGGGAGAGTTTTTGAATAAGGCAATAGACGGATACGATACCCACGTGCTCTCAGCTCTCTCTTACGCCCAACTTGCGGTGAAGGTACCTACCTGGTTTGACTGGCGTGATGATGCGAGATAGTGGTGTTGATAGGCTGTCGGTAAGCCTTATCGGTGTATCACATCATCTGGTGACCTGGAAATTCGAATGTCGTTACTCGGCTTGCAGTTGGTTGCACAAGCGTGTGTTTGGCTGGAGCACCCTTTTTGCCCTTCCTGTTGTGCGACGTGTGGAGGTTTGGCAGGGGTATGCTGGGTTGTCAATATTGATGTGACTTTCTGTCAAGTTTTTGCTTCACTCCAGTCTGAGAACGTTGTTGGAAATTGCATCACGTCGGTTCACATGCCTTCACACCAGCGATGGCCAAAGTTCATGATGCCGTGTGAATGCAACGGCCTCCACTTGCGATCAAGATCATTCAACAATTTATCACCAGGCTCCTGGTGATAGAAAGGGTATATCGAAGAGCGAGCCTCATCGCCTGATCAGTGAACATGCGCATTTGCCCTTTGCTCCATGTGGATAACAGACGCGCCTATAGACTGCATCGAGGGTCTGCTTGCGGCATGGGTGCGATATGGTCATCGCAGCTAATAGCCGCCATGGGGACAGTAATGGAGGGCCAGCATTAGCACTACACACGGCTTCATGCCATGGTGGTGCTCCCTGTCGCTATAGCTGACCGTCGAAGACCGAGCTCAAGAAGCTACCCAGCTAGACGCGCAGCAGTGCCCGCGTCGTATCATGTGCGATGCCATACGACAGCCGCTCGTCGTGCAATTGAAAGATCAGCAAATGCTCTTGGGATTGCTCAACGGTTTCCTCGTGACATGAAGTTCCTTGGCCGTTGAGCGATTTGCCAAATCAATGTGACCAGAATGCCCGGCACAGCTCTGCAAAGGCTCCGCGCCCTGGACTTACTCGCCAAAAAGGCAGTGTAGGATGCAAGACCATCCTCTGACCGTTTGTAAGTCAATATGGACAACTGCAGTCTGCAGTCCATCCGTGGCTCCATAGGCGCGGAGACGACGCCGGAGCGATTCCGGCCACAATGAGGGTGGGGAAGCAGACAGAAGGATGGATGCGGATGTCGAGAGTAAATATTGCCTGCTGTCGTTCTCACAGCTGAGGTCCAATGGTACGGATGCAGTGGTGTGGTTGTTCCAATGTGTCGTCTCTCATGCTCGCGTGCCACGGCTCCGTAAAGCTGGTTCGTAGATCAGCTCGAATCGCCGATTTCTGTGCATATTCTGTTGATCCATTGCCCGGATAGGAGAACGCGCGGTCGAAGAGCACAATTCACAACAGTCGCGAGCCAGGTTGCTGGGCAATTATGGTTGTTGGATATGCATAGCTGCACCTCCTTTGCCATTGCCTTCGACTCCGGACTGATAGGAGCATCGGGAACACATTCGAGCCGGCGAGCTCTTGCGCTGAGTCCGCGGGTTGGACTTAGCCGTACGGCACTGAAATTGGACAAGAGTCTTGGTGACGAACACGCGAACTTCATCCGCCAGGAGCACTAGAACACGCGAGAAATAGCGGGGCAAGAGTCTAGTCTGGGACAGGGGATCTACAAACGCGTATACTGTGCGTGATGGATGTCATGGAGCTCTTTCCGCGGTCATGTTGGGACACACCACTGGCAGTTGTGACTGTGACCGTGATGTGCTTGCTCTTCCCCTCGAGCTGCTCGCTTGACTGCAGCTGCTGCACCACAGCTGCCTCCGCACGCTGAAACGTAGCTCAAAGTATACCACATGCAGTACCTTAGCCTCCTTAGCCTTGGCTTCTTCAGTCCCTCGCCCTCGCTTCGCCTCGACAGCCACGAGCGACGTCCCGTAATTCCCGCCAACGCTCATCGCAGAGCTTTGACGGCATTGATGAAGCGGCACAGTATCGGTTCGCGTGGCACTCGATCCGCGACGAGGGCTCACGGGACGGCGCTATCAGACACTAAGAGCGACTGCTCCAGGAGAGAAGTCGGAGAGAACAGCTGGCGGACGATGGTGTAGCAAGTATGTACCCGCGGCGGCCGCATATGACTGCTGTTTCAGCGGGAGCTCAAGGATGTCATCGGGGCGCTGCTGAGTGCCCTAAAAAGTGCAGCAAAATGGTTCGCTCCAGCATGGTGCCGTTGACGCGCAGTAGCGAAGCGCGCAGGCCAGCCGGTGGGAAGCAGGACAGCGCTGCTAACGACGACGGCGCCTTTCTGCCGCAAGCCTCGTCGCGCATGCGCAGCACGCACGCAGGTGCGAGATGGTGGGCTCGGCACGGCAGTCCTCCACCCTCACCTCGCCCTGCAGCAGTCCGCTCCGCGCAGCACACATCTGGTTGCGGGCGGGTGCAAGCATCCAATATTGATCCCAAGAATAGGCCGACGTTGACGACGGACGAGGGAACTCGACTGCCTGAACCGCTCCACCGCACACACCTGCAGTTCTCGTTCTGGGCAACACCATATTAAAATATCCAGGATATGGCCGATCTGCCCCCTGCGTCGGCTGTCAGTGCCAACGTGCTGAGACTCATGGCGATCTGCCGGCAACAGCACCACACTTTCATCACGCTCGCACTTGCAGGCCCGCGTGCAGCACTGCCCGTTGTTTCCTTGCTCGAGCACTGGCGGACTGGGTCTATTCACATGCTACCCACAGCCTCCCTTTCGTCATCCACTCGACGGGCCACGACGGGTGATCCCAGCCTGTCTCAGAAGGGGCCCATACCACAAATTGAGTTATGGCGCGAAGGAGCTAAGACAGAACCTTGGAGCTTAGCAAGTTAGTAGCCATGCGACGGGAAGAGGAGTGGCCTTTTCCTTGATGCCCTTTAGATGACCTCTGGTCTATCATCTGGCCGCCAACATTCCTTCACTTGCTGCTGCCTCTGACAATCCTAACTAGCAAACTTCCACCAAGGCCTCTTCTGCAGGTCACTGAATCAGCATTCTTGGGCAGCATCACATCATCCTGAAACGTCGTTGCACAGCTGCTCGCTTTCGTGCATGCGCAGGAAGGACTAAGCCGCACCTGGACCTTCGCATAACACTGAACGGGGCACTCGTTCAGATCATAATACCAAGATGACTATGGCATATCCGCGACCGTCACCCGCCTTCTCAAGACCTTCATACATGGACAATCTATACAAAGACACGTCATATAAAGATGTTCCAAACACACCTCCAGCAAGTTTGCATTCCTACAAGAGCAGCATATCCACCACCAGCACTGCCTCGAACTACAGCCTACGATCAACATACCAAGCCACCAGGCCTCTATCGCCGCCAATTGAGGAATCCAGCAGTGACAACATCAGTATACGCAGCAAGAAGTCATTCCTGAGCCCAAAGAGAAGGTTTCGCTTTGGAGGCTTTCTGCAGCGGAATCGCCACACCTATCCGCAAACCGCAGAGCACCCGGAGCCCGTACCTGTACCTATTGCGAAGCCTGTACACGAGCTGGCTCCTGGGTCTCCTACAACACCGCCGGCTTCCGCTCCCACATCTCCTTGCACAGAAAGCCCAGTCGTGCCTGTGCAACATCGACCCTCATTACCCAAGCTCCAAACGAACTTCAGCCCCGCAAGTTTTGGACCACCTGAGGCTATCGACACTTATGAGAAGAAAGCCCTACCAGCACTGCCTCCTGCTTCAAAATCACCATCTCGGCAACCTGCGCGAACGTTATCACAATCGCGACCTTCGATGAGACGTCAAAAATCCGCCGCTGAGCTTAACAGCCAAGGGGCCGAACGAGGCTGTCATAAGTGCTACTACTTTGCTGCACGAAATTGCAATGGCTACGTACTAGGAGGCGATCCTGGGGACGCGTGTGAGACGTGTCTGGTGAGTAACACATTATCGATACGCTTCCATTTATCTGAAAGCTAACGCTCCTCATCAGGCCGCAGGTTTCTTTGGTGCGAAATGAAACGGCCGATTCACGAATCTCTTTATTCTCTCACATTGATGACCATACTTTTTTTGCACATTCATGCATGGCGTTGGCAGGATACTGATACTTGGATTGGGACGCGGGGAAATTTGTAAAGATTTTGTGACCCACATGGTCTTTGAGTTTGGGACTTTGGGAACGCATTTGCTTCCCACTTCGCTTCTGTATGACACGATATGACACGAGGAGGAACAACGCCGGCGATGGCGAGAAGAAAGCCGGCGAAAGAACACGGCACCGCATGTGCGCACAACACGATTCATTGTGGCGTGGAGAGAGGCACCGGCCGGTCTCCAAGAGGCTGACCGGGGAGAACTGCGGTTCACCGCATTGCATGGCATACAAACAAGACACACCCGCCGACCGGGTCAAAGCACAATTTGAAGTGCATCTACCAAAACGGACGACGAGAGCCGCTTTGGAACCAGGGATTTCCTGGATATGGAGCCGAACACATTTACCAAATAGTACAGACAAGACAAGGAAAAGCGGTTGTTGTACTACAACTCTGTATACGGCGAAAGTGATGATGTTGTTCTCCTATGAAAGTGACGCGTGTATTGCTGACCCCAAGACATCGACCGTCTCTGCTGTCTTTAGTTTTTGCGGTCTTCTCTCCCTAGGAGGTACTACTCCACAATTTGAAGCGGAAGCATCCTGTCGTGAAACACGGCAAGAACGCCTGTTCGCGCCCTCATGTCGTCACGCTTTCCCCGTTCGTTCGACTCTGTTGCAGAGATCCCTACTCAGATCTTGTTGGATGCCAGCAGCTCCGCGATCCCCAAAGATGTTGTGGCTGCAAGGATCTGTATATCGCAGACGTTTGGTCTTTTCTTTTCTTGGGCGGCGAGGTCATCCGGACAGCGTTTTGTCTGTCGTTGAATACGGTATAGGCGTATTTCTGCAGCCAGCCTCGCGGGTGGCTTCGAAATATGGAAGGCTTATCGATGCGTCACTGTGGATTTGGTAGACTTCTGTCAGACAGAAGACTGTGAGACATGGTTTTGGCGTTGGCGAGGATCGCCGTGAGATGCAGCCATGCGAAGTGGCTTTATCTGTACTACAGACTGACTGATACGAGAGATTCTAGATGGCTCTGGATCGATTGCGCTTGGTCTGTATCGTGAAGATGAATTCCAGAATCAGGCGCAGAATCCGATGCATGCGAGGAATTGAGATTAGCTGCATCGGCTCTAAGAGAGAGCTGAAGTTGTTACTTTGCAATGGAAGCTTATCGCACTGCTGTAAATGATGGAACATTTTCGTCGCTTCTTGAAGCGTGTCTGCTACCAACTCTAACGAGAGTAAATGTTGTTGATGCTTTCAACTGCTTCCACCAACATGGATAGAGGCCCTCATCTGCGCTTGCATGAGGACCACTTCGTAAGACTTCGCACTTCAATCCTCCTCCCGCCATGGCAACAAGACGTAAAATTTTGCTCCGCGAAAGATTGTGCCCCAACCTCTCACCCCTTGCCCTTCCAATCATGGAAACAAAAATGCCGTCGATGGCCCAGGGAATGTCAAATGGCGTAAGTTCACCGACCGCAAACTATCCTATTGCGTGTTTGCAGTCAAGGGGGAACATTCGCAAGGTCCAGCACATGCAACACGAGTGGGCTCACTCGGTGCCCTTCGACGAAGTATCTCAGACCGCAATCTCTTCTCAATGCGCGGATCCGCTATCGCCTGCTTCGGCGGGAACATTTCAGCAGAAATCACCGCCTCCTTAACGAGATGGCTTTGTATCGGGTTCCTTCCTAGCCATATGCAACTTCTGATTTCAAGGTGGATGGTTTCGTAGTTCAGCCAAGACCAATCATTTGCCATGTTGAGAAGACCACGATAGCATCCCATATTGTGCATCATGAATGTGTGGATTCGTATCTGTGGTCGAGGCGTCGGGCCAGAAGTGATGCAGCGAACGAAGTGAAGGAGCTCTAGGAAATCGAAGCGATTGATGTATGCCGAGAATTCGTTGTTGGCGTAGAACATTGCGAGGCTTTCCGATCGAGTCTGTCGCGAGACGCGTGTGATGGCAGGCTGAACAGCGAGAGTCATGTGGTTGTCGACATAAGGCGAGGTGATGAAGAGTCGCTCGTTGCGCTCTTTCGAAGGTAGTGCGAGCTCGTAGATGATGTTGCGGATCTCTGGCGGGAGCTCGAAGAACGTCGCTGTCTGCCGTGCGCATGGTGTCGCTATTGTCATCGCCGCCATCTTGCCTGGAAAGTCGTCTAGCGCAGCGCGCTCAATCTTGGAAAGCATGACTGGGTGCGATCGATGTCAACGAAGTCGCGATGTGAAGTAATGATCAGTCTTTGTGTGGGAGACGAGAGGTATGGTAGTACGAATGGCTGCTTGTTACTCCCGTGGTCGATGTTGAAGTTCGAGGCCGCACGAAGTAAGAAGCTCAGGCTGCAGCCGTTGAAGAGCAAGTGCCGTACAACATGCAAGAGCAAGAGCGCGCGCAAACAAAAACATCGCTTTTCTTCAGCCATCCACATAGCTCGACAGCCGTCCCATACTGAATCGCTTATCGTTCGGAGATGTAATGCTCAACCTCTTCGTCTCATCCGGCGCTGGTGTAACCGGTCGACTCAGGTCCTTGTTGAACAGCGCGACACTGTCCCTCACAGCAACATACTCAGAGTCTGCGTATCCGATGATTGAAGCGATCTGACTGCTTCTGTGGCCTGCGATTCTCTTGATCTCAATGGCGGAGTAGTTGACAATGGCTTTACCAACCTCTTCGCCCTCACTCAAGGGCGAATTCCTCGTTGGCAGCACCACGATGCGAACGCATTCATGTTGACCAAAGTGGCCTTCGACGTCCACGACACCAACAGGGAGTAATCCGTTCTTCGACTGCAGAGCTGTGTAAGCTCCGTGATCCACATATACCGTTCCGTGCGCCGCGAGGCCATGTAAGAGCCAAAAATAGCGATCTCTGATCGGATGCGGATCTGGTAGAAACCGGGTGTGCAAGGGAGGAAGTCCAGGCTCTTCAAGTTTGAGTGCGCCATTTCCGTTGACGACTGGCGTAGTATGGAGTGCCGGCTCATGGGACGCCAACTCACCGCTTTGTTCCATACTCTTCGCTGCCGCCTTTTGAGCTTCCGCGTGTCTGACAATCGCTGCGATATTTCCCGGCTTACTACTCCTGGTGATGACTGTTGTCACACCAGCTGCAGTAGCCAGTCTTGCAGCCACGATCTTCGTGCTCATTCCACCTGTGCCGAGCGAACTTCCTGCACTTGAGGTATCCGCAGCCAGCTCAGCGATGTCCTCCACCACCTCTATTGCCTTAGCATCTGGATGATTTCGAGGATTCTTGTCATATAAGCAATCCACATCCGTCATCAAGAACAGGTAGTCGGCATGCACCATGCCTGCTGTTATGGCACTCAATGTATCATTGTCTCCAAATTTGATCTCTTGCACCGAAAGTGTGTCGTTCTCGTTCACAATCGGTATGACTCCCATGTGTAGTAATTCGTGGAAGGTGTTCTGTGCATTGAGGTACTGATTTCGATCGGCAATGTCGTTCCTCGTCAAGAGGATCTGAGCTACAGGCTGCCGCATGTGCATGAACAGCTGGTCCCACATGGCCATGAGCTTGCACTGTCCTATTGCTGCCAGCGCTTGGACTTGTGGGAGGAGTTTGGGCCGTCGCTCCATGTTCATTTGCCGTAGGGCCATGCCAATGGCTCCAGACGAACAAATGACTACCCGATGTCCGTCATGGCGAAGACTCATTGCGGTTTCGACGATCGTCGAGAGGGTAGAGAGGAGAGGCTCATGGGTCTTTTCGTCCACTATGGAGGATGTGCCTAGCCCACTGTCAGCACATCATAATCCTGCATACCATTGCCTATAGTCTTTACTAGTGCTGTACCGAGCTTGATGACGACCGTCAAGTGTTTCTCCTTCATCTTGACGGTTTCCTGAGGTGTCCGGCCACCTATTCCTCCACTGTGTGAGTTGTGTAAGTCGAGGCTGCTGCCATTCGCCCGCAGGGTGGTGGGAGGTTCTCGTAGCTCCATTTTAGCTGGGGAGTAGTCATGTTTTTGGGGAATCCATCGAAAGCATGTGCATTAGCCTGTGACAATCTGCCCTGCCAAGGCGCGATATCGGGGTTGGTGCTTCCGCATTGAGGCGCACCTTCCCTCCCGACCAGCCGCATACAGACACCGTCAACACGAACACACCGTGTGCGAGCACTGTGAATGGAAATACCGAAGTAGCGGTGGAGGTCTAACTCAAACAATTCGCAGGGGTATCATCGCGTAAGAATTGGTCGCTATGCAATAATCACGTCCAGGACCGAGTCCAACCACTCATCATACCATTGTCTCTTTCGTTCGCCCACGAGAGCATCGATCATCAGCTGCGTAGCAACTTTGTTGCTCTCACCTCCTGCGGCCTTTCCATCCTCTTGTTCTCTCCATGCTTTCTCTGCTGCTTCTGCTGCCCTCCTAATGGCAGCTTCTTCGTCCTCATCACCATAAAGATCGCAGCGCTCACATTCCGCGCATTTGCCTCCATTCGGTCGGAAGTGCTGGCAGAAATGTGCATATCCTTCTCGACTGGTGATCTCAGATCGACAGATGTAGCACATCGTATAGCCGCAATTGCAAACGAGTTTGTTGCAGCCGGAAGATTTGACGAAGCTAAGCATGCATTTCGGGCACGTGCGCTTGACTGCAGCTGTGGCCGAGGTCTCGATCGCTGTCCGCAACGAAGTCTTCTCTGATTCGAAGCAATTATGCGGATCGTTCCATAGAGCGGTGCAGCGGATGCAGGATATACGTAAGCATTTCGGATGTCGACATACGAATTTGAGATTCTGTCGCCGCTTCTGGATGCGAAGGATGGATCGATCCAATACTGCAGCAGCAGGTGGGATCAACCGGATGAGAAGCCAAAGCGCGGAGCCGAGGGCGAGAAGAGGTGCTGTGAAGAGCGATAGTGCCATGATGAAGGTAAGGAATATGAGCTGAACTCCCGGTGGCGCATAGCGAGCAACATGTTCCCAAACTGCCATCGGTTGCTTCAGTCGTGGTTTTGGATATTCTTGAATCTCAGCATAGCTGCAGAAAGGGCAACGTTGAAGTGAGAGGCCACTCTGTAGAAGGGCCTCGCTCGACACACGTGCCTGGAACTCATTCCACACGTCCTCGTTATCCTGACCTTCTGTCAATGCTCGATAGAGGAGGGCCTTCGGTATGTTGCCCGGACATTCTGCAGAAGCAAAGCACCGGACTGTCGCGATCTTCATGTCTGCCGCTCTTGCCCAACCTTGACCGTATAATGCTTCGTTGACTGTTCGTTTGATGCATTCTAAGCAAAGCACATGGCATGCGTCATCACAAGTGGCCAGCTTCTCGAATGTCACCGAGCTGTAACAACACTCGCAATCGAAAAGAGCCTCGAGCTCTTCTGCCTCATCCTCGTTGAGTTTGCTCGCCACTTCGTAATCGATGCGCGCACGCTCTTGTTCTTGCTTCTTTAGGATGGGCGCGACAAACAGCTCATGCAATTCGTGGTCAAGCTGTGAACTGCCTGTCCGCCGTACCGCAGGAGCTGGGGAAGCCTCACTATCTCCCAGGCTCTGCCAAACAATAAAAGGATGATTGCGAACTTCTGTAGCATCATCTGTGGCTCGCCTTGTCCAAAAACTCGTCAGGGAGAAGCGCCATGATTTCGCAGCCACTTGCTGGAGCACCGGTCTTGCCAGCGTATATGAGAAATTCTGTTCCGCAAGCACGCCTCGGACTGTCGACTTGCTGAGCGTCTTGAATTCCTGATAGAATACTTGCTTCACTGCATCCTTATACGCCTCGCTTCGAAACAACTCCACGTCTCGCGGACGAGTCTCGACAGCGGCAGTAGTAGGAGTAGCAACACGCTTCGTCCCACGAGGAGTTCTGTACCGCCCTTTGGCCCACTTCGCCTTCTTGACCAGCAAGTGCTCCGTAACGATCTGCAGACGACTCTCCTCGCTCACGCTTACGAGCATTTCTCGAAACACCTCAGGTTGAACATCAGGGAAGATATCGACCAAAGCCAGTAGAGCGGAGTTCAATTCTCTGAGATCAGGTTCATCTTTCTCCTCTGTCGTTTCCTCAGGTAGCAGAGTGGGGTCATAGAGGGGTGAAATGCCCGATCCGGAAGGATTCTTGTTATCCTTGTCTGTAGCCTCTTGTGCCGCTGCACTCCTGAAAGGTCGAAAGAAGTCTGCTTTGGTCTTCCAAAGGCGACCGGACTTTGGCAGAGGTACGTGGTCCATGAGACTTCCTGTATGTCATTCGATCCTCTCAGTATAGTGATGTGGCATGGCATAGTCACTATGTCAACATGTGAGGCCGCAGTATGGATGGAAGTTGGCAACTGCGCCACAGAACTTTAATCAAATGTCTTGGCGATCATGCAAGCAAGCAATTTGTTCAACCAGTTCTGAGCAACGACAAAAGATTATTGCTGTACGAGGGCAAGGTCACGACTTAAGTCTCTGAAAAGATCTCTCATGATGAAGTGAGAGGAGTTTGCACTGTGTTGAGCTAAGATGATGCTGCGTCGAGCTAACGTTTCCGAGCCACCGAGGAAGGACAGCCTCGACAGCGTTGCGATAATGATACTTGCTCTAAGCTACTCGCATACACTCGTAAAAAGCTGGGTATCCGATGTCATCATCACAGCCATCCATCTCGTCAGCTCATATTCTCGTCGTGCCCCGAATCTGGCAACGACAGATCCAACCGCTTCATTCGTCAGGACTGGAACAACAGCCCAGCCGCGTACTCAACGTTGCCATCGCATGCATCCAACGCTGCAACAGCTTGCTGCCGAGAGAAACCGAGACTCTGCAGTTGCTCGATCTTCTCCTTAGAGTGACCAGACGACGCTGCTGGAGCCGGAGCTGCTGCCGGCGCTGCAGGTGCTGGCCGCTGTGTTGAGGCACCGCCACCCAGCGTCTGGCCTTGCCCCTGGAAAGACCCGCCATTTGGTTGCGATGATGAGGAAGCTGCTGCAGCGGTTCCAGCTGGCTGAACGGTGCCAGATTTGGCCCCAATCTCAGTCCCATTTGGTCCTTTGATGGTTGGCTCCGCAGCCTGCGCTTCCTCAAAGTTCTTGGGAATATCAGCTTCTCCTAAGAAGGTGACCTCGTTGCCGTCGCCGAAGATGAGCTTGTTCTGCCGAAGATCGATGACGGCCTGGAAACGTTTAAGCATATCGAGTCCGAGCAAGAGGTCGACATCCTTGCCCTCCATGACGGTGAAGGAGCAACTCATGGTCTGATTGCCAATCTTGATGTCTGCAGAGTGAACTCGACCCAAGATCTGTGCCGTACCGACACCCTTTGCAATGCCCGAATAGCGCTTGTCGATCAAACGCATGATGCCGCATGCCTCAGCACAGGAGGGTGACATGATCGTTGTCTGCGCGCCGGAATCCACAAAGGCCTTGACTGGCTTCTTGTTGACCTCAACAGGTACGTAAAGCATCGTGACTCTCCCGAAGACTGCCACTAGTGTTAGTACCTACGCAAGATGCACGATCGTTGACCATGACTTACCCTCCGGGTTGTGCTCATAGGCGAATTGGAGATTCTCCTGCACTGACTCTTGCCGAATCATCTCCTCAATCTTCTGTTGTGCCTCGATGTTGAATGGGTCCTCGTTCAGAAGCCGCATCTGCTCTTGTCGCTCACGTTCTCTATCCGAATCTTCTCTGATCATCTCTTGCCACACCTCGCGGAATCTGGTCTGGTCATGAATCGCTGCGGCCAAAGCTGGTCGTTGTTCTCTGATCTGGGCCATCGCGCCTGGGTTGGCTAGGATATTTTGACGCGTACTCTCAATCTCTTCCGTGTTGTTTGGCGGGCCTCGCCCTCGGGCACCTTGCTGAGGCCGCCGTTGAGCGCCCATGTTGTTCTGTTGTGGTCGACTCATGAGCATAGCAATCAGATCGCCATCCTTCACTCCCGCTGCGTCTAAGCTCTTGCTGTCGTCTTGGAGAGCCTGATTGTTCAGAAAGAACTGCTGTGAGGCTTGGGGAATTTGGGTCTCTGCAGTGACGAAGCCTTTGAGATCGGCGACGGAGAGTTCGGAAGGAAGGTCCAGGTTAAGGAGCTCCTGGTCGAGTTGGTGGTTCGGAGCGATGATTTGTATAGTAATGCGCGTCCTGCCATGATGGCACACAGGTTAGCAGCAGGTCGTTGCGGAGTGGCACAGGCATGCTCTGGCGGTGAGACCATCACATAGCGACGGGAGCGCAGGCTCTTGTATCGCGGCTAGCTGTACTCACATGTTGCCTGTTCAGTGGGCTTCAGGCCCAGAATTCTTGCTGAGGTCGTACGTCCTTGCTCGAGCTCTTATGCAAGTCGCCTGAAGGAGCAGTGTGTCTGGAATGCCGGCAACAGCAGCGTCACACCCGCCTGGGGGATTTGCCTGCGACGGAGACTAGTACTGCGAGATCGTTTGGCTCCGCGTCGTTGCAACTCGAGAGCAGCGAAGAGGGTCGGTCAGCTGTGGATGGCACGGTTACCGCGGTGTGGCCGATGGGGTGTCCAGGTGGCGGCTGCTTTGGGATGAGCGGGGCGGCGTCAGGCGGCGATGGTGTGCGTGTCAGAAGCTGCGCGAAGACTGAAATGGGTGAATGGTTTTGATGATGCTGGGAAAAGAAGCTGGCGACCCCCAGGCAGCTCTCGTAATCGCGGCGCCGAACACAGTGGAAGATGATGGCATGCGAGTGACGACGGCTTCACTTGACGCTTCACTTTACCGTTGCTATTCACGTGGCACTGCTGTTGTCGGTGAGTCTGGCGCAGCGCTGGCCTGGCCGTCTTGCAGGATCCGCACGCCTGGATAATCAATATCGCCTCTGATCATGCGCGTGTCTGCAGCGAGACTGCAGACGTGATCGACCCCTCGCCCGAGTCAGGGCAGCCGCCACCAACGCAACCACATTCGGCACTCGCATCGGTCGAACCCGTCCCGAACCCGCCTGCTCAGGTCCAGAGCGGGGGGCATCAAGCATCGCATTGGACAGACTTCTGCAAAATATATTACCTCGTTGATAGACTTCACCACTCTTCGGCCGGACGCCTCTGGGCACCATATACAGTATACACGGATAAGCGAGCCTGCATATACACGCTACTGCACTGCACGACATTGGCAGGCCGCAGGACGACGAACGTCACCCGTATGACAGAGCACTCCTAGGCATCGTCTGCGAGGATAGTTGTTGCACAGTTGCGCGCCGTGCATACAAAGAAGCCTTTCGCGCCGCCGCCGCCATGCCTCGTGATCTGTCTTCGCTCCTGTCACAGGCGACAGACGACACTCTCGACAGCATGCCTCAGCTGTCAAGTCAGAAGCAGGAGGGTCCGCCGCTGCAAACCCCATTTCTTTCATCCAACGACGACGATCAGGACCAGGATTCCGATGCCACCGAATACATGGACGAATTGGGGCAGAGCAATGAGAAGCGCGACCCTCTCCATCCCTACACGCAGACCCTCTCGCTTTCCGATGTCGAAAGCTGTGTCCGCCTAGAAGACGCCGCCTTTCCGCCAGCTGAAAGAGCCTCTCGGGAAAAGGTCAGTGTCTTTACTGTCACGAACGCGCCACACGTCGTTGTGGTGACATGTTGGTGATACCTTCCCGCGGTATGCGTTGTCTTCTGCTTCCGTAGCGTCGTGCTGTTCTGTCTGACAGGACGGCGGAGCCGATGAAATGTTTGAGACAGGGCGCTTGGCCGACCTCTCAATTCCTCGAAGATCTTCGCTGAGTTGGCAGCTCTGCACAACATCACGTATCATGCAACATCCACTTTCTTCCTTGCATTTTGGGCTTCAATGGCACCACTTCTTGCTTGTACCACGACACCGCGTTTCGGATACATAGCATGACACCTGCGCATTCCCAAAATTGAAATGCACTATACGCCTTCGATTTGATGTCTGCACCGAGCCACTGTTTTTGATTCGAGAACAGTGCAGCTCGTACGGAAAAGTGGCACACAACATGCTGACAGCTCTCTTCGTAGTTCCAATACCGGTTGAAGAATTGCGGCGAGCTGAGCTTGGGAATCTTCACCTCAGAAGAGAACTCCGAAGCAACGACCGCCTCAACCGCGTCACCAGCCTGGAGCGGAGCTCCGGAGCGCAAATCCATCCTTCTGGGGCATATTGTATCGACAATGACCACCAGTTCGACAGTCACAGACGATGATATGAGCATTCCCACAGCCGACAATCCAGACTCCAAGCTTGGCCACAAGCCTGAAGGTCGGACGGTCTGCATACACAGCCTGGCGGTCCTGCCAGAGTACCAAGGGCGCAGTCTCGGTGGCACGCTCATGAAAGCCTACTTGCATCGACTAAAGACTCAGAGTGTCGCAGATCGAGCTGCTCTCATTGCTCACGACCATCTACTACCGTACTACGAACGATTTGGCTTCAAGAATCTCGGGCCGAGCAAGGCGCAATTTGGTGGTGGAGGATGGTACGATATGACTGTCGAACTGGACGCCCTAGAAGACGATGAATGATCGTTTTTGTCCGCCATGCTTGTGAAACTGCTAGATTGAGATCTAGTGAAATTTGGAAACTGCAGCAGCACTTGCGTGCCTGACACTTGCAACAGGCCGGCGCTCTCCATGCCAGCTGCTAGAACCGCTTTGGGACGACACATTCGATCAGGACCACGTTGATACCATATTGCAGTTGGAAAATTGCACATTCACCGAAGATCTATCAACATCGCCTGCACCAAACGCAGCACAGCTGGGTATCTCGCTCACATGATAATCAAGATGACCTGTACACATCTCTCCAGAACCCACTTCCACACGCTCTCAATAACTGTCCTGCCGCCACGATCCACGTACCTTCTTCCAATCCTCAACATCTTTCTCGCCCTTGCCAGTAAGACCAAGACCTCGTTCAACCCACTCCTGACTTCCCATCTCACTCAATCTGCTCAGTGCACGAGCGAACGCGAAAGCTTCCTCGTCGCCGGTGAAAAAACTACTCTTCTTCATGGAATCCATATTCATTCCCAGATCATCCATCATCATTCTCATTGCATCATCAACATCAGAGCCTGGCTTCTGTGGTTCTGTATTCTTCTTCTTTGCAGCATCTTTCACTCTTCTATCCGCATCGGCAGTGTTTGCAGCTTCGTCAAGCATGTTGTCGATTTCGTTCCTGCTCATGAAAAGTTGAGTCAGAGGTACTGCAGTTGTGAGAACAAGCTTCGCGCGAGACTCGTAGACTGCATCGAGGAAAGTGATGAAGCGGCGGGCAAGATCTCGAGAGCGGTAGTTCATGCCGGGGACGTCGGTGACGATGAAAGCTTCGTAATGTCGGACGAGCTCGAGATAGTCTGCTGCGCCTGTAGCAGAGCCAATTAATTCGTTGAATGTGAACCAGCAGGCTTTTCCAGACGCTTTTGGTACAGTGATCTCTCGTCCCCATACGTGCTGTACATCTGGATGTGGAGGATCGTTTTCGAAGTCTCCGAGGAACCTGAACCAGTAGTTCGCATGCGTCGTTGAGGCTTTGTCGAGTGGATGATGGTAGACACCCGACGGCGGGCGTGGAATCTTGCGGTAGTCTGTTGTCGAGTCGAGGTTCAGAACGCGAAGCTGATCCAGGAGCAGATTGATACAGGGAATGAACGATTCACGCTGAATGCCGTTCTTGTAGAGCTCCGTAGGGTGACGATTCGATGTCGTGACCAAAACTGTGCCATGTGCCATCAAGCTCTCGATCAGCCTTCGCAGAATCATGGCATCGGCCACATCGGTACACTGAAACTCGTCGAAACAAAGCACTGATGCCTCTTGTGCGATTTCGGCCGCCACGAAAGGTATGCAGTCGATATCTTGCCCATGCTGCATCTTCATCTTGTGGAGCTGCTTGTGCACATCTTGCATGAAATTGTGGAAGTGAATCCTCGTCTTATGCGTGATGTTGTCGGGGAGTGTGTCGTAAAAGAGATCCATCATCATGGTCTTCCCGCTTCCCACATCTCCGTACATATAAATGCCCTTCGGCAAGTCGGGCCGCGGCTTCATCACAAGTTGTTTCTCATCATTCCCACCGAAGAGTGATCCAAACAGACTTTTCTTCTTGGGCTGCAGCGACTCAATTGTGGGCTTGATCACTTTTGGCGCAATATATTTCGAGAGGACATCGTGTAGATCCTGCAAAGCTTGGATGATTGTCCGCTGGTGTTCATCGTCCCGTAGCCTGCCTGATTGCACTCTCGCATCGTACTCGGCGATAGGCCCTCTGCCTGTGTATCCTTGCTGCCTGACCTCGACCTGCGTGGCCATACGTCTCTTTTTCGCCCTGTGCTCATGCCATTGCTGCGTCGGAACCGCTGCGAGTGGCCTGCTGTCCACTCGGCGACCGACGCCATTCTTGTCCTTTGCCAAGCACGCAGCACAGATCGTTCTTCGTTGTTGTCTTAGGCTGGGCGATCTAGAGGCTAGGAGCAAGGTTCGCAAAGCTCTCACAGCTTCCGGCGAGGCCATCTTCTCCGACTATTATCGTGCACTGAGCAGTCCCTTGCTAACGCAGCTCTTTAAGCTCCAGGCATTCCCGGCCAGAAGCTCGTCGTGCACCGCGTTCTTCGCGACGCTCCAGTATGACTCTGGCTTTGCTTCGTGAACGCCAAAAGCAATGCCAGAATGGTGAAGTATTGCAGTCGCAGGTTTTCAGCCTGTCAGACAGGAAGGGTGCCAGACAGTAAGAGCGGAGACTGGAAGTGGGAAGAAGAGTGAGGCTAAAGCCACGTTCTCAGGGCCCTCGGCCCGTGGGGTGGAGTCAAAGTTCCGAAGCTCAAGCTGTTCAAGCCCTTGACATCACTGTCACATGCAAGGTGATATGAGTGCTCTTGGACGTCGCTTCGCAGCACTCAATGCTGCATTGGAAGCAAATGTCGACTGCAGCTTGCACCGCCAAGGTATATTGACTTATGTTACAGGGCAACATTCATAGTCCAGCATTTTTGTCGGAGGATAACTCTGCCAATAAGGAACAATATCTACATCTCGCCCGTGTCGACAGCACACGAGATTCGTATTGGCCGCACCATTCTATAGCTTACACCTCAAGTCTCTATCCCAATCCCCAAATGATGAGCAGAACAACCACCACGAGGGTCTAACGGAACCTTGGACCAAGTTCATTCTTCCTAACGTAGGGTCACCGTAGATACGGTAGGAGAGTGACAACTTGGCACCATGTCGCCGGCTTTGCACTGAAGCCTTCTATGATACAGCATGTCTGGTGGCCTTCTATTACGGTTTGCGCTTCGTAACTTTGGAGGGATGTACGTCATGTCTTTCTGGTTGCACATTCCGCACAGCACGAGACGTGTGGTAAACTCTCGGGCCGTTGTGCTGATCACTTTGCGGCGCAGCAAACTCTCAGGCGTCTTGGTGCCAGGCTCCAATTTCTCCAAATGTTCACCTCAAGGCATGGTGCCCTGCTTCACATCTTGGGTATGAGCGGCCGATGATGAAGACCGGAACTACTGGACCCTTCTGGGTAACAGCGAGCGATCAGCCACGACTCGAATTGGGCGTCCACATCATCCCAGCATGGCCAATACCACTAATGGTGCTTTGTACTTTCGCGTACCTTAGCATCAATCGCCAATACAGAGCTAACGCCCTTGCAACAATGAGGAGGCTTTTGCCGTGGTTGTTGACGGGTATTCGCCTGCTGGATTTCTGCCGCGTGGGATACGACATGACAGCGACACGGAGGTGGGATGGATCCTGGATGAATATTATTACGCTCGAATTCCTCGCCGCGGTCCTGGAGTACGGTTTCGTACAGCAGAGTGATCTTGCTGCCAGTATTTTGCTAGCACTAGGATGGCTTGCGTTGTGGAGACCGATGCCAATCGATGCCGACTACACGACAGAACGGATGGTGGCTGTTCATATTTCGGCCGCGCTGTTCTTTGGCGCGCTGCCGTTGGAACGTAGACACATCACCTTGGCGATCAGTGGAGCATCGCTGCTGGTGACAGCTCTGGCTTCTTCTGCAGCGGTTCACTATGGCCTGCCGTGGAGCGCCATGACACTCGTTGGCGCTCTTTTCGTCCGAATGTCAGCACGTGGGCGGCAACTTCTCGGATTGGATCCTCAATGTAGAGAGAGGATAGCGGTCCTTGGATTTCGGCGGGCGGTCTCCGGGTTATTGGCGCTGATTCATATTATCTTCGGCGGCATCCTGGTATCTAGCTGGATCTGGTCGTGCTATGGCTGGAGATTGTTACAAATGCAGCCGGATCACTCTCAGCCGCCGGGCTTGACGCTTGGGTCGATATGCGGCGGAGGTGTTCCATTCGTAGGAACGCTGCTGCTACTCGTGCACATCGACCAGATGCACGACGGATGGACCGCAGAGCGCGAGCACACTCTACTGTCGCTGGCTAAAAGATGGATGGCTTTTGTTGCCAAAGCCGTGGCTTGGACAACATGCGGACACGGGGTTGTGTATGCGATTTTGTATTTCATGCGTTAGAGCATTGTTCGATCCGATAAATTTTCGTCAAAGTGGTCACCCCGTGACGCGAATGTATGATTGAAGGACGAATGTATAGAGAACTTTGTTAGGTTCAGCCCTCGTCGTCGTCCACTCTGCTGTTATCACCCTCAAGAAAAGTCGCATTTTCCGGTGACAACTTCATGCCTCTGCTCGTCATCCTCTGGAATATATCTTTCGCTTTGTCTCGTTCCAATTCGGCTTGAATTGAATGCTGGGCAGACGAAGGCTCCAACTCTTGGGTTTCGTCATTGTGATCAGTCTCGGTCAGGTCCTTGACCTCGGCCAGACTCCTGTGCACATTCGCAAGCCACAAACTGATCATGCCTCTCAGCTCCAAGAGCTCGGGAGAGGTATCGCAAGGTGGATTTAGGAGGAGATCATCGAGCCTTTTCACAAGTGGCCTTGCGTCGGATATCTCACGCAAGCGAATCAGTCGCAAATGGCGTTTCGGGTCAGGCTGATCACTGCGCACACTCTCTACGTCGTCAGAGTCCGCAGCCTCGTGGAGGTCAGCAAGCTTTTGCCGAGCACGCTGGGACCTGTCCTGTATCTCATATAGCCAGATATTGAAGAGCGCTGGGTAAATTGCGTACGCGTTCACACTCGAATGGCGAGCTCTCGGGATATGAGGATATTGTAAACACATGCGTTCGTAGTACTCGCGTGCCAGTTGAAAACCCTCATCAGAGATCACTGGGGCACTGGGCGAAGTGGTTGGGCGGTCTGTTTCGAAGCCCTGCTCATCAACAGACGTCGAAAGTGGCTCCGACTTCTGATCTCGACGCATGAGCAGCTCTGCTCCGACCATCCATCGACCATGCTGCCTGATGTCTGGAGCGAATCCAGCAATTTCCGTTCGCAGTATCAGACCCCAAGCGCGAGAAGCCCGTTTCCAGTCCTGGTTCAACATGCACTTGTGTAGAATCGCGGTCAAGTTGTTCAGATGCCGACCTCTGACCGAGCCTATCGGGTCGTCGGGTCTCTTCTTGGGTACGTAAATGGGAGGGTTCAGTCGTGCCAGCTCGTCTTCCACGCTCGGCTTTTCCGCAGCAGGCTCCGTATAGGCAGCATGGGGAAAATTGCCCCCAGGTAGGGGATGTTCGCGCGACCATCCAGCGACATAGTAAGGGTCTCTCTTATTGACTGGATGGAGGACACGAGGCTTGTTCTCAGAGGCCTCAAGCTTCACCGGTGCAGAAATTTCGGCTTCCGTCTTCTGCTCATCCTCGTCGCTAGATACTTGATCGTCTTGGTCAGCATCTTTTGCATTTCGCTTACGCTTGCGCTCGCGCTTTTGCTCTCGCGTCAGGAAGGACTGCTGCGAGGCAGGCAGCCTGTAGACGGGCGCGAAAGACGCCATGCTTGTGCTTCACACCTTCGGGTACAGTCAGTCGCCAGTCGGCTATTTACACATGTCCGTCCATGAGCAGCTCGTGCAGGTGGGCCGACACTCTATGTCAGAAGTAGCGTGAGCTGTAACGGCGTTTCAGGCGACGGCAACGGCGCGAAGCGATAGGCGTCCCTCGTCACTGCGCTGCGCATCGAGTTCTCTCCAGCAGAGCCGTCGCGCTTCCGTGGCAGTCGTCGTTGCGGTGCAAGTGAAATCGCTGCGCAGAGCACCCTCGTGTCTCACCAACAGTGAGCGAGGAAAAGTCAAGCCCCAAGTCTAACTAGGCCTGGGATGTGCATTTATTTGTAGCGTCCGTGCCAAAGAAGCGCGCCACGCCCGGCTGGAGCAGCCCCGACCCGCTCACTTGCTGTCGTCTTGCTGAACCATGTGACATCTCACAGCTCACCTCCGTCGTTCACACACACCACAACCGCCGCTCCTTCACACCACTCGCCTCCGATCCGCCGTGCAATATTCTGCCACTCACTCGGAACGACGCTCTCCTGCCGGCGGACAGTGGACAAAGGACGGCGACATCGGCATGGGCGTGTAGCGCCGACTGAGACGCCGCCCCCAAGATGGGTCAAGGAGCCTCGCGTCACTCGCCCGAGCAGGCGACGGCGGGCAGAATACAGCAGCGCACCACGAGCGACGAGTCCACCGACGATGGCGGCCTTCTCGATAATACGCGGCGGCGGCGGCGGACCAACGCCAACCGCATTTCCCAACTGTTCCGCTCGAGCGACACCGAAAGCATGAGCTCGCGAGCAGCAGACACCCCACAGCCCAGTCGGAGAGGTACTCTCGTACGGCGGACGCGCTCACGATTTCAGGAGATGCTGCACCGGAACAACAGTGCCGCTTCCCGGCCCGGACTCTTCTCACATCTACAACGTGCTCAGTATAGCCGTAGGGTACCGGGCGATCACGACGCGGATGAGAACGATGACGATTTCTTCGAGGCACCTCGACTGCCTTCGATCGATATGTCTTCAACCTTTGACGACGACGCGACATTTGGTTCACACGTAGAGCCAGTGTCTTCGCATGCCCGGAGCGATGCCTCCAGTCGAGGACCCACGAGACGACTCAATGCCTTTCGACCCGATAGACCGCTGCGGCAGCTCACATCCTCCTTACGCCGACGACGCTCGCCTGGCCCCTCCTCGTCTATCTCTAGTATGCGACCGGGTAGGAGCGAGGATCAGGCCGCCATGCTGAGTAGGTTGTTGAGCGTTGCAGCTGCGGCTACGGCAGCCACGCTTATGGGCGACGATCACAACGCGTTGCGTGAAGCGAGGAGTCTGACAGGAAGCAGCGGACTCGGCGATCTCGGTAGCAATGGTGAGGACGGTAGCTTCGACGGCTTTCTACGTGCTCTGCAGAACGGCCGCATAGCATCTGCACTTCGACAGGGCGGCGGTGATGGTGACGCAGAGTCGGGAAACCCAGGCGCACCGTTGAACTTCTTTCGCATGTTCCGCTTTGGCGCATCGGAGCCTGCAGAACCTGTCATTGGTGAAAATGGCCAGCCGATCGAAGGTGAGGGACGAATGGTGCCGATCATCATAGTAGGTATTCGGTCTATTTCGCCCAACTCCAACTCAGGTACTGGCTCGCCAAGTGAAGACCTCCCACCCTTCATCGACGCACTGGGCAACTTCCCATCGCCTCTACCACCCCATGCGATGGGCACCCACGGTCATGATAGCATTGATTCAATATTGCGGCCACCACAGAATGGGACTTCGTTCAGACATCGAAGGAGAGCCAGTATGGGCGGATTCGGAATGGGGAGGAGTAGGCTGAGCGATAGAATGGATGACCAGCGAGACCACCGCTCACCGGACAGGATAGAGCGGAGGCGGCAGCGACCCTGGAGCGTGGCTAGTTCAAGTTCGAACAATTTCGAGCCGAGGCCACCACCAGCGACGCCAGCAAGTCCGAGTCCTGAGCTGAGTCGGATATCGAGCAGGAATACCACACCCAGTCACTCAAGGCCGACCTCACTCGTGGCCAACAGCGTGCGAGAGTTTGACATATCTCGTCACAACAGCATCCTACACAGAACAACATCAAGTCCGCTGAGTGCCCATACTGAGGAGACGGGATCAATTCGCTCAACGCACTCAGGCACTGGCCTACTCGGCGATACAGAGCCGTATCGAATACATCGTCGATCAGACACAGCGCCCAATATACATTACCCCCGGTTCGCTTCTGGTCACCCTCGGCGTAACGGCGTTGTCGAGCCTGACAACTTACCACCACTGTCGCGCTCGTCCTCGAATAACAGCGATGGCACGAGTGAGAACCGGAACAGCAACAGCGATTCTAGAAGCTGGATCATTTACGTTCTCGGTGGCTCTTATCCTGAAAATCATCCTATCCTCACCACACCCAGTCTGTTCACCGAGAACCCTACGTACGAGGATATGATGCTACTTTCGGCTTTACTCGGACCTGCCAAGGCGCCTGTGGCCAGCGAGGACGATGTGCAGAATGCAGGCGGCGTCTACAACATTGAGACCATCGAGCTCACCGATGATGCTGCTAAGACTGCCCAGCTGGTTGCTACTGCCGCAGAAGGCGGCGAACAGGTCATGCTGGATGCTGATCAGCGTTGCCTCGTTTGCTTGTGCGATTTCGAAGTCAAGGATGTTGCACGCAAACTTGTCAAGTGCAACCACTTGTTTCACAAGGAGTGTATCGACCAGTGGCTGACCACCGGGCGCAATTCTTGCCCGCTTTGTCGCGAGACAGGCGTTGATGCAGCAAAGAGCGAAAATGAGACCGAAGAAGAAGGCAGCGCGCCTCCAGCCGACGTCTCTGCCACTGGTGAGACAGCGGTCGGCGCACAGGAGGTGGCAGCAATTGGAGGCTCGTAGAGTGAGCCCACTTCTAATACCAGAGGAGCGGCAAGAGATGATTCTGTGAGACATGCTGCGTTTCGAAGATACCCATCAACCTTCGTTGGAATCGGCAATACAGTGGCGAAGTATCATATACAGTTTTTTTCAGTGTTTACCTGCGCGGCGTTGGGACTGGACGAGAAGGAAGCGTTTGCAAAGCGAGCGAGAGGATTTGACGAGGCAGGCGGGGCCTCGCGGCGGGCCCGTTGTTGCTCTTTACTGCCTATATGGGCTTATACAGGATGGTCACCGGCGTAATGGCGACGTGAGCCTTTACTGCGCCTTTCGGCCACTCACGATATCACGACTCAACTGCTTTCCGATACGAGGACTGCAAGGACATAACATTGCATTGCGGCGCAGAGCTGCTGTCGCACCATGTAGCTGAACAGTACAGTTTCTGCTGCTTTCCTGTCAAATGTTCCACCTCCTCTGTCTTTCTCACGTGTAACGTATGTTATGACTTGGGATGTCTTGGCGGTGGTGTTGCCTCGTCTCGGCTTGCGAGCTAGACACCTCCACTTTAGCCCGAGCACGTCAGCGCCCGCAACATCATGCTCCCCTTCCGACGGCCAGGAAGCTCCTTGTTAGATGTCTCTGCAAGATAAGTCAATTGATTCACTCGTCAAAGCTGAATAGCAAACAACATTTCTCTCCAATCCCTCAGAAACCATGGACATCTCCGCTTCCTCAACCCTACACCTCAAACTCTCCCTCTCACATCGCTCCAGCATTCCCTCCAACGATATCATGACTACAGCCCATCAACGAACAATCTACTTCGGCTACGGCTCAAATCTCTGGCTCCATCAAATGCGCCAGCGATGTCCCACGAGCAAATACCTCGGTATAGCGCGTCTCAAAGGCTACAAATGGATTATCTATGATCGAGGATATGCGAATATCGTAGAGCTTAGCGAGGAAGAAAAGATGGCTGCCAATGATAAACACGACTACTCGAAAGAAGTCTGGGGACTGGTATACAGCCTCGAAAACGAAGATGAACGACGACTCGACATAAACGAAGGCGTAGCACACGGCGCGTACAGTAAAGAGTGGATAGAATGTGAGTTCTGGACTACTGCTTCTGAAAGAGCTGTGCGGGAAAATACGAAGCATGTTTTTTCGTATGTGGATGAGGGAAGACCGGATACGAGTAAGAAGCCTGGAAAGACGGATATGTTGGTTTATATTAATCGGGAGAATGTGGGAGAGGGGAGGATTAAAGAGGAGTATGTTTATCGGATGAATAAGGGGATCAAGGATGCGGTTGAGGAGGGTGTGCCGAGGGAGTATGTGGAGCAGGTGCTGAGGGAATGGATACCGGATGTGGAGGATGAGAGGGTCAGGGAGGTTGCGAGGAGGCAGGCGCTGGAATTTGAGGATGAGAGGTAGGATTGAGTGGTCTTCTTTGGGACCAAGCCATGAGCGTCAACTCCACGTGCGCTGCGATTCAAACGAGCGGATCACCCAGCTCTTGTACTTACGCCAAACTTGGCCAGGCAGATGCGCTTAAGGATCTAGGTGGCCATTTATCGAAGACTGCACAGCTATCAAACCTGCTACCATGCATTCAGTCACTCCAACCTTCGTGCAACACGAGCAATCTGTGCCAACATCGGAGAGATACGATCGGTCAGCGCGCGATAGCTCCAGCTGGAAATTGTATCTATCGAAGAATCAGCTCAGCATGCCTGAGATATCCAGCAAGGACGACGAGCACCAGACGTCGTTTCTCAGCGATGAAGTCGCCAAGACAAGGCAGACTTGCAATGTGCTCGGCACAAAATCCAAGACCGAGATTTCGCGGACTGCACAAGTCTCTGGCACCAGGTGGATGTTGCTGGTTGCGGGAATTGGCTGCATTCCCATCCAAGGGTTCTCTGCAATTGAATCCCGATCACAAGTCGCGCAAAGGCTGCGCTGACTTGGCCTGACACGTGTGCGAATCGCTCCTGGCAGACGCTTTCACTCACTTCTCGTCTATCGTTGGTGCCTTATAACAACCATGCTTACATAAATCCCAACTGCCGTCTCCGGGCCCTATATGTGGTCGTTCTGTCGGCACCTCCAAGTTCTGCGACAATCCGTTAGTCTCCGGAGGATTGCCAGCGAATCAGTGATGACGATGTGGCTCGCAGCTTCGGCACGTCACAAGGCGGCTAAACAGGATCGATCAACAGTGTCCGCGATCGTGTCGATACTCAATTCCAATGAGTCAATAATGGCAAAAAGGAAAGACTTTGACATTGAAACCAAAGGAGTAGCCTGTTGCAGCCTTTTCGCGACCTCAAGAAACCTTGTTGCACTCTGCGGTTGCTGTGGACGTATTTCGGCGCCGAAAACTGAAGCAGGGCACAGGACTCATGCATTTGCTGCTTTGTTGTTTCGATCAAATACTGCAAAATTCGGCATCACCAGATGTAGTACCAGCGCAGTCTGAGACTTCAATGTAGAAGTGTCGTTAGCACTTTCTGATTCAACGTGTGCTACAATGCTCGTAGTCGTTGGTCCTTGTCGAACTGGCGACAATGGAAGTGCGGAAGGCTAGCCTCTTTACGAGATAGACTTTGAACTGTGCTTAGCGAAGCATGGACGCGATGCTTCGAAAAGGCTATCCATTACCTGGTTATGCAGGAAGTGCGGACAGAATATTGGAAAGTAGGGCACTGAAAACCAAAGCTGAGAAACTTGGACTACTGTCAGACACAGAATGATGATCGGATGAGTCTGTGTCTCGTAGATCACGATATGTAATTCTAGCTTCGTCTAACCAGCTTGTTTACTAACTGCTGATTACGCGCATCTTCTCTCGTCTCATGACTTCGTATCCTCGTATCTCATATCTAGGACTCAGCTGGAACTGGGCCCTTGTAGTCGTATGCAAGACGAATGCGGTGCTCCTCCTTGCCCTTGGAAGAATAGATGCGGCGCACATGGCGGCGAACACCATCGACGGTGGCGAAACCCCAAACTTGGGTAGCAACCCAGCCGTTGCCCACGGACTCGGTGTGGCTGAGGATGATGTCGCCATCAATGCACTCCTGGTCCCAGCCCTCAGTCAAGAAGGCATCCTGGGTGACATCGGAGAGCTTGGCATACCTTCACATGAACGTTAGTTGACTGAAGTCAGACATTGTAAATGGATTTGATGACTCACTTGTTCCAGCCATTGACCTTGCCCCAGTACTGGATGTCACGCTCACGGAACTCGCCATCCAAGATTCTTGGCTCGAGCTGCTTGACGTTTCCAGTAGAAATCTGCTCCTGATCGAGATGAAGTAATCCGTCGTCGCCCTTGTATTGGGTGAGGTTGACCTGAATGGCGCTGTAGTTGGCAGCCTGGCGGACGATGAAGCCGACGCCCTGCATCTTCAGCATAGAAGAGGTGCTGTCGGAGATGTTCTTGTTCAGGTCGAACGACCCAGCAATGTTGTGAACATTGACTTCTGCTGGAGCGGCCATTTTGAGGTCGAGGAGGGGTTGTTTGGTGGGTGTCGTGTGTAACGGTCCGTAGTCTCGCAAGGTACAGACCGGTTGCGGATCTGATGCTGATGGGCTCGACGAGGATCCTTATATGTTGGTGTAGTCGCGAATACTAGTTCGAGGCCGAGGCTGCAAACGTGGAGAAGTCCGTAGGCAACGCTATAAGAATGCCAAATCCAAGAAGAACCAAGAGAGCAGGCTCGGCAGGCTAGTAGGCGTTTCACATGGAGATAGCCGTCTGGTATTATGCTGTGACGGCAGAAAGTCAAGTGTGCCTCGAAGGTAGCTAGTTTGTGATGTGGGACTAGTGATTGGTTGCAATTGATGCCTCGGCTTCTGTGCCACCTTCGTCAAGGCGGGCTACTATTTTTTGGCGGCCTGCAGAAAGAGGAGCAATAGAGGGGCATTTTGAGCTGTCGTGTTTCGCTCTCTCGTTTCGCATTGGGTCGTGCATGTGATGCAGGTGCCAAATAAGGACAGCTAGTGTCGGCCCCGAGGGAAAGCGAGATGAGGTTGGAGGAGGAGCAAGCAAAGGCCAAGGTTCTTCCGTTGTCCAACCAACCTTGACCCTGTCAATCGACACCTCATCGCTAATAACATCACACCATCGAGCACGTTCACGATACCGACTGTGTCACATTCGCGGGGACACGAGAACTTCAGTAGCGGGAGACCGCAGTCATGATAGCGCGGGGCTGAACGTACAGCACGATAGCCACACCGCGCGACTTGAAATAACCTGGAAGAGGCCACGATCATGAGCAAGTCAACAATGCTACAACGAAGCGAACCGATACAGTACGATGCGTCGTATGCGTGACGGAGAAGTCTCATGGCCAGTGGGGTGCAACAAATTGAAGGGCGAACAGCGAAGCATCGAATTCGGAGTTTGCTTGCCGTGCATCGCCCAAATGCAGTTGCTGCACTGTATGCACTGTAACACTGAAGCCTGTTACAAGAAGAGCACGATGACCATGCATTCGCAATATGTGCTGGCGAGATGGAGATGAGCTTGCCTTGACAGCACATCACAATATCGATGCGCGTTGCTCCGAGAATCGAAAACATCGTTGAAGGTCTACGGCCACATTCCCCTGGGTATCCTTCGCTCATGCCAATCATCACGTCCAAATATCCTGCTGAGTCCATCATCGAAGGCCATATTGTGCTCTGAATGTAGCACAGCCCAAGGCTCGTTCACAATATTGCGGTCCTCGAGGTATTGATTCCTGGTCATGGCGATATTGTAAGCAAAACTGCTCTTGACGATCCCGCCAAATACGCTGCAACGTTTGAGAACTTCCCAATCGACTAGGGCCTGCTGGTCCCATGACAGTTCGCTCAACGCTGAAGCTTCATGTGCTGGCAGCAGATCGGTTTTGGAGACGACAGCAATCGGCGGAACTTCAGTGGCAGCCTTCTGCTTCAGTCGCTTCACATCTTCGACATTGCCAGAAGCAACGTAGATGACTCGTAATTTGTGCTCCTTCGCGTGGCCAATGTACTCTTCCATCTGCGCAGTAGCATTCATGCCTTCCACATCCATCCACCCAGCATTCTTCGCGTCGTCTGCAGTCCTCAAATGCGCCCCATAGAATTGTCCTTTTGGCACGGCCTCACTTGGGTCCAATTCCAAACCAAATTTCTCGACCAACCTCCAAACCACCAATGCCGCCAACCCTCGATACATAGCCCCAACTTTCACCAACTGCCCAAAATTCCTCCTCAACCCCCTCGGCAAACTCCTCGTATCCACATCCCAAAGTGTCCTCCCCAAATTCACAACCACAACCTCTCCCTCTTCAGCCCGATTCAACATCTCAACACCCCCATACCTCCTCTTAAAATCCTCATTCCCACTCAACCAGCCCCTCAAAGCCTCCCAACACTTCTTCGCCGTATTCTCAAACCCCTCATCAACCCTCCTCGTCCGACTAGTCCAAACCCCCTCCACAGCAGGAACCATCTCCATCCCCTCCTCAATCTTATACACTTTCATCTCCGGACACGTCTTTCCCAACATATTCACTAACCACGCCTCATCAAACATAGCAGAAAATTCTTGCCTACCGCCCCAGACATTCGACAAATTATCTTCTTGTCTTGCAGCCATACCTGGTAGAATGATGGAGGCTCCCATTTCAATGGCTGTGAAAAGGAAGTCGAGAATATTGCCGCGGACATTTCCGATCCCGCCATTGGCGTCGTGAAGATTGGAGACGAGGTTTGGGTGCCAGGTGATGGAGGTGGAGTTGCAATAGGCGGCGAGTGGGGCTGGATCGAAAGGGTCGATGAGGTGGGTGGAGAGCCAGGTTTGGATGAAAGATTCGCTTGTCGAGAGTTGTGACGATGACGTGAAGGAGGTCGAAGGTAATTGTGGCTTGTCGAAGGTACTGCCACCGTAGGGATGCCTTGAGCGGTATTGGTAGGAGAAGAAGTAGAGAGGCAGTAGAGTAAGCGAGATTATTGCCGCGAGAGTTCGCGGCGAGGAAGTGTTCAAACGAGTCGTCTGGATCATTTTGAATGACTGGTATATCAATAATTTCTGTCGAAGTTCGTTTGTCTATCAAGTTCGAAGGTGCGCGCTGCTCGTCGATGATCAAAACTCCTTGCTTCATGCTGCCAACCTCATTCCGGTGCGACGCAAAGTCTCTCTGCACTCCGCAGGTTATCCTTTCCATCATAAATTCGTGAACACATTAGTCCAATAACGAATGCTGCCGTGCACCCTGTATTATGCATCGTTCCATGAAATCAAGAATCCCTCACTGTTTTATTCCCCGATTCACCTCTTCTCGGGTTGCCAGCTCCGTCGATGTTGTACACTGCCCGTCATAGGTATATCCGGATTGGGCGCCATGCTCCTTTGTAAACGCGCTGGCAGCGCGGATCCTTCTGTCTCCGCTATCGTGGCCATCATACTGCTATTCTCGCCATCTGTATCGGCCCGCTTCAACTGCTCGATGCGGTCTTTCATTTCAAACTTTTCCATGTTGGCCTCTGTCAGCGCTGTGGCCGTCCCGGGCGGCTCGCCTTGATGCGCATCGTCTCCCAGGCCTTTCCCGAGTTTCGTTTTGGGATCTTCGCCAGCTTCGATGAGTTCATGATCACGAAGAGACATGGCTTGTTCTTCTGCACGAATCTGCCTATCTGCACGCTCGGAAGTCGTTTCTGATGAGGCTGCGAATCGGTGGTTGTTCACGAACTCGAGCCTGTCCACTTCTGAAGACAAATGTTCCTGCGGCGTCACCAGATTGCTCGAAGCCTCGCTTCCAGTAAATGAGGTATTATGTTTCATGCCTGGCCGAGCTCGCAATAAGGCTGGATTGCTGTTCAGCTCGGCGCGCTTTCTCTTACCCTCAATAGCCCATTTGATCAGCATCTTCTCGAGGTTGACCTTCTTTACAGGCTTGGCGAGATAGTCATCCATGCCAGCTGCTTGACATTTTTCGCGGTCGCCTTGGATAGCGGAAGCAGTCATTGCGACAATTGGAGTGCCTTGCACGTCAGCATTGAGTGCGAAAGCCTTGTCGTTACGGATTGTCCAAGTTGCACGATATCCGTCCATGATCGGCATCTGTACATCCATCAATATCACACTCGGACGAGGTCGTTCAGATGAGGGAGCTGCCAGATATTCCAGTGCCTCTTGTCCGTTCCAAACAGCTCGTACTGGGAACCCGAGCTTCTTGATCGTTTTGAGCGCGATTTGTTGGTTGACAGGGTTATCCTCAACAACCAGCACTTGAGTATTCCGGCGCTCCTCCTCATTGAGGTCGAGGTCCATTGACTGGAAGTCTTGATGCGTGGGGAAGCCAGATATACCACTCATTGATTGGCCTCTCGCGTGTCCCGTTGGTGTGGAAGGGCCGCTAGGTCCATTATTGTCGCTTCCAGGACGTGAAACGGACAATTCCGATGCTAGCCGATCTGGTATAGACCCAAGATCCACCAAGGGAGAGTCCGTCGACGTTTGATATGGCGCCTTATTGAAAGGTATCCAGAATGTCGCTTTGGTGCCCACACCAAGTTTTGACTCAAGAGAGATACCACCACGCATGAGTTCAACCAGATTCTTGCTGATTGTGAGGCCGAGTCCAGTGCCACCAAACCGTCGTGCGGTCGAGCTGTCGGCTTGTGAGAAAGGTTTGAAGAGTTTCTGCCGGACCTCCTCTTCAATGCCTATGCCTGTGTCTTCTACGGTCTGTGATGGTGTCAACGCCGAAGCTGGAACAGCAGTGGGGTGGAGGAACTTACAAAGTGTACTTCGACAGCGTCTGCTGTTTCTCTTTTCGCTTTAACCCGCATAGTGACACTGCCCTCGCTGGTGAACTTGATAGAGTTCGTCAAAAGGTTGGTCATGACTTGTCTCACTCTGCCCGGATCACCAATCAATTTCCAATTCTGCAGTTGCTGAATGTCATCAATATATCGCAGTCCTTTGCGCTCAGCTGCGAAGCTCAGCATTTTGTTCACATCTCCGATCACAACAGACAGATCGAATTGTACTTCTTCAATGTCAAGTCGGCCAGATTCCACCTTCGAGAAATCCAGGATGTCATTGATGACAGTCAATAAGCCGTTTGCAGAGCGTTGAATGTTCTCGGCACATTCTCGCTGTTCCTTGGTCAACTTTCCAGATGCCGAATCGTCTTCGTCAAGAAGTAGCTCCGACATGCCAATGACTCCTGCGATCGGTGTGCGAATCTCATGAGACATATTGGCCAAGAACTGGCTCTTCATTTTGCTTGCCTCCTTTGCCGCCACACTTTGAGCCATCAATCTTGCATTTTCTCGGTTACGCTCGGCCACCTCATCGGCGGCTCGCTTCAACTCAGTCACGTCCAGGCTCACTCCGACCACGCCATCGATGTATGTCTCGCCTGCAATGCCGCCTGCTCTGTCCTGCCTCGTGAGAGGCACAAGCTTGGTACGGAAATGCTTCCCGGTCTGCTTCGTGACGGTCTCAATGATCTCTTCGGATTTGCGCTTCTCTAATATCCTTCTAATTGGCCTCTCAAAGGACTCTTGCTCATGCTTTCTGCCTTGCCGTTCGAAAATGTAGGAAATTGGCTTGCCGAGGTATTCGTGCCTTCTCTTGTGAATGTCAACGTCGGCCGGGTCGTCTGACATGGCTTGCCCTTCCGAAAGAGTCAAATTCAGGTCCGTATCGACGGCCCACAACGTAATGTTAGCATGTTCGATGACACGTTCCAGCTGCTGCCTGGTTTGTCTGGCCTCCTCTCGCGCTAGAACGAGATCATGAATGTCGGTGCAGGTGCCAAACCACTTCATAATGTTACCTTTTTCGTCTCTCATGGGCACAGCCCGTCCAAGCATCCATCGCATCTCCCCAGAAGCGCTTTTGCACCGGTATTCGGTGCGGTACTCGTCTCCGGTGGCCAGCGAATGGGCCCAGATCGGCTCTGCTATGGCAAGATCATCGGGATGAAAGGCATTGAGCCAGCCTTCTCCAACACTCTCTTCTACAGACAGGCCCGTGTACGTGTACCATGGATCGTTGTAGTAGTCATGCGAGCCGTCCGGAGTCGTCCGCCAAATCAGCTGAGGGATCATGTTACAAATGTTTTCGAATTGGCGTTCATTCCGTTCCCTCTGCACCGAGATGGTACGAGCATATCCAGTCACGTCATGGAAGAGAACGCAGCCGCCCAGGAACTCTCCCTTTTCGTCTAACAAGGGCTCTCCACTAGTGTCGAAAAGCAGGCGGCTGCCATCTTTCACGCTGTACATTCCAACGCGATAGTCTTTGAATCCGGCGCGCTCCCTCATCAGGCGCATGATGGGATAATCTTCGAGGGGTATTGTCTCTGCGAAATCGCCAGTGTAGAGCACAAAGCGGGACAGAAATTCCTTGGCTTGCTCTTGTGAATCATAGTCAAGGTGATCATCTGCGTAGGGAAAGAGCAATCGAATAGCAGCCTTATTGGGTACGCCAAAGGTTTCATCTTTCCACATTGCGTAGGCTGGCATGCTCATGCTATTGAGAAGAGCTTGTTTCAATTTGTTCGTTTTGGCGAACAAAGACGGCTCATTCGTTGCAGACTTCGTAGGAGGACCTCGAGGTGGAAACTCCGAGATCGATGGACTGGCGTAATTCGACGTTGGTGGACTCTTGACATGCCTAAGCGCGGACGTTGAACTGGAATTAGAGCTTGGACCAGAGTTATGAATATCCATGCTGGAATGCGCGCTACTCGGATAACTATGTGTTGTACGTGATACCGTCCGACTTGTTGTCTTGGCCGCTTCTGAAGATGAGCTGGAACTTGAGGTGCCTGACGTGGATGCTGTAAAGGTCAATGTATAATACTGTTCGTCTTCAGTGGCCCATATGCTGATGATCATGCGCGACTGAACGTGGTCACCGTCAGTGCCACCAAGAATAGGAAGGCCGCTCCTGGAGTCTCTGTGTGTTGAAAAGAGGACCTCAACGGCTGCATCGTGGACTTCAGCGCGTACACCAGAAGAATGGCTCAGACCAGAGGAGTGAGTCGTGTTAACAGAATTGGATCTCTTATGGAGTTTATCGCCTTCGGTCGGTGTGCTATCTTTATCCCGTCGCCTTCCATGATGAGTGTTCAGTTGCGTGGTGCTGCACTGGGCCTTTGAAGCATCATCCACTATTGAGTCGAGGAACTGGGTCCAAGAAATGAAGACCGCGCCGCCGTTCTGTAGCAGATCCATGCCCAGTTCTTCAATGGTCACGCCGTAAAGAATGTCGGTCGCGGACCTAATGTCACGACTCGCCAGGCGTTGCAATGGAGTCAAATCTTCGTCAAGTTCGTCGGACTTTGGCTCAGGATCGATGCCCAGCAGTCTTCCCATGGCTTCGTTCGCCAGGACGACTGATTTTTGACTCGACAGTACCATTACTGGCATCGGCAGGTACTGAAGCGCAGTAAAGGCCATGTCTGCTTTCAACTGGGCAGGAGGGATTCGAATGTTGAGCCGATTTGCCCCTCGACGAGACCCCAGCGAGCCCTGCGACATGGTGTCATCGTTGTAGCCATCGTCGGTGCCGTGAGCAGAGAAGTAGTCCTCTGCCGTTGCGATGCCATCGCTTGTGCCGTCTTCGCTCGCAGGCACGCGCATCTGTGTGTCCTCGAACGACACGCGCGCCATGTCGGTCCGACGCAGCTCTTCCGCCAAGTACTCGACTTCGTTGGTCGCACGCCTCTTCCTGGTGCGTCGGACCTCAGCGACAGGCGTCCGGTCCCTCTCTTCCATCCAGATCCCCTCGCGGGTGCCGGATCATCGAGGAGGCAGTGATGTCACGCGCCGGCTCGCGTCTACAGCGGTGGGCGAGGAGGCAATGGCTTCGTAGGTCGTAGGAACGGAATTTCAGGACAATGAAGAACAGAAGGGACACCGCCGCACCGCAACGCAGGAAAAACTGTAGCGGCGATAGTGGTATGGCGTCGCCGGCGGTGGGTATGTGGGAGGAGGGCGATCCCAGGCACGAAGCGAAGGTTTAACAGACCGCACTAGAAGCCATGTGGAAGACGGCTCGAAGCATCACGGAAGCACCGCTGACGACACGCCCCCCGTCATCGGCAGGCGGCGCAATGGGAAGATTTTGCACTCGAAGGTGGAATCGTTTTGTCCTCTCACGAAAGACGTTGTCGGAGGCAGCATAGCACCCTGATGTTGGATATGCCTAGGCGTTGCTCCCCATGGACTCGGGCACGAATTAGCTTGAGACAGACCGCGCCGATCTCCACGAGCACCCCGGTCGTCGCCGCATCGGGGCCTTTCTCGAAACGAGTGCTTAGGTGAACATCACTCGATCCAGACTCGACACGCCCGCCCACGTCGCGTGTCTGCCACCGCCTAGCCACGAACCAAACACTACCGTGGTACCGTCTGCACTTGCTGACTGGCGCTGTGGCTGCCGACGACATCAGCTTTGTCAGGTGTTTCGGCCGTTGTCCAGCATGTTCGAGCGTTGACGAGGCTGCCAGGTAGTACGCGTCTCCATTGCTGCAAGCAAACACATGACCTCTTTTCTTTGCTATTGACGTGCTTCCCGTTCTTCTACCTACAACTGACCGTGGCCGCTCGAAGATCCTGACACAAAATCACACGTCGGGCAGGAGCGGGCATGCGCCTTGCAGACCGCAAAGTGGCAAGTGGCGTTTTCGACTTTCAGAAACCGGCAACTAGCCAAGGCCATACTCTCCTTTACCAGCTCTTCGCTACTCAGCATACGCGTCTTATAATCTCTGGCGACCAGGAACATGTCCAGCTGGCGCCCGCCGGGCCCTCCGGGCAACCACCGACCCGCCTTTCCAGGAAACAACCGCACTCCTTCTGAAGGAGGGCCCAGCGGCGTACATCGCTCGTCTCCCATCCAATTCAAAGAGACCGAGTCACTCTTCAACACCTACGAACATCTCTCCGGACTCCCTCGGAGCGATGACGCTCTACTCTTACTCCGCAAGATTGCCTCCGTGGTCAAACCCATCATGCGAAAGCGAGGGTGGAAAGTCTCAGTCCTAGCCGAGTTCTTGCCTCCAGAGCCCAACTTACTAGGGCTCAACATCAACAAAGGCTACAAGATCTGCGTTCGTTTACGCTACCACAACAACCCAGACCTCTTCCTGCCGTTTGAAGAATGCGTCGATACCATGTTACACGAACTTTCACACAACGTCTGGGGGCCGCATGATTCGAACTTTCACAAATTGTGGGATGAACTCCGTGATGAGCATGAAGTTCTCGTTCGGAAAGGATACACTGGGGAAGGGTTCCTTGGCTCTGGCAATCGCCTCGGAGGGGCGTATGCCGGTCGTCCTCAATTACCGGCACACGAACTGCGTCGCCTGGCACGCGCGTCAGCTGAGAAGCGCAAAAAACAAGGTACACTGAGCAATGGGTCTGGTCAACGACTGGGCGGCACACCAATTCACCGCGGTCAAGACGTTCGATCAGTCATCGTCGACCAGATCACGAAGCGAAATAATGCGATGAGCGAAGTTAGTTGCGCTTCTGGACGCCAAGACGCTGGCAAACTTTCTCAGGAGAGCAGCGACAAGACATTCAAAACCAAAGCGGAAGAAGACGATGCCAACAATCGGGCAATCGCGCAGGCACTCTTTGAATTAATGGAGCAGGAAGAGGAGCAGAAATTGTTCTCAGAAGGTGGATTGAAGTGGAGTAAGGAAGCTGGACTCTACAGTGCGAACGAAGCTGGCAGTTCTTCGTCCGCCACCACAAGCAGTCACCCTAGTGAGGAAGACCAGCTGAAGTGGGCTCTCGCTGAGAGCACGGGAGTGTCTCCCGCTCAACCTACAGCTCTAACGCAGTGGACCTGCGAAATATGCACATGCATTAACCCTCTCCAGTTCCTGGCCTGCGATGCATGCGGCGTTGAGCGACCCCAGACTGCTCTCGTCAAAGAGAAGTCGAAATCTCGTAAACCGTCCAATCCGAGCCCGGGTGTCACACGGAAGCCGGTGCGGTCTTCACGAGATCTCAACGTGAAGCCACTACCGACCAAGACGGCAGCTGAGCGCTTTCCCACCAAGCAGCCAAACCCGAATGCCAGTATCGGGTGGCAGTGCAGCCGTTGCGGCACATTCATGGAGCACCAGTGGTGGACGTGCTCGGCCTGCGGACTGCTGAAAGACAGCTCTTGAGAGCCCGATCCGAGAGATGGCGCAAAGTGACAGTGCCGATCGTTTCTTGCGCGAGCCCTGTACAGGGGATGCAGTTGCTTTTCGGCCAGTTAGACGAGCGAAGATACCCATGCAATGACATTGACAGCTGCCGAACGTCTTCAATCGGCTGCTGCTGCTCCAGAATCGTCGCCATAGCCAGAAACCTTGTGTGCTCCAGGTCCAGCAGTGCCATTTGCGACTCGCGCTGCATGGGCAAGCTTCTTCTGCTGCCTCTTGCTCGGCGGCTTTTCCATCCCGTCTCCAGTCGGCGTGTCCCCATCCGCCTTCCTCTTCAGCCCATGCTGCTCATTCTGCTGGTGTGCACCGTCTTTCTTCGCACCTTGCTTCTGCTTCTCACTCCGTTTCTGAGCCTGCTTTTCCCTGATCCCTACCTCCACCTCCTTCGGCTTCTCCCCACTATATACAATATCAATTGCCCCTCTGTATCCCGTCCTCTTCAACTTCCCACTAACAACAACAGTTCTGGCCTCTTTACTCACAGCCTCGTACCCTCTCTCTTGACCAAGCCCCCAGACCGCAGCCAAATTTGATGCGTCCCAAGGCCCTCTGCAACCCACTGCCCCAGTCCTAGCCTCCACTCCAGAGCTGATAATCAAGCCTCTTCCTCTTGTCGCCCGGACCAGCTGTGTCGCATTACTGATCACATTCCTCCTTCCTTGAGCATCACCCAATAACCCACCCGAATAGCATATCTCGATTTTCTTCCCAGACTGTATTGCGACAGAGAGCATTTTGTGCTTGAAATGCGTTCCGAAACGTTGTGTGAGATCGATACTGATTATATCGCAATCCATGCTACTGCATGCTAGACTCAGGGTCTTTTCATCGACGGGGCGGAGAGCGAGCAGATCATAGTTGGATGCGAGAGCTGTGAGGCGGGCATTGGGATGACCAGATTCGGAGAGGACAAGAGTCAGGCGTCGAAGGATGGTGAGTTTGGTGGGTAAAGATTTGTGAGTTTGTTGGAGTTGAGACTCTGTAGGAATTGGATTGTTGAGGTCTGTGGGTAGTTTGCCAGAGATAGTGTGGTTCAGCGCAACAACGTTGTAGCCGAGTTCATGGAGGAAGGCGAGGGTGCGTGGAAGATTCGGATCGGAGGGCACCCATTGGACGTTAAGGTCGTAGAACATGTTGGAGGTCGGCGGTTGATGAGCTGGGCGAGCTCATTGCTGTGAGGTCAGCTTGTCGGTGATGCTTGTGAAAGAGTCAAGAATTGTCGGAAGCTCTGATGCAGATCTGCGGAGCTGGGTGCGGCAGTGGATCCGCTCGGCAAGAAGTACCGATTGGTTGACTGCTGGCAGGGGGACATCTCCCGTGGGACTTCAACTTTCCGCTGAACCACCTCCGGGTAGAAATGCTGCACAGGGTCATTCAAGCCCATTAAAGCTGGAGAAGTTGACGATATGCTTCATACGTTCCTAGCTGCGAGGTCTATTCCACACAATTTATTATCCAAACTGCGAGAATCTCATTGCCTCCTGGGTTCTAACGCGTGGGCTCTTGTTTTTAGCTTCGTCAAAGTCGAAGGGGCCGTGGAGACCAGCGGACCAGGCCCGGAGTCACGCGAGAGATCGAGCAAACTGAACACCTCGAGCGGCTCACTTGACCCAACTCCATGATCATGGCATGAGTGAAGCACGTGCCAAGTCCATGAAAATGAGACACCAGATGGCAAAGTTCTACTTTGCTGTGCCAAATGAAATGTGCAGTCGTCCTTGATACTCCCTGGACAGCTACCGGCCAATCGGACTCAGCTCTAAAGTCAGGCGCGTGCCTTCGCTCGTTACTACCCAGGCAGTGGTCAGGCGTCGCTGCCTTATGAGCAATTTCCAACGCAACTGCTTCAGGAATACGGAAGCACAGCAATCGCGGGTTCACTTGAAAGGTACCTGGTAGATTGAGCTTGCTCTCCGACTCATTTCATTTCCAGCTTCGCATGTCAATGACAGAGCACAGTATTTTCTGCAATCATCACCAACTTCCAGCACCAAGCCCACTTCACAATTAACATCGACACTTTCACCCCCAAAATGCCGATGCCCAAGGCCTTCCTCGACGACTTCCCACGAGAGATTCGGGACGAGATCTACAACGTGCCCATCAAGAAAGGCCAATCTCCTGACGCACTCTACCATGACACCTGCATCGTGATGAGAGGTGATATCTTCTCAGGCTACTCTGGCCCAGGTGACAGATTCCGCGACATGGGTTACGCCGACTGGAAATACCGGCTCATCGGTAGACAAATCGACGAGGAGTTCACAGCATGCATGTCGAGATTCGTGCCGCTCCATCTACAAGGATTCCTTGAGAGAAGCGGGAGCGAGTATGATTTCGAAAAGGGCTCGCTGGACAAGATCTTGCCGGTGGAAGGCAAGCCGATCAAAATTTACCAAAGGTGGCATGGACCGGAAAAGTCGAAGGGAATTTTCATCAAGGCGAATCTTACGGCTCCGCAGCCCGAGCCCGTTGAGGAGTCTCAGTTCCGAGATGATGGTATAGATCATTTCGATCCATCGTTGGATTGGGATTGGGGAGAGCTCGCAAACTCGCCACCCACTGATCCTTCGCCGGAGGTTGAGGACGAGATAGCACAACGTCAGAGCGAAGAAAACGCTCCTGGGTCAAATGATGATGGAGGTGCAGCTCACAGCTCAGAGAGCTTAGATACCACCACGACTCCTGCCTCCGCCGGCCAGAATCCAGTCTTCGACGGCTCTTCGCCTGATGAGCTAGAGCCTACGCCGTCAAGTGATCCCAGTAATCCCAGTGATCACTGGGGTCACTGGCCTAGTGATCCGCCGCTAGAGGTTCTTCAGTTCTCCACAGAAGGATTGAAGGAATTTTGCCGGCGAATATCGCTTCTCGACAAGACGCAAGATCTGGTTATCGAACTTCACACCAGCGATTGGAATTGGTCGCCAAGCGACCAGTCTGAAGCACTTTTCCAGGCTCGCAAAACGGTTCTCGACGCAAAGGTGACGAGCATCGAGAGTATTCCGCACTGGCACCGCTACTGCGTGCAAGTCGGCGACCTCGCCGTCTTCGCCAGCCGTAGGGTTGGAAATTCAGTCACGGGGTCACCGGTTTATCGTGTCACGTCAGAGACGAATGAAGATTGGCGAACTGATGCGCAATACCGCAAACTGGTCAGCGACCTCAGGATCGATTATCAAACCGTCGATTGACGGGGCTGAGCGATGATCAGATGGTGCTGCGAGCGGGTGGACGCGTCCGGGGGATCTTTACCCTGCGCCTTGAGCACGCCAGCTCTTCGGCAGCACGACTGAGGGCTTGGCAGATGAAGCGTTGATGGTTCTGCGCATAAATGAGGATGTGGCCGTAGCTCGACACTTCGGATGCTGCTCGAAGCAAGGCCTCCCCAGTAGCAGTAGCCAATGTAGCTTATGACGGAGCGGTCCTCATTTCCTCCATCACGTCTTCTCTCGGTGCCGTATCACAAATCTCGCCGCAGTCTTTGCATTTTCTCGCTTCCTCGTTGGCCTTGAAAGCATTCACTGCATCCTTGATTTGTGAGCCCAGGTCTGTACAATGGAAGCTCGCCTCGTGGACCTGGCTCCCACAGCCCTGGCAGTACCATCTCAATTTGTCTACACTTCCTTCTGGCCGTGGCTGCTCAATCACAACGCCCACAGTATCTGCAAACCGGACAGGATTATGCGGAGTATTTCCGGGCAACAGGAACATCTCGCCTTCATTGATGTATATGTCCTTGAATGTGTCTTTGCCGTCAACCTTTTGAATTGTTTTCAGGAGCATGCGGCCTTTGTACTGGTAGAAGAATTCGGGAGTGGTGTTGATGTGGTAGTCTGTGCGAGCGTTGGGGCCACCGACAACCATGACAGTCAGTGGGTCATTGTACACGCAGAAATTGTTGATCGGTGGCTTGAGGAGATGTGAATTCTCGTTGAGCCATTTTGGGAGGTTGAGAGGTGGGAGGAGCGCATTCGGCGTGGTCGTTGTAGTGGCATAGTGGCGGCTTGGGAGGCGTTGGTGTGCGATGCTCGCTCGTGCTACTGTTGGAGCGACATGTCGTGTGGGAGCTCGTGCTGCTGCAACAAGCGGCCGTCTGAAGGCTTGCATTGCGGCGTCCTGCAACCCTCGGTTTGAGGCGGATACCAGCTTTATCTGCGAAAAGATGGGCGGAACACTAGACCTTTCTGCAGAAGCCCGTATCTTCGTTGGATGAGTCTCGCTGTCATCGTGCAATTGTTCATCTTGTCGATGTCATCGCTGACACGGGCTCGGGAGCAATGTCCGGTATCGCCGAGGCGGGGTTACCCGGCATCCAACCTCCTTCCCTTCCTTCATGAATTTGTGCTTAGAACATCAAAGTGTCGTCCGCCGACTGACAAGGAAGACAGCCGACTTCGCTTTTTCGAGCAAAAGTAGGCTGTAAGCGCCTGGTCCGGTCGATTGTTCTGCACCGCCTTCAGCACCAACGGGCGCCTTGCATGTGGCACAGCAGCGGCTATGCTACGAACAAACGTGATCCAACACACAGAGCGACCCCTGCCCAGCCAATTCGAGCATCAGTCGATCCATGACTGTCTCAATTAATGCTTCAGGAGCACCAGATCCAATACAAAGCCCAACGCGAACACTCGGGATTCTCCCCTGGAGTCTGAAAGCATCGAGAAGCGGGAACGTGGGACAGTGCGTTTGCCGCCTCGATAAGTCCAGCATCAGCGTCGAATAGGACGAGATACACGCTCCTTCTTGAAGCCTGGCTAACATAGGGGCGCAGGCACTGTGCGTGACCATTCAGACCCTTCACAAAGGCGAGGTACGAATAGTATTGGCTACGAGTGTCCGGCCGTATCGTCCGGGGTGGACATGCACCTGCCAGCGGCATGTAAACGCGATGCTCAGGCGCTGGTGACTTATGATACTGTTGACCGCACGGAGCACGCCATTGATTTCATTGATGAAGAGAAATAAATAGCAAATGCCATCAGCCATTTCCTCGCCCTCGATACATCTCTACACTCCGAACCGAACCAACAATAACTATACAGACCCCAACATGTCAGCTCAGAACCAGCTTCCTAGCCTTCACGTGGACAAACTTCGAGTTGTTGCACATACGATGGGGCCAGTAGTCCCTGGTGGTCAATTGAGTCAGAACCATTGGTCTATCTATCTCATTCTGGCCAATGGAGCAGGCTCCGTCCGATTCAGCATGACAGCAGACGACAGAAATCCCAAGAATGAGCAAGGCATCTTCAATGTCACACAGCATAATTACCAAGTCACAAACAGCTGCGTTCAGTTCTGGGATTTTCCGACTCGTGCCAATCTCACTGTGGGCGCCTTTCTTCGCAACATTGGAGAACATGGCCGCCAACGGTACCGTATGACGAGCAATGGTACTGGCTGCCGTTATTGGGTGTAAGCAACCTCTCCGAAAGTGGCCAAGGTTGGAACAAAGCTAACGAAATCAGATCGTGTCTCATACACGACTTCAGTCAAGCTGCATTTCTCAGCCCAGATGCATACGAATTTCTCCAGAGTGTGATACAATACAATTACTCGCGCCAACAGACGCCTATATACTTGCCTATGCAGACTGGTTCTTTTTACTAGACCGTGGTAGAACAGATGACAGTTGCGAACAAATTACGGAGGAACATTCCATGTTCTTGCCAAAGCTTAACAACGTCATATGTATGAGTCATCAATGCGGAGCCGCTATCGTGGCCTCTAGCATACTGTACATTCCCGTCTGCTCTTGTCGTACCTCCTAGCCTGTGCCAGACAACTTCGGAGCCCGCCACAACGCCAATTCTCCACATGCCGCAATGGAGCCGGACTTCACCAGCAAAGACTCTCAAAGCCACATCCGAGAACTGTGCCATGCCGCGAGAGAAACCAGATTGAATGTCATCAGTCCTCCGGAAACCACCAATCTGGTTGTCAAATTGACGGCCAATCTTGCTGTTAAATGCGGGCCTGGGGTCACGAGAGCAGAAGCCTACGCGCTGAAGTTCGCGACGGAACACCTGGATTCAAGCATCGTGCGTGTGCCTTCATTCGTCCAATTCTTCGCAGACGATGCAGATATTTGGCCCACTGGCTACCTTGTTATGGCTTTCGTAGACGGAAACACGCTTGAGGGAAGTACAATTGACGACGTGAGCATCGCTCGGAAAGTCTTACGAGCTATGCAACACATCCATAGCTTCACCGGCACAGTACCTGGTCCATTGGATCGAACTTCTGCGCGTGGTCTGCTCTGGTCTGACTATGGCGCTGGTCAGCCCTTTGAGTCAGTCAGGAAATTACAGGAGTATCTCGACACCAGGCTTGCGAATTTCGGACCAAGCATTCCACGAATCGACATAACCGAGTCTGCATTGTGCTTTTGTCACATGGACATTTCTCCCCGGAACATGGTTTTGGACGACCAAGGTCATCTATATCTCCTAGACTGGGGTTTTGCAGGCTTCTACCCATCGATCTTCGAGCTGTGGTCAATCGCGTTCGAAGACCACATCAGACCTCATCCGCTCATGCTTCACCTTACATCCCTACTGCAGGACACTGCTACTCCAAGGCAACTGGACGAGGTGCAAGCTTTGAACAGGGTATACGCAGCAAATCAGCGTTATTCATTGTACGTGTCACACGTTGCCAAAGGCTCAATTGAGAACTGACAGTCTTCAAAGCCATAATCCCGATCGAGAGGCGGAGACACGCTCCATACTGGAGGCTGCCGGCATCCAGCTCTAAGCTATGAATCGATCAGTTCGAAAATGAGACCATAAGAGACATGCCAGTATTCATCCACGTGTTGCAATTATGGGTTCCAGCAATATCGGCAACAACTCAGACGCATCGCCCTCGAAAAACCAGTCGCCATCTCGGAGGCCAGCTTGCCGCTTAACATTGGCGTCCGCGTTCAGGACGCAAATTCGCGCCCCACGAGCCCGAGCCACATTGATGTAGCCCGCCGCCGGGTAAACCTCCGCCGACGTCCCTACAACAAGCATGATGTCGATACCGTCAGGTCTGCTGAAGCATTCTCTCACCATCTCCAAGATGCCGGCATCCAGCTTCTCACCATACCATACGACGCCTGGCCGCAGAGGAAGATTGCATTGTGGACAACCTGCAACCTCTAGATCCTTGCCACTGCGATCTTGTTGACAGCATATCCCATTGTTCGTCGTCGCCGAATCGCCACTTTCCAAAAGTTTCGTGGAGGCATTCGCAAGGTCTCTCGATGAGTATCCACAGCCGATGGGATCTGAACACCGTACGTCGAATAGTGTCCCATGTAGTAGAATTAGCTGGCTGAGAGGATGTCCAGCGCGTTCGCTCAGACCATCAACATTCTGGCTCAGGGTAGTCCACCCGGCATTCCGCTTCGACGCTTCGGCAAGCGCATAATGGCCAGCATTTGGATGCACGTCAAGAGCATCTTGACGTCGCTGAGCATAGAACTGCCATACGCGGCGAGGATCACTGGCGAAGGCCTCTGGAGTAGCAAGCGTAGCTGCTTCATGGACACTCCAGATCCCATCAGTGCTGTTGAAAGTGCTCAGGCCTGAAGGTGCGCTCAGTCCGGCTCCGACAAGTGCCACGATCGAAGTCGCTTTCGCCAAGCACTCTTGAAATGATAACAGATCTGATGAAGCGTGCGTCGGCCGCGCGAAGTTGTTCATGATACCAGGAAGAGAAGATGCGGCACAGCTAAGGTGGACCTGGACGCTTACTTAAGCAAGGGTATGTCAACGACCGGTCCTTCTTCGCGTCGGCCTCCGCCTCTTTTCCGACTGTCTCGTCCTCATGCCCTTCTCAGCAAGCTGGGTACTGGCGCCCAGAATAGCTTACAAAATGCAAAGGCGAACCAGACCGAATCGCTTGCAGCCTGAGGCACTGCGCCGCACTCATGCAGACACGAAACCAGCTATTGGCGCGTAGCTATCTGGCCCGCCTATGGCTTGGCACTTACTGCACTTCTTGCACGCTCGGCGAGCCTTGCCGATGCACTCTATGAGCTGGTGACAGCGATCATTAGCGAGCGCTACGCATGCTAGGCCGACAGATCTGGCAACCTCTGATCCGCTCTCGGGCATGAGGCACAGCGGCGGTTACGCAGCTGGCAGAGTCTGAATCAGTCCAGTCGAAAAGGTGCTCCTCGGCGGCTTCCCTTCATTTGGAGCCCGCCGTGTCTGGGACTTATATTTGGCATCTCTAACCGGGACTGTAATGCAGGCGAGGTCGGGCCAGTGCTCGAAGCCATCATTCAATGCAGCAAGCCACCCCCTTCTCAAGGGTGTTAGGTTTCGAACAACGAGCGTGGACCTGCCAACGGTTGGTTCAGCAGCCATTCTCAACATTAAAGACAGCAGTTCCCAATGTCCCGCGTCTGAGGTCGCCGCCGGCAGCCCGGGGCGCTAGACTGTGAATGGGACATGGCTGACCGGACGGTACAGTGACCCAACCTGGCCTCGAATTGCAGAACTGCTGCCTTGCTGACTAACCGATGCCCTATCTCAGAAGGTATAAGTACTCGAGAAGGATCTCTGCATCAAATTTCATATAGCACTATCTTCCTAATCTTTGCGCTGGTCTGCAATCTCGTTTCCAACATTACATCTCTCAGCCTGGCCGCCGTGACCGAAAATCTCGATATGTCTGCCTTCAGAGATCTGGACAATGGCCTCCCTTTAGTCGCCTCAGCCGAGCAGAACGAGCTCATGGATGCCATCGACAGACTGCGCCCACTGTCACTGCAGCACGAACTCGAACTTCCACAACTGATCGTCTGTGGCAAACAGTCGTCAGGCAAGAGCTCGGTGCTGGAAGCTATATCCCATATTCCGTTCCCCATAGGCAGAGAGACGACCACAAGGTTTGCGACCGAACTCGTACTGAGGAACGCTTCAGACGAGAACATTTCTGCATCAATAGTCCCCTCTGCAGGAACTTCGACAGCCGACCTTGCAATTCTTCGTGAATTTGACCCAGATGTGCAAAGACTCTCAGATTTCTCCCGGGTCCTAAGGGAGGCAAGTGATCATCTCAAAAGGCTTGTACCTCCTGGCAAACTCTCATCTCACAGGCTTCGGATCGAGCTCTCTGGTCCGCAACAACCGCACCTCACTTTAATCGACATGCCGGGTCTGATGTTGAATGCGACCTCTGGGTTCACAGAATCGGACATCGAATCTGTCAGAACCGTCATGAAGGAATATATGCGGCAGCCAAAAAGCATTATCTTGGCACTTATGCCAGCGTCTGATGATCTGGCTGATCACGAAGTTCTTCAGTTTGCGGCTGAAGCAGATCCGGAAGGTGTCCGGACTCTCGGCATTTTGACCAAACCCGATCGTATAGAAGACGACGAGAGCCGCGCGGTGCGTATCAAGGTAGTTCAGAATGAGGAAATCCCTCTGAAGCTTGGGTGGCATGTCTTGCGCAACCTTGGCCCAGGAGTTGAGACTAGATCCGCTGAAGATCGCGATCGAGAAGAGGCTGACTTCTTCGCTGATCCGGGCTCAGTGTGGTCCACAGTCGCACCTGCCAAAAAAGGCGTCGCTGCGTTGCGTGCAAGACTTCGAAGCATACTCTTGCGCAGCATTGCGGATACACTTCCAGCGCTGACCAGCGAAATTGAACTCCGGATTAGTGCATTGGACCAACATTTGATCATGCTTGGACCACCACGTATGACCTCTAACGAACAGCTTTCCTACCTCGATAACATATCTCGAGAAATGTCAACCCTAATCGATCAGGCATGCAAGGGAACATACGATGAGCCTTTCTTCACATCTGCGTTGACAAACGATGGCAATAATGCGAGGCTACTTAGAACCAGGATTCGGGACCTCTACGATGATTTCTACCAACACATGATCGATGATGGCCAGCTCTACCACATCGTGGATGGCGAGACTCGGACGTGCTCTGTACACGATCGGTCCGTTCACAGTGGCGAGATTGTGCTCGGACGGACAACCTCGCCTCTATGTGTCAGCTATCAAAATATGGCCAAAGCTGTACTGCACTACATTGGCCAATTCCGAGCACAGGAGTTGGATGGCGAACCTCCAGCAGTCGCGATTGGGCAAGTTTTCAGACTGATGGCAACACCTTGGCAGCACCTTGGAGATGCATTAGCGATCCGTTGTATTGATGCAGCACGATACTTTTTCTGCTCCGCATTGAATGCATGTGCCCCTTCGCATACTGCCAATGCTATCTACGAAAGAATGGTCGCAAGTCGCTTCGAGAGTTGCCGGGAAAGGGTGCGCCTAAAGGTCAAGGAGCTCACGACACCGTATCAGTCACCATTCCCAATCACCAAAAATCCTCTGTATCGTTCGAACCTACGAAGCTACGATCTCAAAGCCATTGACGAGACTGCTCGGCTAGAGGGGCCCCTGCGCAACATAGAAGAAGCTGCAAATCTCGCTCGCCGGCCGGAACACAATGTATTGAACGCTGCTGCTGTGTACTACGAGGTAAGAATGTTCCCCCAAATGATGATACCTGCTTATGGATACTCAGATTGCCGTCCACACATTTATCGACAACATCATGACGTTGGCTATAGAAAACTGCATCATGACTCCGCTCAAGGATATGTTCAACGTTCGAAAGGCACTACAGCTGGACGACGCGTCCTTCGCAGCTATCACTGCTGAACCTAATGAGGTAGTGACCAGCCGGAAAAGTTCTGCCGAAGATTTGCAAGTGTTTACGGAGGTACTCGAAGTTTGCAACAGACACAAATTCTTCGCAGGTAAGCTCAAGCCTGGATGCTGACCATACAAATGTCACTAACATACTCAGGCACCAACTCCCTGGAAGAAGATTCGAGCGCGGATCATGTGCAATTGAACAACATCCATCGTGCAGCTACTCCCACCACGAGCCCAGCCAAGCTCCGAGCAAGCAGTGACGGTCTGCTGGCTGTCTCCAGACAAGATGCTGCAATGCGAACGCCCCCAAGAACCCCAGAAAATGACGCACGCGAGCGCGGCACAACGCTCGGAATGCCTTTGCCCCAAGACGAGAGTTCTGCTGCTATTCGCGATTTATTCGACCCAGATTTTGATGCGAGCAGCACACCTCAAATTGACCAAAACGAACACTTGGGCCTGCCGCACAATGGTACCAGAACTGCTCAGCGCCGTCAGCCACAACACCGAGGTATCTTTACAAATAACAACATTTAGGGCTGCCGGCGGCATCGACGAGATTGTTGTTCGGATTGCACATTCGGGAAAAACCGAGATTCTGTCCCGTTGACTATGCACTCGCCTCGGAGCCAGTCAACAGAGAGTTCTTTTTGGCTTGCCTGCCCTACATCTTCCCGAGATCGCCTCAGATGCGAAGTCGCCAACGTCAGCAAACCTTGGAATCACGTACAGGAATCGGCAGCGTGTTGCAAGCGTGGTGTTAGATTGCTTCATGGCTACCGATCCAGTGCTGTTATTGCGGCAAGAAAGCAGAAGCCTTGGTCAGGAACAGACATATCGAGACCGCGATGCCAGTAAGGCTGCATAACTTGATTCCACAATGAGTATGACAATTTTTAGATACCCACAGCTATATGTGCATGGATCTGTTAATTCTGGACCTGCATTAGAGAATTGATGATGATCAACGCTTGGCTCTCCAAAGTTTGGAGACTAGATTGCTCCATCTGCGCCAAAGAGAGCTTGAATGAATGCGGGGGAACTACGACGTCACGCTCGATGCTGTAGATGAGGCAACGCACCACAAAAGCACTGTGGAAGGATTTCAAAGAGAGCTCTTCTTACACTCTCATACCTTGCTGTCATCACTATTTTCAATGACCGAACCAGAGGCTTCGACTTAGTACCTTTCGATCGACAACGAATCTTTACAGTCTCACGTTGAAAGACATTGCATCGACGAGGCACGCAAAGTTTGTCCCGTTAGGACGCTACAAACACATTCTCCTGGAATCACAATTTTGGTGGGAAACATGGCCGACTCCTCTGACATTCAGCCATTCAAGGTCGACATTCCCAAGGAGGAAGTCGATCGCCTCAAGCGTAAATTGAAAGACACTCGACTTCCGCCGAAAGAAATAGTGCCCAACGCTGGCACCAAGTATGGTCCTACTTATGAATGGTGCAAGAATCTTTACGACGCCTGGGTAAATGATTTCGACTGGTATCCAATTCAAGATCAAATCAACTCTGCACCGCACTACATCGCCAAGATCGAGGATGTCAAGATTCACTTCGTACACGCCCGTTCGAAACGCGAAGATGCTATCCCATTGATCATGGTCCACGGCTGGCCAGGCAGTTTCTACGAATTCAATCAATGTTGGGGACCACTTTCGAACCCCGAGGACCCAAATGAGCAAGCGTTCCATGTAGTCGTGCCCTCAATGCCTGGATACTGCTTCTCCGACTGGCCACCGAAAGCAGGATGGAATCTGCAAGATAATGCTCGAATCTTCGACGCTCTTATGAAGAAGCTCGGCTACTCTCAATATATGATCCAGACCGGAGACTGGGGCCACTGGGTCGGTCGCGAGCTCGGATCGAAGTACACCGATTCATGCAAATTGGTGCATTTCAACTTCGCCCCGTCTCCTCTCCCCGAAGGCGTGGAATATACGAAACGTGAACAAGACGTCAAAGATCGAGTCGACGACTGGTTGGAGAACCACATGGGCTATGCTGTCTGCATGCGAACACGACCACACACTATTGGCTTCGGCTTCAATGACAACCCGATGGGCATACTGACATGGGTCGGCGAGAAGTATAACGAAGCTGCAGATCCTGAGAAGCAGAAACGCAGATACTGGACGCAATGTATCCTTGCCACTGCCAGCTTGTACTACTTTACGGACTGCATCATGCCTAGTATGCTCTGCTACTACGAGAACGTTCGGCATGAGAATTTTGCGAACTTTGCAATGGAAGAGCATAACCGCATCACTGTACCTTTCGGCTACACTTCTTTCTACTGGGATACCGAGCCAAGTTCAAAGCGAGCTGTGGAGCGAACGGGCAATCTTGTATTTTACAAAGGTGAGTTCACCGAGCTGAGAATACTCTCAGAGGCGCATTTGTACAAATATAAGAATTCAGATGCTAATCTGCACCACAGAACGAAATGACGGCGGTCACTACGCGGCTCTTGAAGACCCACAAGGCATCATGGAGGATGTCCGAGCACTTGCTGCTCAGGAGTGGAAGGGAACGCAAAGCAAGTGAATGACAAAGCATCGCTAAATCGACAGCGTGAGAAGAAGAAAACACATAATATACGCGCTTTTCACATGAGCAACACTGAAATCCAAAAGAAGTAGGTCATCAAAATTTCAGTTCAACGCTTCAAGGACTGCAATACGTATATGTCGCTACATTTGCACCCCAGAAACCCCGCGGCAACATGTGCTTCATAGCAGCCAGTTCAATGATCGTCTCGCGGCTTCTCTGCAGAAAGAAGATTGGTCTACAAATTAGAAGTGTTCGGACGACAGGTCGTGGGGGAAAGGTGAAAGCCAGGTGACTGAAACGACGAGGAGTACTCTACTGGCTGTCACGTTGAACCGAGTGGTATCCTGGACTAATGAGCAGCGCGAAAAAATCAAAATGCTTGGAAGACGGATGCACGGAAATTTGTTGCTATAGCTTTGAGCGATCGACATCGTGCCTTCCCACTGCATGTTGTTGCTGTGCTGATCGAGGAAGCCCACTGATAAGGCTGATATGTGCTGTAGAATGCGTTCGACGCCCAACCCGCCAACTCTGGCTGATATTTTGTGCAAAGTGACAAGATCTTTTGACCAAGGTTCGCATTCAGTAATCACAATGCTTGACATTGTCAATCAGCACGACCGCAGCGGTCAACGTGCTCGAACTAGCCAAAGTGATAGTAACATTCTTCATCTTTCTGAACTTGTCAAATTGCTTGAAACTCATATCGGCATTCAAAATGGGACCCAGAGGCCCGGTACCAGTGACAGGCGCATAAGTGAAAGACTCTTCAGACACGGCTGATCCAGATAATTGAACCCGGTAGCACTGAAATCGCATCGTACTGCAGGCACAACGACTGTTGCAACGGCATTGAGTCTGCAGCCGAAGTAGAACTCAACAAGGTCGAAATATTTTCCTGCTGGCGCAGAGATGGTGCCAAAGGGGGATAATGTGACAGGGATCGTGCTTCCAGCACCAGTCAGGAAATCCAAGATGGGAGCCGTGAGTGTTCTTGTGAGACCGACTCCAGCCGTATTGTTGGGCGACTTCGGGGCCACGCCGTTAAGACCTGTTGCGCCCTATAGAAGGGTAAAGTTGGTCAGGCCGAGCACGAGATCATCGTCCGGACATACGAACCATAGCTGCAAATCTGCCATACAACAAGCCATTGTACGCTCCGATGTCGTTCTGAAACAGAAAAGGAACCGGACTGCTGGTCAGGTCGTCGAACTGATGTCGTGGTCAGAATTGCGAACAATATTGCTATTGATGTTCTACCTTGTCAATCTTTGTTGTGCATTGGCCAGTGGAAAGCTGCACTGGAGAAGCAGAAATGCCTGCCGCAAGACAAAGGGAGAACAGCTGGGGCTTCATCTTGATGCTGGAATGTATGACTATGAGATCAAAAGTTGGGTGTGAGTGAACGATGTAGATGATCTTCCATGTACTCGACTTGCGCTCCCTTTTATGTCTCAAGGTCTGAAGGAGTCGCCGCATACTATGCGAGAGCTGTGTGTCGAAGGAGGGTCCACGCATGTGGCAGACAAAGATACATTTCTCATGTAGCACATAGGCTGCTGCAGATGTTGGGTCGCCAATCGTGATCGCAGCGAAAGCACTCCAATTCTCGATCTCTTCACCATATGGCTTTGTGTAGTCTTCTGGTTCATTTTGAGGTACACGCCACGAAGACAAGTCACCAGCAATTCGCCCAGCGTATGTGAGTCCATCTATCGGCGGCCGCGAACCCGATTTGTCAAGGCAAGGATGTGGCGATGCTGCTAGTCGATGCCGTGCAACCATGAAAATAGGATCGCTTGCAAATCTTGTCCTTTGATGGCGTTCGTTGTCTGTCCCAGCTCCATATCGATGATTGTATCTTGCACTGCAAGCCGCCAGCGGAGAAACCTGCTGATTGCGATTGGTTCTGTTTCATCTGTGGATCGCGTAGTCGCTCGTTATAGCGCGCCCTACACGCTCGGAAACACACTCTGATGGTTTCCGAGCAAGTGAAAGGCGTGAACGTCCAAGAGCTCACTCGGCTGCTCCGATTTGCTCTACCTTGTGCTCTGTCTTCTGCTCGCTGGTTTCATCAACATCGAGAGGCTCGATCTTGACCTCGACGCCGGGCTCATCCGCCTTCGTCTCCACAGTGGTACCCTTGGAGTCAATGTGGATGGTCGTTTGATCGCCACTGTCATCTTCAGGCTCGTGGGGCGAGGAGTCGGAGGATGCAGCTGGTTCGTCCGTTGCGGCTGCGGCTGCTGTGGCTGCTGTCTCGTCTGTAACTGCCAGGGGCTCATTCGATGCTGATCCGTCCAACGACGGTGTAGGCAGCTCTTCTGATGGCTCTCTGCTATGCACCACAGTATTTGCGCGCTCTAAGCCGGGCTTTTGCTCCGCAGGTTCCTCCTCTTCTGCTTCCTCCTGAATGACCATGGTCACATTTGACGGAATCCGAATATGTCCTTGGCCGCCACCATGCCGTTTAGTAGTGTTGCCATTAGCAATCACTTCATTCCCGGCAGGCTTCAACGATTCGTCGCCTCTGGCAAGTATACTCGGCGCCCGGCTCTGCTCTTGCCCGCTCTCATCTGGCTCGTGACCTTCAGCCTCTGGCGGAATGGTGTAGTTCTCAGGCTGAATCATGCCGTATTCATCACAGACTGTCTTAAACAGAATATACAAGCCAGTTTGCCTCTCCACCCTCCAGAACATTTCACGATGTTGAAACCACGCGTGCGCATAGATACGGTATACGCGCCGGAAGATGTTGGTGATCTCCTTCATCTGCTGCGCCAGAACCTTGTCATTGCCTCCTGTTTGCCCTGAACCAAGACCCAATCGCGACGGGAACATCTTGCTGCTCGTGAGACTGCTGGCAGCCCAGTCAAGTGTGTGGCAGCAGTAGTCGATGGCAGAACAGCTCTTGGGAGGGTCGTGGACGGCGCATAGGTATTGCCACTCGCTGGCTCGCATCTCGGGGCAGGTGGAAGCACTGCATGGCGGATCGTCTGCAAAAAGGTTGACAATGATGGCGTTCGTTTTCTGGATCAGGAAGCGACCCAGCTCATACAACCAGATCTCCTTCGACGTCCCTGCTGGAGGTCGTGCGAGTTCACGGGCAAGCTCGGCGCTGACTGAGGTAGTGGTTTCGGAGTCGGGAGGGTGTGTGTGGTGATAGTACAGAGCTTTCAGGTGTTCTGTGAGCTGGAAGGCCGAGTCAATCTGCATGTCCCGTCAGCTGGGCGGTGTCGCGTGAGGTAAAGCAGAGTCGCGGTACATTCTGCAGGTCGGTCAAAGGCGGGCCTTCGTGTATATCCTCCGCTTTCGTGCCCGGCCGTATTCTTCGTGCAGCGCCTGTATCGGTGATGCTCGCGCCGGGCACCTTCCCATGCTCTTCGTATAGCGAGAGCCCAGGTGATGTTGGCCCCACCTGGTCCTCTGCGATGGGCGGTGGTGAGGGTAGTCTCGGTGACGACGACGGCGAGCTCACTGCTGCCATCTTGTCTGCTGCACCTGAAGAAGTCAGCAAGCTGCAGAAGCAATGTACCAAGCGATGTTTCGTTGCACTCGGCGGCTAATGAAGCTGAAGCACATGAAAGTCAACACCCTGGTCTCGCACGGATCGCGCCTCGATCCCGCCCAAACCTTCCCTCTCGAGCTACAACGACATTGAATCATTCCTTCCTGACAAGTACAACACCGAACGAATCGACATCATGGAAGACGACGATGAAGCCCCGCCCATGCTCGTGAACGCCGATGGCACTACAGCAGCAGACCAAGCCCTCAGCGCCGAGCTCGACGACGTGAAAATTGCCAAAGTACCCATCACCATCATCACAGGTGAGGCTTCGCCACATTGCAATCATAGAACACAAGACATACATGATATATTGTATCCGAATGTGCTCGACCAATGCTGATTCTTAAACAAATCCTAGGTTACCTAGGCGCCGGCAAAACAACCCTCCTCAACTACATCCTCACAGCAAGACACTCCCACAAAATCGCCGTAATATTAAACGAATTCGGCAACACATCCGACCTCGAAACCAAACCCCTCACCATTAACGAGGGAGACACCCAAGTCTCCGAATGGCTGGACCTCGCCAACGGCTGCATTTGCTGCTCCGTCAAAGACTCCGGCGTAAACGCCATCGAATCCCTCATGGATCGCCGCGGAACGTTCGATTATATATTACTAGAAACTACGGGCTTAGCGGATCCGGGAAATATTGCACCGCTGTTTTGGGTGGATGAGGGGTTGGGGAGTTCGATTTATTTGGATGGGATTGTGACGTTGGTGGATGCGAAGAATTGTTTGAGGGAGTTGGACGCGCCGGAGGGGGAGGAGGTTGTTCGGCCTGATGAGCATGACGAGGATGGTCATGCTAAGGGCCCGGTGCTTTCGACTGCGCATTTACAGATTTCTCACGCGGATGTTGTGGTGGTGAATAAAGCTGATTTGGTGACTGCGGAGGAATTACAAGCTGTGCAAGATCGAGTGAGGTCGATTAATTCGCTGGCGAAAATGCATGTGACGGATCATAGTCAAGTGCCACAATTGGAGGGTTTGGTGTTGGATTTGCATGCTTATGATGATGTTTCTGCAGAGAATTTGGAGTTTGTGACGAAGGGGCATAGTCATTTGGATCCTGCTATTGGAACATTATCGTTGAACGTTCCTGTATTGGACGATCAAGGTCTAAAAGCGCTGGATTCGTGGTTGCAATCTGTGCTCTGGGAATCGCGATTGCCCGAGACCAAGGATGCGGATGAGGAAGTCTCGAAAACTAGCTGGGAAATCCATCGCAGCAAGGGACGAATACCGCTCTCGAATGGGACAATCAAATTGCTACAAGGAGTTCGGGAGATATTCGATCTGATAGATGGTCCTGTCGACACTGCCAGTACTGCCGATCAATCCGGAAGGCTAGTTTTCATTGGTCGCAATATCGGTGGCGATCAATGGCAGGCCTCATTTCAGAGAAGCCTGTCAGCGCATATGAGGCGGAGATGACCGTTCAATATGACTTGAGCTAGTCTTGGTCCACGAAGCTAGGCTCCGCACATAGCGCTCCTATCAACGACAGTCCCAGGTGCTGGCCAGCGCCTGTTGTTGCCATGATCCAGGAGAAGTGGTATGAGCTGTCGACTTACGTGCAAAGTTGCTGCACTCCCTTCACGTCACGCTCTCGTCTCGATGGAACATGCACATCATCCCATGGTCACCCACAGTCACCATCCAGGTCCCATTAGGACTGAACGCGATCTGCGATGTCGCGAAGTGAGAAGGCTTGCCTCCAACTGTTGGTAAATCGGTGTTGGCCGTGACCCTATAGTGTGCTGCAAGCGGTGTGAAGCGGTCGCTGAGCGTGTACTCTCGGCTCTCCGGTGCAGTTGTCGAGGATGCGCCCGTGGATGAGGCGTCGGCTAGCCAAGGATTAGCATATTCGTAACCAGAAGCGAATCAGCGATTGCTTACGAGTTTGACCAGAAGCACTACTGGTGCCGCTCTCAGCTCGACGCAGTTCTCCCAAAACATTTGCTCCCTTCTTTTTTCGACCGTTCTTCTTTCTTGGCTTCATTGAAGGTCGATCGAACGGATCGATACCCTCCTCGAAACGCTGCATGTCCCAGAAGGAGAATCGTGTCGACTGATCACCCATGCAGAGCAAAGGTCTCTTACCCTCAGCATGAAAGAAGCCAAAGCGATGATAAAATCGATCCGTGTGAGGTATGTCCAACGTGAGCAATCTCGCGAATCCGTGAAATCCTTCATCATGATCAAAAGAGGAACCCGTGTACTGTCCGGCCTCCAGAATGGCTGGGTGCTCTGGCGGTAGCTCATCTGCATCGAAGCCGTCGATCTTCCATAGCAGGATCTCATTCGCATATTTGTGTTTCTTGGCGTCGCTCTGATCTCTTGCGGCCTTCGATATTATCAGGTCTCCGTAGAACGCGAAGCTGTCGACATAATTTGGGTGAAGTTCCTTAGTGAAGAAATGTGGATTGATCTCAGTCAATGGCTTAGACGCAGTGCTCCAGTCGCTGGCTGGGTCTCGGTCTCCCACCAGCGGCACTGACCAGAGACACACAGCTGTGTCAATGCCTCCCGAGATGAGCCATCTTCCATTGGGGTGGAATTCGATGGCAAGGACTGGTGATTGGTGTTTCGATAATATCGCCACACATGGTTGTGCCTCAAAGCTCGGATGTAGATTCCACAGTCGAATTGTATAGTCTTCCGAAACGGACGCGAGGAGGCTGGTCGTGGTCGGGGACACTGCGAGGTCGTTCACCGCGCCTCCATGGCCAGGCAGAGTTCGCGCAATTTCACCCGATTCAATGTCCAGTATTTTGATGTGCCTATGCTCAGCACCAGCAACGCAAAGCCAAGGTTTGTTCGAAATGGGCTCCTGAGCCCAAGCAAGACTGTTGAGAGAAGCAGCTGTGGTGCCCTGTTGAGGTCAGTGCCATGCCCTTGTGTAGTCCGCTTCCAAGAATGAGATGCCTCACCTGTTGCACCTCATCGTCGAAGAATCTCAAGACCTCGAACGGTGGGTCAGCACCTAGCCGTGGCCGACATACAAAAGTCTGTGGAATGTTAGCTGCTCGCCTCGACTTACGCGCAGAATTTCGAAACGTGCATACTTCTGTTCCCCCTGTCACTGCAAAGATCTGTTCGTCATCGCTATTGCCAAATGGCCAGAATTGAACATCAAAGAGAGTCTGGCCTGCACGAGCATCAATGGGAAGGCCTGAAAATAAGCCGAAGTTGCTCGACCTACCTGTGCCCAGTCTTGAGCAATGCTGCAGGATGGGAAAGACATCACTGCCACTGGGAGCCATGATGATAGACCCTTGAGTGAATGGCGCTGTGACCTACCACCTACCTGTGTGGGTTGCGTCGACAGCCTGCGGCCCCGCTCGTTGTGGCTCACAGCCAGTCACGCAGCGGGTGGAGACGTTGGCTCGACTAAATTGGCGTGAAGAATACGGAGGTGGTGGTACCTCGTCACTTCCCTTGCAAACTTGCCAGCTGCGGCATACAGCAACGCCTGGCACTCAGGCACAACCGCAGCCACAAGTTTGCAGGGATGAAGAGTGGTGCGGCAGAGCCGAGAACGTCTGTCGGAAATGCTCGGGGTTTGATGTGCCGTTGCAGTTGTGGACACACGTGCTCGAGTGGCAGTGTGCACAAAAGATGTTCTCAAGGTGGCACACGGCTGTCGCGGAGGCTCTCATCGATGATGAAAGTGGTCGTTGGCCGAGGAGGTGAGGTTGAGTGGGACCACGGGCTCGGGACAGGAGCTGATCACTGCATGAGGCGCAGGGAAGCTGGTCGCTTGTGAAAATGCAAAGCTGAGGCGTCCAGGGTAGCAAATGCTCTTCGCGGGATTAAAAGCAGGCGTGTTGGGCAGCACTTGCTGCGAGCTGCAACGATAATTATCGCGGAAGGCGGGTTGGTTTTGTGAAGAAGAGGAGGATTCGAATGCCGTGGTGGTGCCGTGCTGGGAGGAATGAGTTGGGCAACAATGGTGGCGGGCGGCGAGGATGAGGATGAGGTCGAGGCCTCGCAGCAGGGGTGAGGTGAAGGTGGATGGAGGCCGGCGTTGTGATTTGCTGGTGGTGCAAGAAGAGACGGGGCGGCAGCGAGAGGCGACGGGGAAGCAGAAGGGACAAACGCCATTCCCACGGACCCCGTTTGCGAGCGACATGGGTACAGTACACCGAGTGCGACTTGACATGCTGCCCTCCTGTCCTGACCAGACAGCGCACGCGTGGCCAGGCACATCGGCGATAGCGCACAGTAATGCACAGTGTGGTACGGTACTGAAGCTGCGCGTGTGCAGCGCGTGTCCACCGCTGCCGGCGGAAGCCAAATTCTGCTCGGCAGTTTGTGAGTGCGAGTGCGCGCGGAAGGGCAGAGCGGAGCGAGGGTGAGCTCATCCCGCATGAACGAGCAGCAGGACCTGACATGCCTGCACCACGCGCGCTGAGCTAAATGCCATCCCAACTCACTAGTTACTGCTGCTGTTGCTCTCTGCTGCCACTAAAAACACCTCTCCGGCTGTCGCCGTCGTACTGCTCTCCTCCTCTCTTCGTCTGCTGTCTAATTCGCGGCCGGCGAGAAAGCTTCCAGTGGGGGCGCATTCCTCATTCGGTGCAGCCCTGCGAGCGCCCACTCCAGCCTCGACTTCCTTCGTCCGACAGCCTTTTCTCCTCCCTCATCAGCCTTGCCCAACAGCCCGCAATAACCTCGACCACGGGACGGACTGGCGCCGTGAAAGCTGAAAGCCCTCTCAGGACCCTTCTTCGCGCTCTCGACGACAGCACGAGCACGAGGTACTACTGTACCAAACAGGCTCGTCGCGTGGTGCGCAGAGCATCACCTTCCAGCCCAGCCGAGCTAGCCATATTGTCCGCCTCGAGGCCTGCATCTCGGTCTTGTCTCGCAACGAGACCATCGGCATCCCGACTGCACCTCGCCCAAGCTGCTGCCAGCTTGGGTCAACATGAGCATCCCGCATTGAGAGACTCCTCTTCCCGCACCTGTCTGTCATAGCGGCACTCCGCCAGCAGTATGGAGACCACTTTCATCTCCATTCACGGTAAGCCCGCTTGCGCCGCAACCCTTCCTCCCGCCACTCAGCACGCTCACGTGTTCTGCTAGACCTCAGCGACAATGCGACCATCCTCTATACCTCGGATTCGGTGGTAGACGTCTTGGGCTACACACCAGATGAGATTGTCAATCACTCCGCGTGGGAGCTCTTTCCCGAGGATGAGATTCCCGATGCCCAGAAATTCCACCGCAAGCGCGTCAACACCGATAGGGCCGCTGTGCTGGCCTACGTGCGCGTGCGGAATCGTGAGGGCGCATGGATTGGCTGCGAAGTGTGTATGACGGTCGTCTACGATGTCATTGTCGTATGTACCAGTGTCTACAGGCGCGGCCTCAAGTCAGAGAGTAAGTGCGACGCACAAACTAGACATTGCATGTCCGCTGACATTGCGTAGAACGTGCGTTGGAGGCACCCATGGTCCGCCGCATATTCTCGTCGTCGCCCAAGGACCCGAGATATCACATGCTGTCCCACTTGTCGACCAAATTCTCACAGCCACTAAAACAGGACCAGCTGCATGAACCTCGTGCAGCTTTATTCCTCAATCGATTCACCAGGACTTTGACCATCATGTACGCCACGAGCGGACTCAACGAAGTCATCGGCATTCCAGCAGAGGCGATGCGCGGGCGCAGCTTCTACTACTGCATTTCCGAAAATTGTCTGCAAGACGCTGTCAAGTGTCTGGAGAATGCCAAAGGCAACGATTCAATAGCCTATTTACGCTTCTGGTTCCGCGATCCACGGATAGACGACGACCCGGTCGAAGACGATAGCAGCGACGAAGAGATGACGACGGATGCTAGCGAAGAAGGCGGCGTAGTGCTTGACAGCGGCGATTCCAGTGTGCGTCCGGCTAGCGCCAATGGCATGGACATCGATAGCGACGAGTCACATAAGGACTCGCGGCATTCTTCCGGCGATAGCACACTGGCTGCCGATACCCACGAGGCAATTTTCGGCCATGCTCGTCGCGCAGAGTCGTCGACTTCATCTCTCGGCCAGTCGCCTCCACGAGATGGCGCGGCTGCTGCTCCGATCCTTAGAGACCCCATTGAGCTGGAGGCAGTGGTATCATGCACATCTGATGGCCTGGTGGTATGTTTGCGAAAGGCACGACCTTTAATCCCTCATCCGACACAACGGCCATCTCAGCCTGTACACCGGAACGGCCTGTTCGCAGCACCTTGGGCGCACCAGGCAGTACTTCCCCCAATGGAGGCCAGAGCGGGGACAGGATATGGTCCAACATTTGCGCCCGCGCTTGGACCGCAGGGCGCCCGTCGCGATGTCCACCCGCAGCCACAAGCGGCTGGTCCAAGTCAGATGGACTACATGGCCGCCATCCGGGAGCAAGCTGTCTTCGCCTGGGCACTCACCGGTATCAACGGTATGCTGGCAGAATATGGACACGGTAAACCGACTGGCGAATCAGTGCCACAGGATGGTCTTCCAATCTGGGAGAGCGACCATAAGAAACAAAAGTTGTATCACGATAGCACCGACGGCGAGTTTGGGAAGGGCCGACCAGCTCACATTTTTGGCGATCCTGGGATAGATCGCAATAGCACGAATGGTAGTCGTGGGATGAAATCGAACGGATACTCGAGCATCTCGCCTCCGGATCAGACCCCACGATGAAACACCTTGGAAGCTACCCAATCGTGCTCTTTGAGCTCTGACACGACGACCACCGGTTCTCTGCCGAAAACGAAACGACTTTCTCACGAGATACCCAAATGAGGTTCTGGTATCTGTTCAGCATTTTAGCGTGTACGAATGACGGCTGTTGCATCCATATGGCGCAAGAGGCGCGAGATTGGATACTATCACTTTCCGATCAGTGGCAAAACTTTTGAATATCACGAAAAGTCCTGCACGAGATGTGCGAACGCATTGCGATGTGGAGCAGAGAAGGAATTGCTACTTCTTCAGGTACTAATTCAGAGTTGAGATCTCGACCACTCATCATCAGTGTCGATACGATCAGAAACTATCCCGTGCCTGCGCCAACCGCACCCTCAATATCCTTCCCTTCCACCACACGCCTCTCTCCTCGCCTCCCTTTCTCCCTCTGCAACTCCCCCAAAATCTCTCCAGCAACCTCAATCGCCTTCTCCGGCAACCCCGCCAACCTCGCCACCTTCAACGCATGCGAATCCCGATTAACCCCTTTCCTCAACTGATGCGCATAAACCCAACTGCCATCATCTTTCTCCACCACACTCGTACAATAACATTCCAACCCCTCAAACTCCCTCGTCATATCGGCCAATACATGAAAATGCGTCGCAAACAGTGTCCTGCTTTGATTCACATAAAACAAATGATGTAAACAAGCATAACCTACTGCGATCCCATCTTCAGGCGTCGTACCTCTTCCGACTTCATCCATAATAACAAACGACCTCGGGGTAGCTTGTTTGAGGATTTCAGCCGATTCGAGCATTTCGATCATAAAGGTTGATTGGTCTTGATAGAGGTTGTCGGCTGAACCTACACGGCTGAAGAGTTTGTCTACGAGGCCGAGTTCGGCGTAAGTTGCCGGGACGAAAGAGCCTGTTTGGGCGAGGATCGTTATGAGGGCGTTTTGGCGGAGGTAAGTACTTTTGCCTGCCATGTTGGGGCCTGTAATGAGGGAGATTTTATTTGTTGGAGAGCCGACTGTGCAGTTGTTGGAGGTGAAACTGCGGCCTTGGGAGGTGAGGCTGGCGTCTACGGTTGGGTGGCGGCCGGAGATGATGTTGTGGGTCGTGGAGGTGTTGAGGATGGGTCGGACGAGGTTGCGTTCTTTGGCCAGGTGCGCGGAGGAGCAGGCTACGTCTAGTTCGTCGAGGACAGAGGCGTTGCGGCGGAGTTTGACGAGGTTTTCGAGGACTTCGGCGCGGAGTTTGGTGAGAACGCGAAGTTCTTCTGTGCGGATGCGGTTTTTGGCGTCGTCGATGAGGACGCCGAGTTGGGTCCATTGTGGAAGATAGAATGACTTCGTGCTTTTCGTCGAGCCAATGATCCGAGCGCCTTCGAGGGTTGCTAATGTGCCTTTGGCATCTCGGCCTTTGATATGGCAGAAGTGACCAAGCTGGGAACTCCATTTCAGACTGAGACTCTCAGACTGTAGATTTTTGCGCAACTTCTGCGCGAGCTCTGATTTGGCTTCCATGAGCTGGTCGATATCCCTGTGGGCGCGTTCCAAGGTGGAAGACGCATTACGACGCATTATCCAAATCTCGCCAGAATTCATGTCAGCGTTCTTGTCTGCTGATGCAGCCTTCGAGCGACGCCGAGTGAGACTAGGGCCTTTCTCGCCAGCAGCTTCTGCAGAGATGACTTCGTCGGCCATTCCCTCGGCCTCGATGCCAGCCGCTTCATCGACAGAATGTTTCCTGCTCAAGCCATCTTCATCAATGGCACTCTTGATCTTCTCAGCAGCCTTTCCAGGCGTGTCCAGATCTAGACGTCCAAGGATGTCCCAGAGAAAGGTTAGATCTTGGGATGCATAATTGCTGTCCTCGTGCATAAGCCGATCTTGATTATCGACTATGTGCTGATGTAGGAGCGAAGACAACTTCTGCATTATGTCGATAGTTCTGGCAAGCGCGAGCAGATCGTCCGCGTCACCTTTGCCAGCGGTAAACTTCGGCATGAGACGAAATGTATCATGTGTTTGCCGCAGAAGAGCTACTATGTCTTCGCGCAAAGAGTCGTAACTCAGCATTTCCTGGACAAGATCCAATCTATCATTGATGACAGTCAAAGACATTGATGGCGAGACGAGCCGTTGACTCAACAGGCGAGCACCACTTTTGGTGACGGTGTGTCGGATGGCATGCAGCAGACTTCCCTGGGTCGCACCTTCTCGAAGTGTGGAGCGAATTTCAAGATTACGCAGACTCTGCTTGTCAATCGCCATGTAGTCGTCATCTGTCCTGCGCACTGGAGGTAACAGCTGAATCTTGATATCGAGCAGTTTGTGACGAACATAGTCTAGCAGTAAGCTACCTGCTGCCACTTCAAATGCAGTGAAGTCCGCTTGCTTCTTTTCCGGTATCGCGCGCTCTAGCATAGGAGTCCAGTCTTCCAAAGGAGTTACTGGCCTGGGTGCAGGATGGAAGTGCATTGGTAGGTTGGCGTCGCTGATGAGGCGCTGAAGGTTGGACTGATCTGCAGATTGCAAAGCTTGGTCGAGGACCACCTCTCTCGGACCTATGCGCGCAGTGATGGAAGGCAGAGTCGCCAGATCGGACACTTGCGTAAAGAAGTCGCCGCTGGAGAGGTCAACCCAACTCAAGCCTACCTTCATGTTTCGTCTGTACTTTTCATACGCTGCTCTATCGTCGACGACAACATGGGCAGCAGGAAGTGCGCCTCCAAAATGTATTGCGAGCAAGTAATTGTTCTCGAACGGGTCCATGAAGCTTTCATCGATAAGTGTTCCAGCAGTAACGACTCTGGTGACTCGTCGATCGAATAGCATAGTGCCGTTCTTACTGTTTCGCTCACTTTCTGAGATGGGTATCTGCTCAGAGATTGCCACTTGCTGTCCCAGGTCCTGTACAAACATCTTGAGATATCGCTCAAGCTGGGTATGCTGAAACCCAGCCATGGGCACGTCCCCTAGCGTTGTTGCCCTTTTGGCAACTTTGAGGTTCACTAAAGGAGCAAATTGTTCGACCTGGTCGAAGTACATCTCGTAGAAGTCGCCAACTCGTGTGAGCACGACGCAATCTTTGAACTTTCGAACATTGTTAAGGTGCTGTTGCAGAACTGTCGGGTAGCTCTTCTCCGGCTGCACAGCAACCTCATCAGGTGGCAGTGGCGACAGAGCGCCTTGTGTGAGTTCGCTTGCTTTGATGGTGCTTTTTGTTTTAGCATTCCGTGTTTGCGTCCAGAGCCATGGTCGCTTGGCGATGCATTGAAGAGGTGCAGAAGCTGGCGTGCGACGGGTGACGCCCAACGCTTTTCCCGGAGGATCGCATGCTGCTCTGAATGGAAGCAGTCGCGCCCTCATTGGCGGCCTGGATTTGTCGTTTCGAGGAAGGTGTTTCCAAGCACGCGTCAGTTGCTCAGAAGTGTCGGCGACACCCCTGAAGCCGAGAGCGAAGCGCGCTAGCACGCGTTCGAAGAAGGAAGGTGCAGCGAGAGGCATCTTGAATTGACTTCGAAAGTTCTCCTCGCGACTTCGTCTCTTCTTACATCAATGCCACCAATAAAGCCTGAACGAATCATCGACTGTGAGACCTTTGAAATGAAAGCGAGACAGTATCGCAATGCGACTGGGAGTTGGTTTACGCCGAACGCAGGATGAATCTCAAAAACAGTCTACCGCTCGCACAGTAGAGCTCACGCACGGATGATGTATGCTGGCCGGCTGAGACTGTGGGCGATTCTGCAGAAGACATGGCGAGACCGAATATCACAAGCTCTCACCAAGTGCGTCTTTGACGCAGTATTCATGACTTACCGATGCAGTGATTGAGCAAGAATAAGACATACATGAAACTGTGCCAGCCACATCGAAACGACCATGTGCCATTCAGGTGTACAAACTTGCTTTGACATAAATGCTATGCTCTCCATATGCAGGATGAAATCTTCCCACCAAGCTCATTGTCCTTCTTGTCGTCCGGGACCAGCCTGCATCCATCAATCAGAGACAAAGAACCCGTCACTAACGCCTAGATGGCCGCGTGGTCTTTGTGTAGCATATTGCTCACCCCAAGACTTTTCCATATGGCACAACAAGCGGCGACTCTTGTAGGACAACCTGCTAGACAGAATCAGAATTCCAAAATGCATCTAGCGATACCGAATCATCGTACTCGACGAGTGGAAGCGATCAGGCAAAATGTGAGGAGGCATCAACAGGCAGCGGAAAGGCAAAAACTTGCGGAGAAAGCTGCACCGGCTTATTTGCAGCACCACGGCAGGATCTCAACATGCACTCCTGAGACTTTCCTGCGCAAACGCAAGCCTGTACCTGCAACAGCATCAGTCCTGAGAGGAGATCTGGGCTATGCCTTTCACGACCCATCACATGACACTGAGTCAAACACCCAATCCGTTCCGACTGAGACCTGTGTTCTACCGCAAGAGCACATTGTGACAGAACCGCGCACACCAATTAAAGTGCCAGAACGTTCCGACTCATTCGACGAAGACTACGACTTGACTCCTCGATACATGCGACGTTACCTCACACGTGAAGCACGAGCTAGACCGCAACCGGATCCTCGTCCTACAGCCTCTATTGAGAAGAAGACCGCGCTCGACCAAGGCAGTTCGACGAGCATGTTCAATATTGCCAACCCATACTCTGCTTTTATGGCACCGATTGAGCCTCCAGCATACCTTGCCGGCCCTTCGAGCCCATTAGAGAAAAGAAGACGAGGCCTGTTTCAACAAGACAAAGCCGCACCTCAGCTTCCTCGCCAGCCGGTGGTTTCCACAGCTGTGGTATCGTCTCCAGCGAATATGCAATCTTCAAGCATGACCGAATGGAAACGAGCAGAGAACGGACGCGACGAAGCCTTGACTTCGAGCTCCAAAGTCCTGGAACAGGGTGCGATGAACATGAGCGCCTTCCTCGATACAATGCTTTGCATTTTCGCACTCGGCCTCGTGGTTGTCGCAGGCGCTGGCACTATGTCGACATTCATAGCGTTGATGACCGCACCAGCTAGCTGGTAGCCGATTACAGCCAGGTCCAGTAGTGATCTAGCAATGCCATTGCGGTAGACCGTGTGACCTTCTGATCTGTACATTTCTCCCCCTTTGGATCCGGCGACCTAGTTTGCCATGCTGCTTTGCGATCCAATACTGTCGCCTTCCACTCCTCCGGATTCCGAGGACAATTCTCTTTCCCGCACGGCGGCTGCTCCGATCTTGGTACTGCATTGGCCTCTGCAGAATGGAATTTGATGTGGGTGAATGCTACGCATCGAAGGTGGATAGGATCTCGCCCCACAGCAGTTTCACGAATAAGTTCGCCGTCCAGGTTCACGACCAGCATATCTGAAGCTTCCTCCGGCAGACTTTCAAGCCACCGCGTCGTCATCTTTCGTGTCCAGGAATCTGCTGTGCCACTACCGGGGAGTACGAAGACATTCGAGCCATATGCGATTTCCAAGGTTTCGGCGCGCAGAGCTCTGCAGACTTGAGATAGGGCGAATGTACGCTCTGGAATGAGGTGCATTGTTTCGGCTTCTGACCATGCGTCAATTCTAAGGTCTGCTGCTGCCGTATCTTCGTCCACGTGGAATAAGGCGTAAAGATCGTTATTGTGCGCGTTTTTGATGCTGCCAAAGGACCCGAAACGGTTCGTGATTGGGTCGATGAGCTGGGAGGAGGGCATCGTGAAGCTGTAGATATGGTCTCGTATCTCTCGAGGCAGCTTGAAGATCCATCTGTACAGGGGTTTTCGGTTGTGGTTCTCCCGGCTTTTTCGCTCTAGGTCCATCGGCCTATGAATACGCATCAGCTTGGTGACTACACATGCCGAGGCAGAGAGATACCTGATGGGAAGGGACGTAGGTTCCATCTTAGTTGACGGCCGTAAAGTCCCAAGTCGGAATTCAGTAGCAATAGGTCGAGGCTCGGGTTTGGGAGGTCTGATTCACAAGTGTGGCTGCAGCTGGATGCGAAGACGAACGACAGCAGGCCGTAGCACTAGACTCTTTACGGTTAGTGATCCCACCCCACGTGGAGCTAAGCAGTTGTGGTGAGAGGTTGCAGGAATAGAAGAAAGTAATATTGGAGACTGTAGCGAGTACTATGGCAATTTTTGACCCATGGCCAAGACGGAACTTCAAGATTTCTGCCATCCTACTGCTGAGATGCTGAGAGGCTAGTGCTTCCGATGAATACCACTTGTACGGCTGCGAATCTGGATGCGAATATAATACGTCAGCTCAGCATCTTATCGCAAATGGGGTAGACTACACTTACGCTGCACTGGCAGCAAAAATCTCCGCAGGTCGAGCAGCCGTCAACAACGCCAGGCTGACAGAGAAGACAAACGAAAGCCCCATAGCTGTCAAGATGCGTGCAATCAGATTGCGAATGAAGTACAGTACGACAATCGCGAGTGTCGGAATGCAAGTCGAAGCGATGACACTTAGCCAACGAGCCGCTCGCCGATACGTCTCGTCGCTCCATTCTACAAGACCTAACTCTTCTTGACCAGGAAGGGGACTCCTGGACTGGACTTTGTTGCGATATAGCCAAGGAAGGACTCTTTCCGCAAACCATCGTGTGGCAGAGTCGAAGTCTCTGCTGTCTAAGGCTACGAGGTCGGAGCTCTCGCTTTCGAGCCATGGAAGGTCTTCGATTCCGGTGAGAAAGTTGTTGCCGCCATCGGCTCTGGCTAGCCAGTCTTGCAGCAAATTGAGATCGTATCTGTTCGGTTTGGGCAACTTGCATATTTGCGAGTGCTTGAGGAGGGCAGTATCTACCTGGAAGTCAGGCCAGTCACATTCTTTGTTATCCTTTTTCCTTACGATACTGGTCCAGATTTTCACGAATCGATTTGATGATCTGCCATTGTTGGCCGTTGTGCTCACTCGACTGGAGCAAGTCGATAGCCTTCACGTCGTACTTGAGACCGTCGTCTCGATCTAGTGCCGCTTGGACTTCAAGTTGACGTTCCAAGTCCAGTAGCTCGACTTGTCGCATCAGCAGGCTGTGAGCCGAAAGACGTGAAAACCGCTTGAACATGGCCATGCTGCTGTGTGGACCCAACAATTGGGCAAGCGCCGGGTAGCCATTCTCCTTCATTTTGTCAATGGGCCAGTAGTATAGTGACCGCACTGTATGTCATTCGAGGCGCTCACTCGCTGAGGATGGCGAGTAGGGCTGGTATACAGCCTGATGTGGCTCGGCCTGGATGACGAGTGGCGTGCATGGAGGCGCAGAGCTCCTCAGCGGGGACATCACATTGTCAGACTTTTTCAGCTCCTCAAATCATTCAACAGCAGCAATGTCGGGCATGGAGATAGCGGGACTCGTGCTTAGTGTGTTCCCGTTTGCGGTAAAAGCCTTGGAAGAGGCGGTGGACATTATTGACAAGTACGATAATACGACTAAGCACAGTAACTTTAACCTTAGGCAATTCGGACGATCGAAGGCCAAGCGACTTGCGGACCTGCGTAACAGAACTAGAGATGCAATGCTAGATTATCAAACCGCGCATCTCAATTTGACGACTCTGTTGGCAACGGATGCTCAAGAGCGACTGTCTAGCGCAGAATTAGCTAGGGTGGATCATCTCTGCAAAAGCTCACTTGCCTTGTGCAGCATGCTGTACGCAGAGAGTGATCAGCTTCTGCGACCAGGGAGGAAAGAAAAGGCCAAGGAGGCTTCGATAGACAGCATGGTGAGCATGATTTTGAAGATGACAGACCGTATGAACCGAGAGTGTGCTATCCTGGAACAGTAAGCGGCAGTGGCAAATGTTATGTTTATACTGACATCTGCTAGACCACTAGAGCGACACCCTTTCGACAGCGAACTTCGAGGCTCGTCGGTGTACAGAGATCGGAACAAGTCACGACAGCCTACGTCTTCCTCTGGCAATCCAGACGATGCCTTCGCCTCGGACCTTGATTCCCAAGGGACTGCAGACAGTGATCTCCCAACCGATCCGGATAGTGTGTCGATGGGCCCGTTCAGCTATTCGTTTCCGGAGGTTCCAACCATATCAAGCACATTCGAAGCCGGCGCAGAAGCTGTGATTGACGATCCGTCTGTGAATAAAGCAGAGAGATTGGTCCTGGTAGATATGGAGAATGGTCAGTCGAAGGAGGTTACTGCTCTCCTTGACACCGGAGCCACAGTCAATTGTGTTGCAGAAGCAGACGTTTTGCTGTTAGGGACGGAGGCAAACATCAGAAAGCTACCGCACCCGAAACCAATCAGGATAGCTAACGATGAGGACATCGAGGCAACACACGTCCTGAAGTGCAGATGGTATTTCCCAGGCAAGGTCACGGCTTATACGCACATCTTTCACATAGTGCCGGGACTTCCTCGCAGCCTCGTCATTTGTCAACAGGTCATCTTCCAACACAACTTTCTGACCGAGAATATCGAACTCTGCTCTCTTGGCTTGCCGAAGGAATTGAAAGCCGCACCGGAGCTGTATGTACTGGGAATGGCGACGCAAACTAGAGGTGAGCTTGTCTGACAAAAGATGATGCGAATGGCAAACGTTAACCTTGACCAGCCAAGAAGGAAGAGCAGTCACAGCAGGCTAAAGCTGCCATGAAAGCGAACGAGGCGCAAAGACGGCAAGAGCTGGAAGATATGAAGCAGGCATTCGCCAGACGTGCAGCGGCTGCAGCTTCCAGCTCGGCCGCAAGCGCCTCGACTCAGCAGTCGGGCTCATCGAGCACACAAACCTGAAGGGCAATGTAGGGCTGGGGATGCAGGGCTGTTTGATTCAAAGTGCATATTCTTGGCTGTCCACGTGTCGAAGTGCTTGTCATTGAGGAGTGAGATCGAATCTGAGACTGTTCAGCGGGGCTATAGATGGCAAAGTATGCAACATTACAGCTCACCAACTACCTGAAGTTTGGTGCCATGGCCATAGTATCCCTCGCTTTCCAGGTAGGCGAGCAATAGTCATTGCAGTATGTTCCAACCTAGAATCCTTGCATATGAAAGCCAGTCGATACCCCAATGAACGCCGCCCGTGCTCTCCACGCTATGCTCGCTGAGGCCATTAAGACAACATCTTACACCAATTTCTCCTGCTCTCCATAACCACCCTTCTTCTCGTCTGTCCACTCTCGGATCTGAATTTCTCTCAATTTGGCCTCCTTCTCCTCATCGTCCTTGATGATCGCCATGACCCGATCGTGCGGCGTCTCACCCTGGGCCTTGCTATGACCAGCCGCAAAGTTCGACCATGTCTTGGCAACCTTTGGTGCTTTGGCTGGTTTCTGTTTTGGTTGCTCAGGCTCAACACCGCCGAGCATGGGGAAAGGATTCTCATTTGAGTAGCCGATGATGTAAGGTCTGAAGCCCTCTTCTGAGAGAGAGTCGAACATTTCCTTGACGGCTTCCCATTTGTGGAGAGGGAAGTCTTTTTGGCCTTGAGTGCCGGTATGCTGCGATGAATTAGCTATGTTCGTGGATGGAGCCTGATGACCAGGTCTTCACGCATGGACTGGGGCCTGAGGCGGCATCTTGGCATGCGAATCGAGTGGTGGTTGTACGTACTGTGAAGAAGACAATTCTGAGATAGCCGCCTGGCAGATCTGTGACACTCCAGACATCTGCTCTACCTAATCGCGAAAGTGCTTGTAACTTGTACTTCTGCCATGTTGGCATCTTGTCCTCGAAGCCGCCGAAAGTCCTGTTGTCGAAAAAGACCTGGATCTCGCCAGGATCGTAGCGGCCGGCATGTTGAGGATCGAACTTGTCGAGTTCTTCGCGTGTTGTGTATGCCATATTGGAGATAGATATGCCTTTGATTACTGGAATGATGTTCGTCGCGAGGATCGACAGTTCTTATGTATAAGTGATTCAAGGCGGAAGGTGCTTGGTGAGACTCTTGAGAATTGCGTGGCAGTGGCGGAAAGTTGGCTGTGTAAGTTCTTGGACTACGCCATGACAGTCTTGCACTCGGAACCAAGTGGTAGATGGACAGTTCTTCCTGACTTTCGATACCAGGGATACTCGCTTTGCTATAGCCGGTACCTTTGCGCGATATACGTCCACATCTCTTCTCGCGGCTGGTTTGTCATCGGCAAGAGTCGGTCCGATCGGATGTCGGGAGGCAGAAAATACAGTCACGTGTGCGCGAGCCTCAGCGCGTTACATTCGTGTTCAAGCCGCGCCACGCCATGTCGTCACGATCTTGAGTGAGGACAATGGGTTGTGCGAGGGAAGCTGCTGGACAGCGGATGAACATGCAACGCTGACCGGATGACAACACAGAAGGAGGAATACAGCACTGCCCGCACCAAATAGAAATGGTCAAGCTGCAGGCAGCGACCGTCGCGCCACGCCTGGCTGGCAACACGAAGAAGAGAAAGCGACAGACGGTTGAAGCGGCGACAGAAGAAGTCAACGGGCAAGATACACCTCCTGACACCGAGGGTACCACCGAAGGCACCACTACAGTCCCCACGAAAGAGCACGATGGAGGCAAGAAGCCGCGTAGAACGACGAAGAAGGGAAACAAGCCATCGCTGCAGCGAAATAACTCCTCTGCTGTGGTGGAGTCTACAATACCATGGCCGTCCGAGTTTACAGCTTTGCAACAAGTCTTTCGGGCTCTCAACCTAGTGTACACGTTCTGCTGTACGCGCAAACATTTCGCTACTACGATCGAAAACCTACGAACCACAGTCGAGAAGAACATTGGCCGAGAGCTGCTGGTGACGGATGTAGCAAAAGTGAAATGGCTGTTCCCGCAGGCAGTAAATTTCCTCTATGTCGATGAGACATTGCTAGAGGTCGCACTCATGGGCGAAGAGGACTACCGGGGCAAGAAAGCTGCCAATGATTTCTTCCCATCGAACCCCGCCGAGGAGCGCAATGTGCGCGAGGGCATGGGGAAGGAGGAGCATAAAGAGGTGCTCTACTTTGAGTTCGTGGACGGTGACTTGAAGCGGCATGTGGAGGACCCCGTAACTGGCGAAGCTGTGAAGCCGAAGACCAAGATTCGGAACGAGGACCTTAAGATGCCAGTGTTTAGCCAGAAGCAAATGATGAAGCTCATCGACAAGCGGAACGTAAAGTTTACGTCTGTGGTGAATGCATGGCTAAACAAGTGCGCTGAGCAAGGTTTTGATCCTGTGCAGAAAATGGAAGAGGAGTACAAGCAGTATATTCCGACGCCCAGTTACAGCAGAGCTGCTTCACCTGCACTCGAGGACACGTTGCCCAAGAGCATACCTGAGGAGAGGAAGACCATCTCTGAGATCGTGGAAGAGCTCAAAGGACTGGAATGGTACACAGGTCAGATTGTGCCTGACGGACATCGTGTCTTCGACCCGCAACAGCCCGTCTATGGCGAGCTGAACTTTGAGTTGAGCCAGGAGCTGGTCAACGCATTGTACAACACTCGCAACATACAGTCATTATACAGTCATCAAGCCGAGGCCATCAATGCTCTCAACGAAGGCCATAACGTGATTGTGGCGACATCAACCAGTTCCGGCAAGTCTCTCATTTATCAACTCCCAGTTCTGAATGCGCTCGAATCCGATCCAAACACTCGCGCCATGTACATATTCCCCACGAAAGCGCTCGCGCAGGATCAACGTCGGAGCATGAAAGCTATACTGGGGTACCTATCTGGCCTGGAAGACACCATGGTCGAGACTTTCGATGGAGATACCCCCTTTTCTGATCGCAACTACATTCGAGATGAGGCTCGTATAATCTTCACCAATCCAGACATGCTGCATCTCACGATACTGCCACAAGAAGAAGCATGGCGGACGTTTCTCAAGAACCTGCGCTACGTGGTGATGGACGAACTGCACGTCTATAATGGACTGTTCGGTGCTCACGTTGCCTTCATAATGCGACGCTTGAGACGAATATGCGCGGCGGTGGGGAACCGCAAAGTAAAATTCATCTCGTGCTCAGCAACTGTAGCAAATCCAGAGGAGCACATGCGGACCATATTCGGCATCGAAGACATCAAGCTTATTGACTTCGATGGCTCACCTTGTGGTCGCAAAGAGTTCGTTTGCTGGAACACTCCATACAAAGATCCTGGCGACCCCACGAGTGGTCGTGGGGACACGTTCATGGAGACTGCGCGTCTGTTCTGCCAGCTTGTCCTTCGCGGTGTGCGGGTCATTACATTTTGCCGGATCCGAAAGCAATGCGAGATCCTGGTTGGTGCCATCAAGAACGAGTTGGAGTCTCTCGGTCGCACAGAGGTCATGAATCGCATCATGGCATACCGAGGAGGCTACACTGCACAGGACCGAAGGCGGATTGAGAAAGAGATGTTTGAGGGCAAGCTAGTCGGCATAATAGGAACCAGTGCTCTGGAACTAGGAGTCGATATTGGCAGCCTAGACGCCGTGATATCGCATGGGTTTCCGTACACGATCGCCAATCTGCGACAGCAATCTGGGCGAGCTGGCCGACGGAACAAGGACAGCGCTTCATTTCTGGTAGGAGATTGCTTTCCCACGGATCAGTACTTTATGGCAAATCCAGATGAGATCTTCACGCGCCCGAACTGCGAGCTTCAAGTCGACCTGACCAACTTGCTGGTTCTTGAAGGTCATGTGCAATGTGCGGCATTCGAGATGCCCATTTCTGCTGACGAAGATGAGAAATACTTCTCGAAGCAACTGTCGGAGCTTTGCGAAGATCGCCTTCGCAAGGACAATCTAGGCTTCTACCACACAGCTGAGCGATTCTTGCCACATCCATCACGGAGCGTGGCGATTCGCGATACTGAGGACAATCATTTCGCAATCATCGACACTACGCACGGTCGCAACGTGGTGCTTGAAGAGCTAGAAGCCAGCCGGGCTTTCTTCACGATCTACGAAGGTGGTATCTTCTTGCACCAGGGCAAGAAGTATCTGGTCAAGCAAATGTCCACAGAACAGATGATAGCCAAAGTCGAGCTTGTCAAGGTGGACTGGATCACTCAGCAACGAGACTTTACAGACATTGATCCCATCGAGACAGAAGCCATTCGGCGAATACCCGGCAGCCTTAGCAGAGCCTTCTTCGGCACTATCAAGATTCTGCAGAATGTGTTTGGCTTCTTCAAGCTTGACAAGAAGAATCGTATACTGGATGCCGTACAAGTCGACAATCCTCCCATTATAATCTTCAGCAAGGGCATGTGGCTTGATGTACCTCGAGGTGCGATCGAGATCTTGAATAGCAGAAGACTCAACTTGGCTGCTGGTATCCATGCTGCCGAGCACGCGATCTTGTCGCTGATGCCCAACTTTGTCATCAGCATGCCCGGAGATGTCAAAACAGAATGCAAAGTCGCCATTAAAGAGTTCTCCAAGAAGGAGACGAGTCGCAAGAGGCCTGCTCGATTAACCTTTTACGATGACAAAGGCGGGCAGCATGGATCCGGCATTGCTGCAAAGGCATTCGAGTTCATTGATCTGCTTTTGAATCAGGCGTGCGATCGTGTCGAAGCCTGCCATTGCCTAGAGGGCTGTCTGGAATGTTGCTGCAGTGAGCGGTGCAAGGAAGCGAACCAGGTCATGTCGAAGGCTGGCGCGGAAGTCATTTTGAAGTCACTGCTGGGCAAGGAAATTGACGTCGACAATTTGCCTTGGGGTCCCGAAGACGAAAGAACGCCAGCCGGTATCGAAACTGTCATCTTCGCAAACGAAGTGAGGCCAAGAGCAGGTGCGAGGGTTGATATCATTGAGGTTCAGCGAGACGAGAATGGGAGAGACACGAGGCGGTATATCGTAGGCGGGATGGGTGGCGACGAGGATGAACCCATTGTCATTAAGGATGAGCCGGTGGACGATGACGACTGAAACCCGGTATGAAGGTATTGGTTGTGTCAAATATTGCCACACTCAGCTGCGCATAAAAAGACCCTTCAGTTTCTCAAGCTGTGCAAGTCCCTGTTCAAAACCCAAAGTACGAGCCGGAGGCGCTGTAAAGACTTATGGCTCTGCGCAATCCGCATGCTAATCGCCAATGCTACCATGTCGAGGCATTTTTCGCATAACCATGACCAAAAAACCACCTAGTAGGACTCATCGTGATGGTATTCGCACCTAGAGCGTAGAGTTGCATCTAGTCCGCCGCTCCCATCGCGATGCCACCTTCCAGCATCGATGTCATGCACGGTACGATGGTGCGGCTTGAGCACACAAGGAACCAGGTACTGCAGCATCTAGTCGGTACGTCTGTCCACAACTCCATCTTACCAAGATTCCGTCATCCGCAAGGCTCCGCTGGAATCTCGATCATTCGAGCGGTTCTCATCCGGAGCATCCGGGCTGGAAGGGCTTCCAGAGACGCTTCACTTCTTGAGGCCAGCGCTGGTGTATCTATGCTAATCCGCTTGTAGTGCTTAGATGTAAGCCTCAACAAGCAAAGCATCAAGTCGAAGCGTTCGGACGCTGCACAAAAATGAATGTGTGCATTTCATGGAGCGAAATGACACGGATAGCAGTTGCTGTCCCGACACACGAACTCTTAATTTTCAGCCCTCTTGATGACAGAGCTATTTGTGCGAGGCAGCCCGGTAAAGTGGTCAGATGCTTGTTTGTCCTTGCCGCTTCTCTTTTTCAAAGCGAATCGAGCCTCATGTCGAACTTGCGATGACTTGTCCTCGGCGTATGTCGGTGCGCTGTCTCTGATCCACAACGCGAGCTGGTATTTCACTTTCGTCTTGCCATAAGCAACGCGGAGCCCCATTCGATGTACACATTGTTCTCCTCAGCCTTGAAGTGTTTATCAGTCTGAGCGATCTCATCGAACATCTGATCCACAATATCGCCTTGGCCACCTTTCGATCGAGCCTCTTGCCCAGGATGCTCTTCTTTCCAGCCATGATAAGACGACCAAGTTCGAACGTATTCCTTACATTCGCCAACAGTCACAGTCCGCTTCATGAAGAGAGTCCCCTCTCCAGATTCTGGCCCATTGGTACCTGGCTCGTACTCGATACGTTGCACGTCTTGCCAATCCGCTCTCGGGGGTCGAATGATGTGCAGCTTTTCTTGCACGTACGATCGCCCGGGCTGCGGCCAGTATATTCCCAACTTGTCTGGATGCTCGTTGTATGCATAATGCTGTAAGATCTTGCTCGCTTCAGGGAAATCTGGGAAAACGTGGTCTTTGTATCCCCAGAACGCCATCGTGCCTCCTGGTCGTACGATTCGCTTCAATTCGGGCCAGAGTTTGTCGTAGTCGAACCAATGTGCTGCTTGTGCTGCTGTCACACAATCGACCTCTCCGTCTTTGATGAATGGCGAGCTTTCTCCTGAAGCTTGCTGGAAGCTCAAGTTGCTTAGTTTGTCCTTGGCGTCTGCAGAATCATTTGCATTTTGGGCCTGAGATATCATGCCCGCCGAAGGATCAGTCCCAATCACCCTGTCGAAGCGTTTACTTAATGCCCGGCTCGCGATGCCAGTACCGCAGCCCAGGTCTAGGCATAACTTCTTGGGGCCTTGATGGTAGTGAAGGACTGCATCGTACAAGGCAGTTGGGTAGTTTGGTCTGAAGGCGGCATATGTTGAGTGGCCAAAAGTGGCTTTGCTGATATATTCTTAGCATTTCCACCGATGAACAAGAATCTGAAGAACTCACGCGAAGGTCGCCATGCTGGATGGCTACAAAGCAGCAACAATTGCTCAAAACTTGAATCAATTCACTGTACGAGAAGGACTCTGCTCAGTTTCTAAGGCGTGCCTTTGACTGCAGCCTATGCGATGCGAAGTCCTCTTGTTATATGACTTCGGAGTAACGAGACGCGAGATTCAGGACTCACGCGTGTCCGCCGATATCGGCTTTCTGCACCAGCCACATTGAGAAATGGACGTCTCGCTATGCTTCTGCTCTCGTTTCTCGACTACGCGGCTGAGATGAACGCCGACTGCTTTCCAGAGCTAGGGCTTGTTTTGAGTCATATTCGGATCCAGCGATGAGCGAAACAGGACGGCGACCGCCCAGACCAGTCGGAAAGCCGTGAAATCTGGATACCATCTTGAAGAACGCCTGCTGTGACAAGTCCGGAAGCCATTGAGGATAAAGTGTTGTGCGAGCATCGAAAGGCAAGGTTGATACACCTACCATCGCTTTGCTTGCAAGCAGCCGATGCCTGTGCGTGGCATGCCCAACCGCTGCCGATATGTGACTGCGGCCGGTGTGACAGCAACCATGACAGATCTGATCGCCGGCAGCAAAACCTATGACCAGATGGGTTAGGAATTTCGTAAGTCAGTGAGGTTTCGTAAAATTTGCGTCTCAACTTGACGAATCGAAGCAATGCGTAAAGGGCCTCTTGATGATAATTTGGTCGATTTGTTCGAAGCTGTGGACATCCTGTGCAAACGGAAAGCATTTTGAGACTCATAGGAGGTACGCCGAGCAGGAACAGTGCCTGAGATATGGGAGGTGCTTTCCTGTAATTTCTTCGCTCTTACTTGCCATTCGAAGAGAGAAATGCCCAGCGAGGGAAGAGCTGACGGGACTCGGAACTGCACTTCTACGCTTCGACTGCATGGCACGCCTATGCAACATCAGTAGCGTCATCAATTCCTAGCCCGATCAGCAATCCACTCAATATGCATTTCAGCACAACACTTTACGCTCTTGGGTTTGCAGTGGCTCTCGTGCCCGAAAGCGAAGGGGTTACCACAAGCGATGTGGAAGTTATGAGAGACTCGAAAGACAGGGCGAACTCCCATCCAGATGAGGTAGAGCATCTTTCTGGTGTTGATCTGAATCAGGCTGATCTTAGTAGATGTACGATGACATTCACAAGCAATTGTCGAAACGCAGCGGCTTCCGAGAAGGTTTCGTCGACTTCGGACACGACGGCGTTGCTCGCATATACGCTTGTAATGGCACCATCTTTGATGCTCTGCGCTTGAACAATCAGCAACTCATGGCTGTGGCCAAATCTCAAGGAGATAACATCATGGTAGAGGGGTTTGAAGGAGTCTCTAGTCACGATGTCCCAGACAGCCACCTCCTCGATCCTCCTCTTGAAGTCAGACTATCGCACCCCGAAGCAGACGATCTCGATCTCTGCGCTTCCACATCAGCAGTAGACAACGAAGACGACCCACAATCGCTCAACCCATCTGCATCCGCCAGAGAACACCTCCAACCACGCGGACGCCGCTTCTGCAAGTACAAAGAATGCACCAAAACCGAAACTTGCCTATTCATGGGCTGCGGGTACTGTGCTCGCGAGGAGAAACTATCCCGACTGCGTGAAATCTTTGGCACATCGCACAAGGTTCCTGGGCCGTTCGGGCGTGGGACGAAGCGTAATACTCCAGAAGTCGGTTGGGACTATGTGCATTATCACAATACGCCGCCGACGAAAAATTCATTGGCTGATCCGAAGAGGATGAGGTGTTATACTTGAGACTTTTTGAGATTCTTGTGGAGCTTTCGTTTAGACGGCATGCCGGGGGTCGATTTTGAAAATTCTTGTGGAAGCTTTCGTTTGTAGGAAGAGTCAGGAATCGAAAGTCAGTCAATTGTTGCCTTCGAGGTGATCACGATGGAGAACTGCAAGTTACATTCACGCCACTGCTTCTGTCTGCCGTTTCTCACTCCGTTTACTCATCCTTTTGTGCGTCACGAGAGAAGCGAGTACGAGGAGGTGAGATGACTCCATTCAATGGATCTGCGACAGCGGCGGTGCTTTTCCATTTCCATTTGCGCTTCCGCGATCCACAATGACAGAATGATCATGAGCAATGCAGGGAATGATGGATCGAGACCCTCTCATCATCAATTCATCAGCAATGCCGGAAACATTTGATCCTTGCTGCCGAGAAATGCTAACAAGGCAGTGCCCTCGTCGCCGATCCTCGGCGTTCACGTCACCGTCAGCTCAGCCAGGACCGGGGCAACTTTCAGCTGACTTCACTTGCTCTCAACAACTTTTGCACGTTGGCGGAAGATTGGATCAGCAGCAAAGAAATCTCTTGGTATGATTGTTCATAGGTTGGCGTTTTGCCTTCTCTTGGGTGTTATACAGGATTGTGAAGTGAAAAGCTATCGAAGACTTTTTTTGCGCTCCATGCATGAGAGCCGGACCAATATTCCCCGCGCAACGCCAGCGCTCGAATCATCAATGCAAAAACTTTTTGGTGTGCCACTTTTGGGCTGTTCGTATCATCATCCATGAGAATCGTCTCGTGATTTCAATCTGTCGATTTCCTTCGCGACTCTCAAATTCCAATAGCGATGCGTGCCGCTGGAACCATTTGCGCCTTGCGAAAACCATGCAAAAAGCGCGTCATGAATATCAAATTCCAGAGCCCAACTGTGAGAATGTGTGCGGTGGTGTATGTACATTCGGCCCGGATGTGTATGGTGTTACAGTTGACTCGGTTCATCAGTCGTGGCAATCGTCGCTTTTCGTCCAAAAACTTTGAAGACTTTTGAATAGCGCTGCCTTTGGCTTCAAAGCTGAACCCAGCCTTGCTCAACAGCAAGGAGATACTCTTCTTCCCAAAGAGCGTCCCAGTTGACGCCATCGTCTTCTTTGCCGTAGACGCCGGTAGTACCGTAGGGACCCTTGGTGCTGATTTGCTTTCCGCGAGGCCAGGCCCCATTGGAGCGGATCTCGGAAAGGACAAAGTCGCCGTGCACGAGATTCTTCTCTGGCTCGAAGATGCAGCCGGCGAAGAAGAGTTCGATAGAGAGCTTGTGTCCGAGACGGCGGCGTGATTCGACGAGTTTGCGGGCGGCGTTGAAGATTTTGCGGAGCTTGCGGGCGCGCTCTGCGCCTGGGGTGGAGCTGTCGCAGCCGCAGACGTCGGTTGCGCGCACCTGGCACTCTCCGGTCCACTGAACTTCGAGGTTGCTGAAGAGGTCCTCGCACATGTACGGGATGCTGATAGATAGATCACGCATGCGTGGCAACGAGGTGAGCAGCTCGCAGATGTGCTCGTTGGATGGGAGGTGGCCGGGATATGGGTGGTAGAATCCATCGTCGGAGCGTGGAGAGTGCTCGAGCACTTGCAATGTGTTGTGGGATGCTTTGACGAGAGCGAGCATACCAGCGACAGAGATGGTCGACAGGTTTGTGATGTCCAGCACTTCCAAATTAGTCGCGGTTCTTGCCATCAACTCGAGGTCGTTGTCGCAGATTGGCTTGTGAAGAGTGTTGCCGAAGATCTTGAGACGCTTGAGTTGGCTGAAGTCGACGCGCGGGTCCTCCAGAGCGTTTGGGGAATCATCACTCTCGAGAGCGTCGGCCTGATCCTTAGCGAGGCACACAGCTTGCAGCTCGAGTGATTGTAATGCGCTACCAATGCCAGTGTTGACATTGAGCAGATCGATCCAGTCTTCGGCAGTGCTGCGTCGCAACACAGTCCATGGAACACTGAGGAACTGAAGCTCGTGGCACTCGGACACGATGGAAAGAATGAGCTTGTCGGTCTCGGCAGTGTAGAAGCCATTGAACCACAGTCGACGCACATGGTTTGTCATGTGAGGCAGTTGCTGGAAGATGCGGTCGGTGGCCTTCAATGAGCTGTTGGGGTCGCGGAAGACAGCACAGCCGGATGGGCGATCCATCAACTCGTAGATGCTATACTTCCGTCGGTTGTTGGACAACTCGGCCCATCTCTCGCTGCCTCGCCACCTACGCTCGAAGACATGCTCGAGGTTGTAGGAAAGAGCCCAGTCGTGCCAGCCGGCACAGACCTGGCGGATAGCTGCAGTGGCGTCCCATCGCAGCGACTCTGCGGTCACCGGGCCTCGAACATATTTGGTGAGTTTGGCCTTCTGCAGAGGAAGTGGTGCTTGAGTGAGTCCGTATGTGAAACTGGCACCTTCGTTTTCGTTGGCCTTGGTGGCAAGCAGGAGGATGTCGGAGAGGATTTCAGCTGGTAGGTGGTTGATGTGCATGCTGGCTGCACCTAGCGGAGCTTGATTAGGATAGCGGCGATGTGAGTGAACAATGGTGAGATAGCGGGTGGTGTGTTATGAAATCGACTCAGGTCAGAAGGGGCGAGCTGAGTGGGCAGAGATAAGAAAGGCCGTCTTTGTCCTACCGGCGCGGGAATGCATGTGGCGTGCGATTCATATATGAAGGGTGAATGGCCCGCCCTTACCAAGCAGCCCGTCAACGGAGGCGCCTCCCCTGGTCACACTGCCAACTGAAGAAATCTCTGCGGCGGCGTCTGGGGAAGCGTTGCGGAGAAGTCTGAGCGGCGCCATCTGCGACAGCGCATGTGTGCGCTTGGCGAGCTCCATCGCCCAACCGCAAGCAGAAAGACATGAGTCAAAGAAAAGAGCGGCAGTGCCAGGAGCTGCCAGAGGCGTTCGACCTTGGGACCTCCGTACCACGTGCTGGTATTTCCTGGGGGTAATGATTTCGTAACAGCTGAGCAGCCTGGCAGTCACAAGACCTGCACACATCAGATGACCGCACCCAACGGCCACCACGGATGCATTTCGGCCAGCACCGACACCTCGCGCTACCGCTCTGCTCTTCTCATCACGCTCGCAGGAAACGCCTCGATGCCGGCCGCCGCTGTGAATTGTCCTTTGCAGACGGACATTGCGGTGGAGATTTCAGTCTGGTCATGTGACGGAATTCCTTCCGTGAAAAGCTTGATCGGGATTTGCTCTCCTCTGTGAAATGACACGCGGCACACTGGACACGACTTGTACCGCTACAAGCCGGACGTCATGGACCATTCTCGACGGTCGCACAAAGAAAGCCACCGGACATCGCTGGACAATGTTCTCCGCGGATTACACGAGCTCACATGATGGCAAGTCATGCCATACTGGATCGCAATGGCGAAATGGTGTGCTGTTGGCGCCGAGCGATGAGCACAACGTCTGTACTGCGATCACGCTGTCAACTGCTGGACGACAAAGCACCCAAAACAGCAACCTCGCCATCGCAGGCCGCTTCCATCCGAGTATTGGCGTTGCCACCACTGCACGGTCTACGGACGTGATTCCCCATGGGCACGCGCCTTGCAGCATCGATCATTCGGGCAACACCTTGTGACTATCATCAACCCTACTACTGCACAACGCCAGAGCACGCTTCATCAAAACACGAGATGCAAGCTTCGGCACTCAAACAAACAGCTTCCGCCCTCCGCAGCCCTTCTCATGCTCCCGCAGTAGCATCAGCTTGTCTTCACGGTAGACGTCCTTGGCACCACATTCAAGACGCCTTGGATAGCTTCGTTACGTAACATTCTCTGCCATTGGATTGTACCTGATCCTTCCGAGACATCACATGGCCCCGCCACTGTTTCTCGTTGGCCGCGGGCAAGCTCCAGACTGGCCGCAATAATTTTTGAGACGTTACAGTTCAAGTACCCCAGATACTGCGACACGTTGCGAGCTTGGAGCATCTCGTTACTTCTCCGCACACCGAACCGACCATGTGATCGACCAGACGACCGAAAAGGCTTTACTATCCCGCCGTGCACATCTACTAGCAGAGCAGATTGCACATTGGGACCGGCCGCTTGGGCACCATCTCAAAGGTTTGACTGAGTCGGTGTCAAGAGGCGGGGGTGCTGCCGATTTGATAATGATGAGACGCGCATGCGAGCGGCACTCACGTTCACGCATGGTTCGAGACTGTGAGCAACGAAAGAGACATATGCCCGGACTTGGATGGAATCTGTGCGACGCAGATGCACACACTTCGCCTGTCGTTCGCTGGAATACAAGTCGTCTGCTCTGTCGATCCCGCTGCCCTCGCTTCGGCCTCGTCTACGTCAAGGGCGATGAGGGGAATCGCGTTACACACGCATCGTCACTGCCATGCATTCTCGCCTGCCTTGCGAACCGTCGTCACTGTCGAGATCTATCACTGCATCCGAAATGGGATCGAGGTTGTCATTAGGCACCACTTCGTGCTTTCAAGGTAACATATCTTCGGCGCTCGTCGCAAGATCCAAGGCCACCCTGAGCGGAGACCTCATCGTTGGAAGGTACAATATAGAAGCGTCAATTCGTGATGAAGGAATTCGATTTCCCAATCAAGACTCCTCCTTCATCAGTGCCATTGCTTCAGAGCGATGAGCTGGAGAAGGAACCCCGTTATTGTGTTCAATTTCTGTATCGTGCACATCGTGCATACCCATCGCCACCGCTGTCGCTGCCATTGCCATTGAGCGGGCTCTCGTCGCTAGCCTCGGCTTCACCCGTCCTTTCCCGCTGCACTTGCCCGAGCTCAAACCAGAGCTCCAACATTGAAAACACACCTTCTCCTCTCACCCATCACGACTCCGCGATCCACCATGTCCCTCTGGCAATCCTACCGCAACCTCGCACCAAAGACACGACTGGTCTTAGGTGGGGCAATCATGGCCTGGGGAGCTTTCGGCCTGTTTGTTTCCGACAAAGCTGAGCAGGCTTTCGGTTTGGTGCCTACGGAGCAAGATAAGGAGAAATTGCAGGATTCTATACCCAAGATTCATTTTGTGGAGAAGGAGAAGTGAAGTGCTGGGAGTTGGGCGACAAGGCATCAGCAAATGGAAGAGCAGAAGAGATGCGACATTCATGGCCATATGGCAAGGCCTTGATGGTTAGGAGTGAGGGAAGAGGAGAGGAGAAGGAAGAACGTGGCTGCAGTGGGACGCAGCCGTTGACAGACCACGATCGACCTCTGCCTGCGTATACTTGCTCAGGCGCAAAGCGGACAACGCACAATGTCCATCTGTGACCCTGCTCTGATAGGCAACAAGCATACTGGCGGTCTTCAATCTGCGTGGAAGCCAGTTTTTCGATCACTGCCAAGATCCAGCATAGAGAGTAACAAGAGAAGATATCTAGCAACGCAGAGCTTGGGGAAAAAAGCCAGATGGGGATGAGGTCGGAGCGACGAGTTGTGAGACATGCCTTAGAGCAAAATCTCGCTGTACCACAACCAAAGGGGCGCGAAGCGCGGAATGCGCGGCGTGCTCAGCTTTAGGATCCTTGACGAACGGCTCACAAGTCAGGCCGCGCGGGAAGTCCGGTGGTGAAATCAATAGGAGCACCACGGTCGTGCTCTGAGGCTAGGATCCGGATGGACGCGCAAAGATGACAATGAATGGTCGCGAGAAGCTTTGCAAGCGATTGTCCCGTTTGACAGATGGTATGCACACGCTGTTTGGCTTTTAAGAACACGTCACACGCGTGATAGCAGTTTGAAAAAGAATCTGTTCCACTAGAACATTGAAAGATGCTGTCGAAGTCGTTAAATTCTAAGAAGCTCTTCATACATCAAATCAAAGAGAAATCGCTCCCGATATTTTTGCCACCCCACATCTGGTGACTGATCTACAACTTGCTCTTGCTGACAATCAGGGAGTTGTGTGCCTGAATAATGCTCACGGCACCTCCAACCATCTCATCAATGATCTCCCGTGCACTCTTCCTCTCGTTCACAACAGCAGCGGCCTTACCCATAAGGAAAGGTCGCGCGTTATCCATAGTGTCATCATCGACATCGTCTCCAAGACGCTCCATGTCCCATTCGACTGGAATTGTTCCCTTGCTCGTGAGCTCCTTGATCTCGTTTTGGCGGTTCTCTTCCCAGTTGGCAATGTAGGGGTTGTTGCGCACGCGGAGCGGTCGGCCGGTAAAGATGATGGTGCGAATGTTGTCGTCGAAGCCTGCAGTTCGGACGGCTTCTTGGTGAGACTTTGGTGCGCCGGCTTCCTATATAGCAGAAGAGAATTGATCAGTTTCGGGCCATTTCGTAAAGATTAGTGATCGGTATATCTTACCTCGGAAAGGACGAATCGTGTTCCAACCCAGACTGCGCTGGCGCCGAGAGCGAGAGCTGCTGCGAGGGATTGTCCGTTGAAGATACCACCTGCTGCGATGACCTGCACTGGCTTGCCGGTCATAGGGCTCTTGTGGCCTTCGCAGAGCTTGGCGACTGCTGGGATGAGAACGGTGGTTGGGACATCACCGGTGTGACCACCTCCTTCACCTCCCTGTGCGCAGATCATGTCGGCGCCGAGTTCGAGGCACTTCTTGACGTGCTTAGGGTGGCCGATCATGTTCATGTAGAGGATGCCGTTCTTGTGGAGTTTCTCGACGACGTGCTTTGGTGGGACACCGACGGCGGAGACGAAAAGGCGGGCGCCGGATCCGATGGTGATGTCGATGAGCTCGTCGAGTTTGCCCTTGGTGTAGTCGTAGCTGTCGGAAATCTACGTTAGTGCCTGCTCTGCCCGCTATTTCGCCTTTTGGGTGTGCCTACTTGGTCTTCCGTGCGCTACCACCGACTTGTGGAAGCAGGAGATCGACACCGAATGGTGCATTCTTGTCGTTCAAGAAGCTCTTCAGCTCTGCGATCTGCTCGCGGAGCATGTCTGGAGTGTAGCCGACACCGCCGATGACACCGATACCACCAGCGTTGGTCACAGCGGCGGCGAGCTTAGGACCAGCGGCCACGTTCATGCCAGCAAGCATGATTGGGTGCTGGATCTTGAGCAGATCGGTCGTGGTGGTGCGGAGTTGCTCTGTTTTCGGTCAGCATGTCTGTCGCGAGTGGGCTGTCGCAACAGGGAGATTGCGGCGTACGAGGAGATGCCATGATTGCGGTTGTGAGTCTGTGTGATGCTGTGAGAGCAGAAATCCAAAACAGAACAGCAGAAGTGTGGAGAGGTGGAGTGAATGGAGCGAGAGAGTGTGGACGTCTTTGATGTTGCAGCTCGGCACAAGACTCGCTCCTCTCAGCGCCAGATGCCGAGGTCCGCTACCTGCCGACCACCTCGACTGGCTGCTCAGCGCTGAGGCAGGGACCGACGACAACTCGCCGTGTCTGAGTCGGCTGTGCTTGCCTGGGCGCACGACAGCCTGCTACAGCCAAGATCATCGTCTTCACAGGTGCGTGGATTCGATGCTGCAGACAGCCTTTGTTTGGCTCTCCAGAACACAATGACGATGGCGAAGACCCTGGCCGCCTGCTCCTGGTCGAGGCGCTTGTGAAAGTGTGGAGGCCGTCGGAGCCTCCGAAACATTTCGCCGACGACACTTGCACACTCGGCCAGATTTGCTGCACGACGCGATGCACATATCCAACATGGCCTCACTTCCGCCCCGCAAGCACGTCATGAAGCACGTAACCAGAGCATGCCGCGCATCTCCATAAGCTTTCGGGAGTCGACCAGCAGCGCGCGTTGGGCTGACCTCCCAGCACTCCAAAATGTGGTCTCGCAGCTTGCTCAGACCATTGCCCAAGCTATGTCGAGCTCGTGGATTGGTGAAGCCGCGTTATTCTACATTCTGCGACCGCTCGCTCTACGAGAATGGCACATTCCATGCTGCTCAAGATGATTCATCATATCATCTGCCTGCTCTAGACGATGCCCGTTCGAGGACATTGGCCACCAGCCACGACAACTTGCATCCACTCGCGAACGACCGTGCTCCGCGTGAAGGATTGTCATCGGGCTTGCAGTCCAGCAATGGTTCGCCTGCAGATGGCCAGCCTGCTCAATCGGCAGCGTCCCGCAAAGTTGGCTCAGATATGCAATACGACGAAACTGGTCTGGAAGTCACGGCGCATGACGATAGAAGCATATCGTTCAACATGTAGGCCGCATCCGCCCTCTATCATCGGATTGATATTGACGATTCAAAGGTCAAACGCAGCTCGCTCAATCACAGGCGTTGCGCGTTTCAAGCTCTGTGTCCGCCAACCTGGAGACGGCCACCTTCGTGGCCCCACCACCTATGCGGAACGGTTACGAATTATGCGCATGCTGGACCACCAAATTCAACAATCTCATACACTCGGCCTAGGCGCCCTTGCTTCGGCTGTCCGAGCAGTTGACAAAACTTTACAGGACGGTCAACGAGTACTGCTCTTTGGCCCTGGTATGACCAAGGCAACCATAACTGCCGATGGCCCACTAGACTATGGGTTTCATGTTCGTTTCCGTAAAGATCACGGGCTCTGCGGCACCCAGATCAAACATTTATTCATTTACGTGTTCGGCAACTACAACGAAGACAGCGCTGTAGAATCCCAAAGCAAATCGGGTCCCATCCAGTTCGACCTGAAACATCTTCAACAAACGGCTGACATGGTGATCGAGCGTATCCGTGACGCCATGAGCTTCCATGAACCAGAAGCTTTATTGAAGACCATTGCGGAGAGTATGCTTCGTGTCCTACGGTTCCGCACACCTCACCTGGGTATCAAAGGCGTTAGTATGACAACTAGGCCTGCATCTGAAGAGCAACCGAGGCTCAAAGTTCATGCCTGCTGGGCAGACGCCGAGTGCGGCGTGCCAGCTGAACACGACCGGCTCTCCAAAGCAGTTGAGGTTAATGTCAAGCAAGTACCGAGAGGCAACCCTTTGGCCGAGCAGGAAAATGATGTCGATGAAGAAGAAAGCGAAGAAATGATCAGCGCCGCGCCAGATGCGGAGAAGTCCAGTCCTCAGCCGAAGCAGGAGGAAAGTGTCCATCTTACGATTCCCCTGCCACTCGTGCGTGTATCAGGTGGCAAGGAGCTTCTATTTGATTCTGGAGAAGTAAAGTAAGTGACCAGAAGCCTCGACCTTCGAGCTCATCACTGACTAGGACTAGGACCAAGTCACTTTGGCGTTTCGGAATGTCGAGATACAAGATTATGTTGAGATGGCCAATTGCAGCCAATCTGCCTCATGATCTAACGCGAGATCTTGTCAAGCAAGCTACAGAAAATGCCATTCAGAAGACATCAGGAGTCGACTGCGCAGCCCTGAGTCACGCTGTTCAGACGTTGCAGACATCGCTTCCGTCTTGTCCATTGGTCACGTTGCAGGTTTTCGATGAGGCTCGTGCCAAGTCACAGAAACTGGAAATGGATCCTCATGCATCGTTATTTACCTTCAGGACGACCCCGGAACGAAAACGAAAAGGTCTTTGGGAATTGGCACTGATTGGCATGCCGATCTCAAATGCACGTATCGCAGATGCCGCATCAGATCAGATCGTCGAGATGGACATGAGGCTCTGTTTCGGTGCGCATCCGGCTGCTAATATGGCGGGCCATGATCGCCTCGAACAGCAGCGTTATGACATGACCCTTGCCGCGATGGAGCTTCTCAGACCAGTGCTCCAAGCAAGCTCCCGGATAACCTGGGAAGAATTTGCAAACGATTGCGTTGGGTCATTGTCTGGTGCACAACTGCCGGTGGAGGGTTGTCCCGCTATTGACCACGTGGCAATTCAAGTCTTCACAGCGTCGGTACATGACGGGCCTCGCAGAACGCTTCGGGGGAGTGCGACATCTTCTTCACAAAACTCCACGGCAATGGTAGCATTGGGCAGTAACCTCGGAAATCGTATTGCGAACATCGAAGCTGCCTGTCGACGGCTTGAGGCCGACCCAGACATCAACATAGTTGGAACAAGCCTACTGTACGAGACCAAGGCAATGTACGTGGAGGAACAAGCAGCCTTTGTGAATGGCATGTGCAAGGTACGTGAACACGGACTGTCGATCACGCAAGACACTGACTTTCCTAGATCCGTACCGATCTTCCGCCCTTTGACCTCCTGAACCGACTCCAGAGCATCGAAAACGAATTGGGGCGCGTGAAGCTGATTGATAAAGGGCCGCGAAACATCGATTTAGACATCGCAACATACGCCCGTGATTCCATCGACTCGGAACGTCTCACCGTTCCTCACAAACAAATGCTTGAGCGAGAATTTGTTCTGCGGCCCTACTGCGAGTGAGTGAGTTTCTTAAACACGTCTTACGTCAGCTAAGCGGTATCCAGCATTCATCCAACTTATGTGCATCCCCGAACAGGGAGGCGTATGGAGAATCACTTGGTAGAGCTCATGAGTGGGGAGAGCACCATGTATCCGTTCACGCCGTTGGCGCCGGAATGCGAGCCATTACGAGCGCTCGAACCTACACGTCGTACATGGTTGATGTCGATTCTGAACGTCACCCCCGACTCATTCTCCGACGGAGGATCACATGAGCCGACCGATATGGATGCTCTAAGGAGAACAGTCAACGCGCATATCTCTGCTGGAGTCACCATTATTGACATAGGCGGCCAGTCGTCCCGTCCAAATGCACCAGACGTGAGCCCGGACGAGGAGATTTCTCGCATATTGCCTGCGATTGAGGTCATCAAGTCAATTCCAGAGGCTAAGCACATCGCTATCAGCGTCGATACGTACCGGGCGGCTGTCGCTAAAGCAGCGGTACACGCTGGGGCTCACATCATTAACGACATATCGGCTGGGACTTTGGACGATGAAATGCTGCCAACCATCGCTCGCCTCGGCTGTACTTACATCATGATGCACATGCGCGGCACACCAGCTACAATGCAAAGTGAACAAAATACCTCGTATCCTGGAGGGCTCATACCGACGATTGCAAATGAGTTAAGAAGCAGGCTCATTGCGGCGCTAAAGGCAGGCATACGGCCCTGGCGCATTATTTTCGACCCTGGAGTAGGTTTCGCGAAGACCGCAGAGCAAAATGCGGAGCTGCTGGGTCGTTTTGGAGAGCTGAGGAACCATCCCAAACTGAAGAATTTCCCCTGGCTCGTAGGCTCGAGTCGAAAAGGTTTCATTGGAAAGTTTACTGGTGCTGAGGATCCAAAGGATCGGACCGAGGGTACCGCTGCTACAGTTACAGCTGCTATCGCTGGCGGAGCGGAGATTGTAAGAGTGCACGATGTGAAGGAGATGTCGAGGGTCGTAAAGATGGCGGATGCGATGTATAGGCGTGCGCCACCTGGCCCGGCGGCTGTGGAGAAAGCGGAAGATGATAGACAGGAACAACTTGAGATTGAAGCTCGCGATGAAGACATGGAAGACGACGAGGAGACGGAGACGGAGACGAAGGCGGAGGACGAGGAGCAAAAGTAGTTCTGAGGCGTGTCTGGCGTTTCTGTTTGCATAGACCAGAGCATAGAAGCATGGCGAAGGCGCAAGGCATTCTATACATGTGTACAAATATGAAATCGTAGCATTCACATACCCTGCTAGAGGGCGAATCACCGTCATTGAAGCGGAGAAGCGAATCAAAATCACAGTACAACGGAGTGACCATATTGGTGACGGATCGTGTGTACTCGCGTGCAGTAAGCAGCTTACAAAGCCCGACCTTCGATTTGTTTCAGCACAAACAAATGCCATCAGCATCATAATTCCTATACAACATCCTGCCTCCCTCCCATCCCATCTCCTCTATTCCGCAACAGGACAATGATCATAATTCCCACTCGCATTATTTCCCCACCAAGTCGGGAACGGATGCGATTTCCCTCCGGCCCCAAACACCGCAAACGAAAGTATAAACAACGCAAACAACGCTCCACCATCAAAAGCTCCCGTCACAAGATACGAGAAATTCTTGAAAAATTTCGGCCGGTAGTTGCGGAGAAAGTATTGCACGAAGAAACCTGAGAGGATTTGGCTGAAGATTACGCAGGTTTGAGAGGCGTTGTAGGGAACGAAGCCGGCGTATTGGATGAATTGGGGGAGGTTGAGGGAGGAGGTGGAGATGTTGTGGATGCGGGGGATGAACTGTTGATTGGAGTGTCAGTGAGTACTGCGATTCGGTGAGGTGGATTATGACTTACATGGACAAAGATGCGATGCAGCACGACAGCGGCGGCTCCGAGGGCGATTGCCACAGTGACCATGTAATATCGGCCGCCAGATTTGTAGAGATATTCGGACAGAGCCCAGGAAGCGGCATTCGTGTTGTAGGATTGGATGTAGGCGCCGCTCCAGGTAGAGTCGCCATTGCCGTTGACGAGGAGATCTTCTTGGCTTGTTACGATTGAGATCATGACGGCGTAGTTGATGAAACCGCCGAATACGGTGCCCCAGATTTGGGTAAGGAACATGACTCGGGGAGGAATTTTGACTGTAAACTATGTCAGCATTGGTCTTGGATGAAAAGGAACCGAGGTTCGACTCACGATACTCGCCCATCTTGAGATCGTTGGACAGGTTGACGGTGTTGATGATCAAGTTGTGAGACCATGCTGCAAAGTACATGTTTCCTATCGGTCGACCAGGGAGTACGAAACCAGCAATCATTTTCGACAGATTGTTAGTGGCAATGCCGTTGCCATACCGGGAATAGAGGATGGTGCTCTGCAAGACGAGCTGTGTTAGTGTCGTATCAGATATCGCCACAGTCTCAGATTTGGACTCACAATGGGAGCAATGATCACGGCCGTAAGCAGTGACACCAAATACGCCCAAAAGGGCAAAGTGATGTTCTCTTTCACGACAACGATAGTACCAAGCACGAAACTGCCCACGAGGACAATGGTATACCACCACCACGGACATTCCTTGTAGTGCTTTGCCATGTGCTGGTGATGGCGGTCGCCGGAAACGTCTGTCCGCGACTCCTTGTATGCTCTGACGATATCACCTCCCCAGAACAAGGCGACATGGGTGATGAGTGCGCCAATCTGAACTAGAGGTCAGCTATGCGAAGTTGTAACAAGACAATGGTGAACGCTAGCACATACCGCAGCATTTGCCATGAACACAGCATACGCGAAACTGCCCGCCAACCTGGGCAGACCCTGTTCAGCAAGGACTGCTTTGTCGAGTATGCCATTTTTGAAGACCTTGGAAATGGGATAGCTGGATCCGTCGGCAGATCGTAAGGTTGTAGACATGAACGGCAAAGACTTGGCGTCCCAAATATTCGCGTACCAAATAATGATCATCATAATGAAGCAGGTGAAGAAACCAACTGCGGCATTTGCTTGTAACTTCAATGGTAGCGATGTTTGGTAAGATGTGATCTGCGGACATTATCCTCAGCGTTAGCTATCAGGAGCAGTGCACAAAGACAGCCCAGACAGATGGAAGGATTGGCCATAAACTTACATATTGCCAGTCAAACGACAGACTGAACAATCCCAAGCCCTCGTTGTTAGTCGCTCCGCCAAAGAACCTGGTCAAAGTTTCGGCCTTGGGTCCTGTAGCACGCATTGCAGCTAAGCACGGGATCGAGACAGAATTGAGCCACGGGAAAATGTACGACGGGAGGAATTCGTAGAAGAACATGCCCACGAAGCTGTACCAAAACCAGCGAAGAGGCTTCGAGCTCTTAACTTCTTGCCAGTGCAGACCTTGCAATGTCTTCACTGTAGGCAGTGTACCCCAGTATACCGCTTCAACGTGATACACACAAATAGGTCGGAACAATCCAGTGAGACCATACCCGAAGAGACCGATTGAAATGATGCTCAGGATGACCGTGGCGGCACTGATGGGTAGGTCATAAAACAGCTTTTGTGCGGCGAATATGGTGCAAGTCGCGGAAGCGTTGGAGGCAGCCGTGGCAGTGATGGCCGCAATTGCATGTTCCTTTAGTGTCCATGGGCCGTAGTTGAAGAAGCATAGCACGCTGATCCAGAGTGGCAGTTTGCCTTGACCGCCTCGGGCTTTCCATCGTGCCTCGTATACATCGCCGCGTGGCAAGAACATGGCCCAGGCTCCGCCAGCGAAATAGGCTATCAGCACGATGAAGGTGCCTTGGATGGTGACGACGGTGGGTTTGAACTGATTGCGGGATAAAGATCGTCAGTATCGCTGTGCTTCTCGCACAATAGGAGTTCGCATCTCTGTTCGGACGATGTTGACAGCACACTCACATGATAGATCTGGGTCATGACAGCCTGGAAAGCTGACAGTGCCGTGGCCAAGAACATGCTGCGGAACGTCAAAGGGTTCTCGAAATCATCCCTCATCGGCAGTAAGTGGAAAGCTGCATAGGATGCGGTCGCGATGACCACATCGTCTCTCTCCTCCTCGCTGTCTTCGGATTGAGTGACGGTCGGGTGTCCATTCTTGATATCAGATTCGCGGGACAGCGCATCGTCTGCTGGCAGTACAGCATGGTCGGGCAGCTTGGAGGCAGAGAAGAGCGCCCCATCGGGGTCGACATGACTCTTTTCCATGGTTGTTGTCGGTGATCACAGAAGTGGTGTGTTCCGATCACATCTGGTCCTTGTTGTACTGAATCGCGGGCTGGCGCTCGAGGTGCAAACTGTAAAACGTCGAACAGTGCGAGTGTGCCACTTCTCAGCGAAACCATGGCGCAAGATATATAAGACGCCTAGCATCCCATCAAGCCTGCTTGGCCAGAATCTTAACCTCCGTGCAAGACCGAGATGCCACGCGACAGCGGGGCCAATGTGGGACGGAAAAGCCTCAACGCAGACTGATTTTCCGATATTTGGAGCATACCCTACAATACACTAGGTCCATCTCGGCAGGTCTCCAGATGGCGTCTTCACTGGCAGAATAAAATGTCAGATAGCACGATATATGCTAGCCATTTCGTGATGGTCCACCTTCCCGAAGGCTTGCCGCTTATACGAGGTTTCACTAATCATTCTCAGGGCTGTACCAGTCTTGGGGCTCTGTTCTCATGGCAGAAACTGCGAAGATCTGGGCTTGAAAGTGATGGAAATTATGCAGTTCCGTAGTCGAGGTTGCTGCGCCGAAGAACGAAGGGATTGTGGCAGAGGGAGGCTGGGAGTCCTGCTCAAAAGTGGTGGGATGGTTTGGACCACCGGATATCCTTCTCATCGTGAGATCGCGTGCGTGCAGGGGTCCATTGCGCAAAGTTGTTGGGCTGCTGGCAGTCGAGAACATCGACAGCAGAAGAGGGTCGAGATGATCGTGTTTATGCCAGAGATGTGGAGTGTCAATTGAAGAAGGCGCTCGGCATTACATAAGTCATCCTTCCCGCTTCGACTTCAACTCGGACCCTAAACACCCAAAGGACATCAACTCAACCCAAAACGGGCACCCCTGGCTCTCACTGTTCCTTGTCACATGTGCCAAGACGGGCTTGCATCTTTGTCGTGACATGCGGTTTCCAGAAAGCATGAAGCACGAGCTTCAGCATACAGTTATGGCCCTGCACTAACCGCTGACATTTACTAACCTTTTGAACGCAGACAAGACGCTTCGTCAATGTACATGGCTGCTATGCCATGAGCTTAGGCCGAGGCGTCATAGTAAAGTACCAGCGATCAAATACCCGAACGAGGATTCGCACATCACATTCGAAGCCTCATACTCTTGGACTCGTTGCCCCTAAGGCGCCTTTGCTTAATCGTCTCCGTTTCCAGGTTTGGCTGAACGTATCAGCCTGCACCCAACTATTAATCGATGCTTGGAACCACTCCTAGTCTTCACTCAATCCTGAAGAACCAGAAAATCACAGCCAACCGATTAGAAACGACTCCTTATCCAATATTTGGCATTTTTGGCATTTTTGGGCCTCGTTCCGTGCATGCGTGGCAAAGAGAGACAATCAATTCCTACGCACCATCTGCATGGGGAAAGATAGCGAGCACTGACAACAATCCAGCAGCCATCGTGGGCGCCGCCTTTTTACTTTGGCCGGTCGTTCATCGCGTCGCTTTTGCTCAGCAACGAGCATGTGAAATGAACCAAGAGCTTTGGATGTCGTGGAACGATCTTCGGTGGCATCTTGATCGGGGTGAGCGTTGCGTGTTTGAAGATCAGTCGGCCCCCAGTTCAGGACAATCGCACTACAGGAATAAAGTGAGTTTATAAAGCACCCATTTGACTCTCGCTCGTCCCAGACTGACCCCTTCTTTACATTGCGTCTAGGGCGGAAGTTATGCTCATTCATTTGGAGGAGAGAGCCGTTGGTATCAGCCTCAAGAAAATGCGCAGTCTCGATGGGAACGATATCAGGCGTTGTCCAACCGCCAGGGCCTCGTATGCCTGCAAAACCATAACATTGCCACATGCCATTGCTCTGAAGCCACTTGTACTCCATCAGGACTTCCTGCCCTATAGCTGGCGATTCTTCGATCACTCCGGTGTGTCTCATCACAACCCAAGATATAGCTTCCTGCTTCTGCCTGTCGACCATGACCTCGCAATCTAATATTGCAGTACTGAAGGTGGTAGTCTTGATAGATCGCATGTACTGATGAAATTTGTCCCTAGCATCCGGATCATCACTGTCGACTTCGCAGTCAACATCGACACCAAGATGTGTGTAGCTCGGTGATAAGTATCGAGTCACAAACGGAGAGTCCAACCGTCTGTCGTCGCAGATGGCGATCTTGGCTAAGGTAAGCCAACGCACCCATTCTGCGGTCCTAGTATCTGTTAAGTCGATGCTATGGTCAGCGAGCAGCAGAAGTCCATCGGGAAGAGATCGCACGAGGCTACCTTCATCTTGAGGCTTAGGTGCCTCCGATTCTTTGTGTATACGAAACATCCCGTTGTGCTGCACGCAGACGCAGCGAAGTCCCGCTCCAGTGCACTGCTTGCATTCCAGACCTCTTACATTGTGTTGAGCAGCTTGAACTGACTCCAGCACATCGACCATCGCCTTGTCTTTCGAGTGTGTAGCCACCATGGATTTGAAATCGGAAGTGGTTAGAGTACGCACTGAGCACTAAGACGTGCTTTCTCGAATGTACACCACCATTGGACACATGGAGTCGGAAAATGCTGCTTAACACGGAGCGTTGAAATAACGATTTCGACTTTGGTTTCTGCTTGCGAACTCATGTAGCGCATCCTGCACTTCCGTTCTCTCGCATAGAACTAGAGTGGTGAACATCCATACGAGGCCAAACGACTAGTTTCAATACATTCGCAATATCGAAGCTGATTCGTCACTTCTATTTATTTCATGACTCGTGACACTTCTATCGGCCGCAAGAAATTGCAACTTCCAATGGATATCTCCTAAGGCACGAGGCGCCAAGTAACCTAATGGCAGGGCACCCCAAGCTTCTCTCACTCACGCACGCTACAGCCCCTCCATACATACGGAGATCGGATGGCAGGGTACGTCTCGATTCCTAGGCATATGTAACCTTCCTGACAGCCCATTCAGAGCAACTTTGCCCGGAGCTCATTCCCAAACACATCTGTGATCTCTTGGACATCCGTCAATTGAGTCGATATCGAACAACTCCGAGCAACGTGCGCTCTGGAACAGTCTTCGAATTGGATGTTCCTGGCACTCGCAGAGGCAGTCAATTGAAGAGACATTCGGGGATTCCTTCTTGAACAGGAAAATACAGTTATTGCGCCGTAACTACAGTCCGGGTGGAGATCGCGTCATGTTTAGGATTCGAAGTCGCTAGGGATCCTGGACCAAGAATGTTTGAGGACCGCAAGATGTCGGATAAATAGCATATGAACTTGGCATAACATCGCTCGAGCCCGATGTGAACCATAGCGTTGCCCAAAATGAATTTCCCCTCATCCCGACTATGCCATCCATTGTGGAGAGACCAGGCATGGAGGTGACAAAGACAGTACCAGAGACAGATTATCCCTGCTTTTGCTGACTTATGACGCGAATTCACGCCCTATAGGACCAGGGCTTGCGCCACTGGAAAGTTGGTAATCTCAGTCGCTATGTGGAATGTTATCGGAGGACCGAACCATGTTTTCAATGGACGGGCAAGCGGATAATGCGTCGTATCAAGACGCGCGTTGTGCCACGGCTTCGATAGTTCAAGGACAAATTGCGGGCACCCAACATTCCAGCATGATAAGACGACGCAGGCATACGACTCAGCAGCGGAAGGAAAAAGCTGAGATTCACATCATGCGTACACACCGCCTGCCAGTTTGATGTTTGCCAATTTCTTCATATCGAAAGTGCGGGTAATACGACCCGCAGTACAGGAAATCAATGTGCAGCGTGCAATGCGTTAGTTGATTCATGGTCAGGGGTACCACAGCTATTTGTCTCTGTCTGGATTGGGGCACGGACAATAATTGGATTTGAGTCAGGGAGATGCTCCTTGGCACAAAAATGCATGGCTGGCATTACACCTGGGCTAACCACTGGTAGCAAGCTGCTAACGCCAGTACAGCATCGTACCCCTGGGTGGCCTTGCTGTCCAGACAACGAACCCCAATGCCTTGCCACTTCACAAAGCATCACATGGAATATTGCAAGAGAGTCCGCTTTTGAGAGGCAGGATCTGCCTGCCATAAGATGTTGACAGTGCCCTAATTGTTCGACCTCCATAGCATCCCGGTCTAGTTTTGCCCTAAGAGAAAAGTGCCAAGAGCTCTGAAAATAGAGAAAGGTTGACGATCATATTCGGGCCATCTGGGCCAGTCTTGGTCTCCCTGGGCCTGCCAATACCTCGCGGCTGTAATCATACTCCATAGTGTTCCGTCCCATGCAAGAGGTTCAGAAAGCATTGTGCGTGAATTCGACTAGCCTTTGATCTCCATTTTCCCGGACCAAGACTATGATTGCGGCGACGATGCCCAGTGATTCTTTTCGTAGGAAACACATCTGAATGGCGATTCAATTGATTCGGCGAAGGTACTTCCAAACGATACCGCAAGAGGTCCATCATCCCTGCGCCATCAGTACTCAGGCCACCAGCAACGACGGTCTTGCCGATGTGCTTGCTGGCGATTTGGATCGTAAATCGGACGCAACTTCGGCTCAAATGGATTCCATCTTCGTGGTATTGCTCCAAGCTTTTCTGCCCTACCGTCTGAGATGCAGCACACCGGTCATGTCTTCTCGTTCGAGCAAGCGCTTCACAGCCTTTAGCTCCGTCCAGCAATGACCTCGTAAAAAGAGAAGACAGACTTCATTCATGCGTGAAGTTTACACGCGACAGCGGACGGGTTCGTCCAGTGAGAACTTTCACAGATCAAAGCGTCAGACGACTCCAACTGTCAACACGGCTGCACGTCGCCAAGTCGCCATGAGTTGTAGGGAAACCAGAGCACCAATTTGACTGCGTCAGAACTTCTCAGGCTCTTGCGAAACTTCATAAGTAAGATCAAGGAGAACCAAGAGATAGATGAAAACAACTGTCAAGCGAAAATTATACATGTTAACAGACAACATCCTGAGTCAATGCAAAGGAGCAAAGTCAAGCATCTCTGGTCTGTTCACATCCAGCTATCGGTCTGGCTGGCATTATATTTTGGAGGTCTGTCTCCTTTCACTTCCGAATCAATCTACCTTACAAGCATTGATGCTGGTCACACGTTGGTTTCTGTGTCTTGAATCGACTATAGCCCCTCCCGTCGGCCTTATTGTCGACGTGTGTGTTCTTGGGTACTCCAAGAGTACTCGTCTATATAAGATCGACTGAAAATCACTGAATACGTACATCTCCTACCAATAAGACTCATCGACACTGGATATAGGATCACTTACCTTCACCTGAAATCTATCCACCTCTTGCAAAACGTCCCTTTCTCTTTTTGGGTGTTTTCGATCACAGCAAGTGGTCGATCCGACACGCTGCAGGCTGGCTGCTGCAAACGACCGGATGATTGATCAGATAAGCACTTGATTGACTACGTCGGAACACTCATACCCAAGCCGTTTGCTGGTATCAGCAGTGCCACGGCCAGATCCACCAGTGCCGGTGGAGGCACAACTAGGTCGAGGTGCCATGGTCAGGAGGCGTCGAGTCGGTCGTGAAGGAGAAGCGTGGTGAGAGCGTAGCTACGGAATGGAAGAGGCTGCGAGATAGAAGAGGGCGCCGAATAGAGGAGTGCGGCAACGAATCCTGATTCAGAGGCTGTGTGCCGTCTTGTTTGTTGGCTGCGTGACGCTGCGCACTGCGCACTGGCTCCCTTGGCACGCGCACTCTTGCCTCCACGAATTTAGGGAAATTTCGCAGCCAAGGGCGACTTTAGACGACCGAACTACGTCTCCATTGCATCGAGTAAGTGAATCTGCGTGTACCAAAGACACAGGACTAACTCCGTCTGCTGCCAGCTAGCCATGGCAGTCAACTTCGCCATCCCCTTATGGGGCTTTAGCAAACGCGCCTCCTTAAAGGACTAGCTCGACCGCTTCTTTGACGATAACGATACGAAAGACCAGTACACCCGGCTTGTCGAGGAGATTGAAGCTCTCCAAGCCGACGTAGAGGCGGGTCGAAGACATCGATGGCACGCACCCAAGACGCAGAAGCGCGAAGACGCCCATCTATCTCTCTACAAGCATTTCGTGCTCGGAATCGTCCAAGGCCGTGCCGATTGGGAAGAAGCGACAGAGGCGGAGGGGAAGCACGAGCTTTTCCTGCTTGAATTCGATAAATTGGTACACAACATGCAACTGTAAGTGGTCCCATCGTGTGTCCCTCCCGAAATTCACCACCTACTCTGCACATGAATCTGGATCCAGTGTCCATCAGCCCAGCACAAACCTGTCAGAGAGGCGGCAACCGCTTCTTCTTTCTCTGGAGGAATATGAGGTTGTCTGCTCATCAGGCGGGAGATGGCGTCCATTCTCATTGCACAAGCTGGCCTGAGACACGCATGTGGCATCTGCTACCTCGTCTTCTCCCTCTGGGGGAGGACGAGGTTGTCTGCTCACCAGGTTGGAAACGGCGTCCATTGTCATTGCACAAGCGGGACAGAGATACGTATGTGGCATTTGCTAACCTTCTTGTAGCTTCTTGACTTGGATCTTCAAGCGTGCTGTGCCGATGGCTCGGGCTGCGAGAGTGATCGAGTTTCGCACTCTTGGCCAATACCGCGACTCTCTCATGTTCTGGGCCAGCTACTACGCCTCGCTGGAAGGAGACCGTACGCTGCCGCGGGCGAAACTCTTCCAGAAGCTCACTCTGCAGATGAGATATGCCCACAGCAAATACAAGGGGCCCACACCAAAGAAGGACAAGACCTGGCTAGGACTTGCCGAAATACGCCAGCTGCTCGACCACGAAGCCACCGCCAATAGGTGTATTGAGCTCTCAGAACAGCACCAAGTTCTCTGGTGTATTGCAAGACTCACCGCCCTCCGTCCCGGCTCTCTCTGTCCCGGAGGCCCTCTGTCACGCGTCCAGGCTCTCACCTGGAAGAACTTTCGCTTCTTCCGCGGAGACGAGAAAGACGAGTTCCACTGCCAGATGACTGTGGATCACATCAACATCAAGCGTCCAGAAGACCCGGAATCTCGGCTAGAGCGAGAAATTACTACATTCCCCCTGACGCTTCGATTCTCGTCTCCACGACCGGAGAATATCGTCTTTTCTCCCGCTCATCGCTTGCTCGTGATTTCCATTCGCCACGGAATCTTAGAAGATATCGATACACTGGAAGACTTGTTTGAAGGGAAGCAGCACGAGATTATGGTGAAGCTGGGCAAGCAGCAGGACATCGTGTTCTACAGAGGCATCGCCAAGGGCACTGCCCTCGACAAGTCAAAGCCTCTCACATCTAACGCATTGACTGAGTACCTCAAGCGACGTGGCCGCCAGCTGGGATATACCAAAGACATCTCAATGTACAGCATTCGCCGACGAGTCGCTATGGACATGGTCAAGCGTGCGGACATGGAGATCGCACGCTTCCTGCTGGGTCATGCTCCGGACAGCCATACGCTCCCAGTCACTCGATCTTACGGGCCATCTCGTCGACGATGGGGTGCGAAATGAGGGAACGTCCAATGGCCAAGCCGATTTATACTTCAAGACGCTGACAACGATGAAGGACCGTCGTCCAATAAGAGCATCGATGCTTGGAATGAAAACGTTTCTTGCACTTCACGATGATTCGGGAAGAACAAGTGCTGTCATCTGGCGATGGTTCAGGGAGTGGTGGAACGTGAATGACCGACTTTGCCCGGGCTGTAGGAAAAGTCCCCGGCATGGAGGTCACCAATCAAGATAAGAGAAATTCCTCTTTGGCCTGCCCAAAGTTTGGGTTTCCGGACGCAACTCTCGCGTGGGCCGTACCTTATCGGGCCAAGCATTAGGTAAAAGTCCGAATGAGATCAGATCAGATCGTATTCAGAAATCTAACACATTGGTGTTGCGAAAACGAGACCAGCCTTCCCGGGCTTAACAATCGATCTAAGAATACTGCTGACGATCGTTGTGACAGCCGTCGTATAAGTCGTACCGACGAAGACGGTCGACTTGAGGAGCATAGATAAAAGTGTGAAAAGCCCGGGCAGGCCGACAGAGATCATCGCTGCGATCAATATTTCCCAGATCCTTCTGTCTTACACATCGTCTTCAGAAGATATTTTCCAACAGATTCCATTACAGTCCTAGCAAAGAGCACGTACGACAAGGAGCTATCATGAAGCACATCATTGCAAGCGTCGCAATCGCGCTAGCTGCGCTTCCAAGCGTTCGTGCATGGTGCTGTCATGCAGACACTAAGGAGCAGACCGCTAAATACAGTCAAATCTGCTACGATGCCGATCCTGACTATCCAGTCGGATATTGCGTACGTTTTTGAGCAGCAAATTGGTGACTATACGCGGACACTGATTGATTCAGTGTCTGAAAGGCAAAAATATGCATAGTTGCACCGCCAATACGGTCTACACTATATACAAAGAGTAAGCATCGATCTTCCCCAGAACCTTATGTAGTGGAGAACTCTTCCAGAGTATCTGCTAATCGTTGGAACTTTCCAGCCCAAAGGGATCTTTCCTCCAGCTTCCGAGTGGATGCCAAAACCCTGAGGGAGCCAGTACGTTCTCTATGCTGCACTGCAACTCATGTGGAATGTCTGCTTACTTTGGAATATTCAGTCACTTGTCAATACCTCCATTGATGGGGACAGTACGATCACAGGGCATAGCCGCTTTGACGTGAGTATTGCAATGTGCTACGATGGTCATAGAAAACGCTCTCTACGTAAATACAACCATAGCCATGGGAATTCAGTTTCCCGACTCGACATTGAGGCCATCACAATCATATACCGAGTAAGTAATTGATGGCACCACCACCAGATCGCTCCGTGCAATTCAGCTCATGTATGATCGGTACTTTCTTGTCAACTTGTTTGATGCAAGTCGTTGCAGACGATGCGGCAGGGTGTGCTTTGATCACTTCCTATGGCTTCTTGCATTGCTTTGTTCAAAATAAGGATTATATTTGTTTGGCAACCATCCATATGCAATAATGGGTGCCACCATCCTTCCAGATTCGTGGAGTAGGTCTCCAATCCATCCAAATTGGGGCGCGTGGTCTATGGTATCATTCTTCCTTAGCAACAAGCTTCACGCTAACTCGATCGGGGTGACACACGTTGTTTCGAGGGAGTTTGAATCCAACACAGGGACATTCTCATCGTCTCCGAGTACAGTGATGACTATCACTCGCAGTTTGGGAGGTTCCACAGTGTTACTGTTCTCCGATTCTACAACTGGGTTACGGTGAGGCGTATGTAGTACATATTAGACTCATGTGTTCAATGCTCACATTCGGGCGCGTGGTCTAGTGGTATGATTCTTCCTTAGCATTTGTCAGCAACGACACTGTGTGGAAGAGGTCCTGGGTTCAATTCCCAGCGCGTCCACTTCTTTTGTCCTGTATAGGGACAACGGAGGAGTAGTTGTGATATTTTTGTCCTTGGGGAAGGTGCGGAGTGAATGAAATTTGCAGCCGGCTATGTTTCCGGATGTTGCGCATTTTCTTTTGCTCCGAGGAGTCTAGATCTCTGGCGACATTGTACGTCCGTCGAGAATGTGTCTAGTTGCTTTGTGCTGCTTGCAGCATGTCCTTGTTGGGGAGTCGGGACAGGGCGAAGCTCGAAGTGAAACTTTTGGGCTTGCCAAGCATTTTTGCAGCGATCCATGATAGCGTTCAACGGGTGTGATAAGCCGGATTGATTGCCGTCTGATCGTTTGCTTCTATTGACTTGATGTTGTGAGTTAATGCTTCATGATATCGCTTCGTTGTGTTTTGCAGACCATGAAGTGAAGTCGTCAAAACGCCAAGCCTGCAACTTTTGTCGCCGATTCCGGCTTTCCAAAACGCTTTCGCCCTCTGCAGTCAATCTGCTGGACAGTGGCCGCAAATCTCCCTGAGAGAAACAAGGACAACCAGGAATCTATTCGTTCCGCTGCAAACAATCGCACGCAAATCACTCTCCAACGTGTACGCGTAAAGAAAGGCATGCCAGCATTTCATTCCCATCATTCTCAGCGTAGAAGCATATAGACATTACCCACTACCCGACAGTGAAGTCTACCAACTTATGCTCTGGCAGCCTCGGCTTGAGCTTGCTGCTTCTCCATATCTTCGATGAATCGTTCCCATATTTCAATGTTGCCCTGAAAGAATCTGATGTTGGCATCGGCCAGTCCACCCAGCTCATCTCGAAACTCAATAGCTTTGATGCGTTCAAAGTCACCAACTTCCTTCACGACCTCCTCATCGAACGCTTCGCTTGTCTTCTTCGCAGCCTCCACTTCTGTTGTGAGTCGTGAAATTTGCACTTCAAGCTTCCGCTGCCTTTCGCGTCGAGATTGTTCGTGATCCACGCCTCTCACGTCCTCAATCTTTTGTCGCAGAAAGCCAGAAGCACCCATAGAGCCATGACTTGCCAGCGTGTCCCGTTCCTGCGCGGCTTTTTGAAGGTAATCTGTGAGTGCTTCGAAATCCAATTGCTTTTGTTCCCGCGTCTTCAGCAGCGACTTGACAGATGTGATATAAGCCTCCATGTCTTTGAGAGATCCAAGGTAATCCTGGTCAGTGAACTCTTTCAGCCCTTGCCACCCTTCGCTTGTGGCATTGACAGAAGTCGCAAACTTGGTCAATTCGTCGTTAATGCCCGGCTCAAGTGCAGCTAGCCTCTGGAACTGCTCTGCCAAATCTCGATAGTCGTTTTCCAAATCGCCTTCTCGTTTCGCAACACGTGCCACAGTTTTGCTCACAGTCCCGAGATCGTCGTCTAATTTGGAAGCTCTCTCGTTGACCTCCTGGAATTTCTTGTCCGTCTTGTGCGGCTTGGTGAAGGCGTTAAGGAAGCTGTCGGTCCAGCTCTCGAGCACGCCTCCACTGCCGCCATCACTGCCACTCATGCCTCGATTCGGCCTGGACTTCATCACGGAATTCCAATCAGTTGATTCCAGAAATAAAGTCAAGAGTGTCGCTCTTCGCAGCACTGGGTGCCGCGTCAGTCGTGCGAGAAAGCGGTTCAAAGAATATGCACGCCGCGAAGTGAAGTCCGGACCAAAGCGATCGCCTCGCACATACGACATATTATGTTTATCCGGAAGAGGCGGCACGGCGCATTGCGGATATTCTTTTGCAAGTGTGCGGTAGAGGAAGACAAAGTCCGTGAAGCGCCGTCGTACTTTTGTGTGCGAGTTTTGATACGACTTGAAGTCCGTTTCGGTTGTCACCAGGTAGGAAACATATACTGTTTGCGTGCCTTCGCCTTCCTTCTGAGGACTCCCAACGGTGCACAATAGTCTGCCATGGGCTCCAGGTCCAGCAAGATCTATTGAGTCGGCATTTGCGCCAGCCTGCTGCCACTCCGGGTCATCATAGTCATTACTACTCCTTCCAGCTCCGTCCATGTTGTTGCTGCCTGGCTGGGCAGGCGAGGTATTGGAGAATCTGCGTTGTGGCCGTCGTTGGTACTTGTTATATCTCTTGCGTAGATTCGAAGTGAGTCCTCCTATTACTCCTTCCTCGCTGGGTGAATCGTGTCCGTCGTAGTGCGATTCGGGCAGCTGGTCGTTTTCGATGAGCTCAAAGTCGTCCTCGTCTGCGGCGCTACCAGCTTGCGAGTTGAGGTCGATAACGGAGCTGTGCGCGGACGACACGGGTGAAGCTTCGTATGAATCTATGGTGGGCGGTGTTCTGGCAAAGGGCAGCGGTGGAGGCTGGTCGTCGTCGTTGCGGTCGTGGGAGTTTGTTGGCGTGAGACGATCGTGGGAGCTCCAGACGTTGTCGGACGGTACGTCAGTGTCGCCGACCCCGGCAACGTGGCTGGCGCCGTCTCGCGAAGACATCGTTGGGTCGGTGCTCTGTGCGGCGAAACATACGATTCTGGGTGGGTGGAGAGAGCGAGAAGAACATGTCGGTAGATCACGACTGCCTGTGCAGGACGCCGTGAGTGACCACTTCTTCACTTGGTCGCGAGGCAAACGGCGCGCGAAAGGCCAGACGTCACCACTTGCGGCCCAAGCATCCGCACAGCTGGCCCGCCTTCACTTCTTCACTCACTGCGCAACAAATTCGTGAATATGGCAGAGCCCAAGGTCTGGGAGCAGGTCCTGACATGGGCCTTCTCGCCCAGCTGGTCAGCCATAGTTTTGGCCTTCGTCGTCGCCTTCACGCTGCCACTGCTGATTCACGGATACCTGTATAAAAAAGCCGTTGCTAGAGAGGCCCCAAGCTTCTTGCTGGCAGGACCGAGCGGAGCGGGCAAGACAAGTCTATTGACACTGGTATGCGTCTGCTCAACTTCTGCTACTCCATGTGAGTACTGACAAGTCGGTTTCTAGCTATCGACCGGGTCCGCAGCTCCAACCTACACTTCGCAGTCACCTTCGACAGCCCTCGTCAGCTTACCCCACCAAATACGCACGAGCGCGGACAAGTACCGTTCAGAAAACGACAATGCGCCCCGAGATCAGCCTACGTTCCAGCTCATCGACACTCCCGGACACGGCAAGCTGAGACACCACGCACTATCTACCTTGACAGAATCCACAGCACTGAAGGGCGTCATATTTGTCGTGGACAGTGCAGCTGCAAGTCTCTCGGAAGCGGCAGAGTTTCTTCACGACCTGCTGCTTGCCCTACAGAAGCGGCACACACAGAGCAAGACGAGTAAAGGACCGGCATCGATACCCGTGCTCGTAGCTGCGAATAAGCAAGATGTCTTCTCGGCCACTCCTGCAAGCTTGCTGAAGACAAAGCTGGAAGAGGAGGTAGGGAGGATTCGGCAGACGAAGAGCAGAGGCGTGATCGGTGTTGGAGGTGCTGGGACAGAAGACGATGCGGGAGGAGATGACGAGGATAACTGGTTAGGAGAGTATGGAAGCAAGGACTTCAACTTTGGGCAAATGGAAGAGCATGGCGTGGACATCAAGCTCATAGGTGGAAATGTCAAGAATGGAGACAAGAAAGGCGACGTGGATGGGTGGTGGGTTTGGATTGGAGAAAATCTGTAGAGTGATTACTCCCCAATTGAACTGCATTCGATCGTCGGCCCTCGCTGTCTCTTGTGCTCGTGAGCAACGCCATTCGAGTGAAGTCTTGCAGTCACTGGAACCGGTTCCGCAAGGAGACATCACCTCAAGTTGAACTTTGCCTCGTCAAGCTGACCTTACCGGTAGCGCGAGAGGCACTTGTGCCTGCCGACTTCTCAAATGCATTCCTGGCAGCCGGCTATTAGCCTGTACACCCACTAATGACCATTTATGTGACCAGAGTAGTAAAATATCCCATATCCCAGCCACATAGGCACAGTGAAGCTCGACCTCAGACGCTTAAGAATTCCATCAATGCTACGGCACTCAAATCTTCATGGTTGTTAGGCCCGAGCACAAAGAGTAGTCTGCTGTAGGCAAGAATAGAGAAAAGCTGCTCAGACAAAATGTTCTTGGCATCCAAAAATTTCACTTCACCATGCCATATCTCAACCAAAAGTGATCCGATTGCCATAGCTCTTATTGCTATGCAATCAGCAAAAACAATTCCCCCTCACAGGCTTGAACTGTGAACCTCTCGATTGCGAGAACACTCGGAAAGTGTATTTAACAGTCGAACGCGCTAGCCAATTGCGCCAAGGAGGATGTATGGGCAGGTGGAAAGATGAAAAGGTCAAACAAATTATGAAGACTCAACAACAGCGTTTAGACGCACAGCTACACTGAGCCGGTAAGACAGGTTTCGTGTCGACCCTTGTCACGGTAGTCTTGCATTCAAGTGACAGCGACATGCATTAGGACACCTTCAGCCATTGCCGAATTAGAATGCCGTCCCTGATACAACGGGCTACGAGAATGGTAGGCTGCTCCACTTTGACCATGCACCACGAAGCACCCAATGCACATGTAAATCCAAGCAGGAGTTTCGAAATACTGGTATCGTTTCTACAACCAAAGCTCTACTCCTCTTCAGCCTCTTCCGCGGCCTCTTCGGCTTCGCCATCCGCGGCAGCAGGCTCCGCCTCCTCATCGCCATTCACATCTATCAAATCGGCATGACCTCCGCCCTCCTTTTCTAACCTCAACGACTCCTCAAAGTTAGGGAACATGTCCGGATCAGCGTCAGGTGACCCAAGCAGTCTCGCAACTTTGGTTTTGCCGCTCTTCTCCAATGATGCCTTCCACAATCCGACAATTTCTGCTAACCGTGAAGGCTTGTAAGTTTGAGCGGTTTGCACAGCTTCCGCCAGTCGATCCGTCTTGATCAATAGGTCGAGACAGGCATCAATGTCGCCAACAGACCACAAGCAAGTAAATGCCACGTTGTGCTGTCCTCCTTCCGACGCCTTTTCAGCGACCCATCGCAGACCCTCTTCACTCGCTGAAGATGTGTAGAGCAAGAGCAACGACGACAGGTCTTTAGCGCTGCGGAAGCATTCTTCTGCGAGTGCAATATTGTAGCGAGCAAGTGCAGCGTCGCCAACGGTCTTCCACTTGTGCTCAACATCGGCTTGTCTCGCCAAGTCGAGGGCAATGTCGAGTTCGCCAAGACCAAGAGCAAGCTCAAAGCGGTGCTCGTTGTCTGTGGACACCTGCAGCGCTTCTTCGTTATAGTTTTGCCCTTCGAGGAAACGCGCAATTTTCGTCTTCTGCTCTTCAGGGATTTCTCCCTCCTCGAGCATATTCATCGCCGACTCCAATTCCCCTCGCAGCACAAGAGTCTGGAATTCGATGACGCTGACGGAAAGAGCGAAGGAGATGACATTGACGTCCTTGTCGCAGACGTATACCCGGCCATCCCTTGTGAGGTATCCCAGGACGTAGTATGGCTGGTCGAAATGCGAAACGGTGTATGTCTGGTCACCAACCAGGTAGTTGAGGCGATTTGTGCTGTTGGTGTAGACGAAGCAGTCGCCTACCCATTGTCCAGTCCGCACGCTCTCGTTGATGTCACAGACAACCTCGAAAGCATCTTCGACGCCATCCTCGTCCACGGCGCCGGATTGCACGGCGGCGACGTATTGCTCACGGGAGTAGCGCAGTACGTAGAATGTGTCCTCGCATGCCAGAGCAACCAGCTCGCCGGATTCCGACCAGTAGACATTTCGTGGCTCGACTTCGATGCGACGGACAAGCTTGCCAGTCTCCCAGTCGAAGAAGCCGATGCCGCCTTGTCCTTTGACGCCGAGCAGGACGCCACCACTCAGGCCATCGGCAGTGAAGCCCACGTTGACGCTGCCGTCACCTCCCTTGGGCTTGAAGTTGCGATAGATCTTGACCGAGTACTGTGATTCTCGGATCGCGTAATCCTTGTCGTTGTCTTTTGATGCCCATGCGAAATCGAGCGCGGAGCCGAAAGCTTGATTTCGAAGTGCGAGTGCTGTGTAGATGATGTATTCGCCATCTCCACAAACTGCAACGAATCGTCCATTTGGCGAGTGCAGTAGAGTCTGTGGGTAGATTTCTGTGCTGCCAAGATCCTTTGATGGCAGAGAAATAGGCTGGGCGTCCTTGATCGATTTGTCGCCGCCTTTGATGACCGAAGTAAGAATCTCAGAGTGACGAGCCCAGATGATCTTGCCGGATCCATCCATCGAGACTGCTGGCTCTTCGCGACCCATCTTCACGACAACAGCACCATCGTCGAAACCCATGGCAATGCCCTGCTTGCCTCGCTGGTATGAGATACACCATGCTCGCTCGAGGCCATATGACAATGACTGCTCAAGTCGGTATGTGTTCGCATGCCATATCTTGACCGTGCCGTCTTCGGAACCAGAAATGATCACAGGCAGTTCTGGGTGATAGCATGCAAATGAGACATTCGAGGTGTGGCCCTCCAATGTCGCAATCAGTGCTTTTGTTGTGTAATCCCAAATCTTGACTGTCCGATCATCTGAGGTGGTGAGCAGGTATGGCTTGTCCGACTGCGGGTAGTAGTCCACATGGTTGACACCTTTCGTTTCGTGCGCCTCGAGTGTGTAGTTGGCCGTTCTTGACCCTAAACTCCAGATCTTGACTGTGCGATCCAGACATGCGGACGCGAATGTGTTTGTGTCCTTTGGGTTGATCGCCAGCCCCATCACATAGTGGTTGTGCCCCTCGAAGACCTGCACGCATTGCCAGCCCTTGTCCCAGTCCCACAGCTTAATTGTCATGTCATCACTGGCAGTCAAGACGAAAGGTTGGCTCGGATGAACGACGATGGCTCGGATGTAGTCGGGGTGTGCTTCGAAGCTGGTGATCTTCTCGGAAGTGTTGTAGTTGTAGACTCGGAGTTGGAAGTCATCGCTGCCGCATACTATCCAGTTCTTTCGTGCGATGAAGCGACCTGCTCGCACAGGCACATCGGTCAATTCGAACGTCTTTATGATCGACTGCGTTTCGTAGGACCAGATGTAGACGTGGCCGCTGTAGAGTGTGGTGAGGATCCATGGCTCGGTGGGGTGGAAGTCAATGCCCTTGACACGCTCGCTGCGCGCAAACAGCTGCCTCTGCAGGATATTAGCTGAGTCGATCGCTGAGCCTCGAGCAACATACCTTCACGTCGAGCTTCATTGTGGCAAGTGTCTATCCTCAGAATATGGTAAAGTGTTGGCGAGGGGGTGGATCGTGCGGAGTGGTGGTCGTTTGCGGTGAAGCCCAGCTGTCACAATCACGCTCTCCCCATACTCCGTCTACCGAAATTCAGTCCAATGCAACAGCTGCAAAGCGAAGGGAATGCGACAGGTTGGGGAAGCGGATAGGGTCGTGGGCGTGAGAAAGGGCAATTCAATGGGTCGCGACAGCTGTCGTTGCTGCATCTCCAAATTCCCAGACCCAGACCCCTACGTTTCCAGAATCCGTGAGCCTGAGGCATCACCGCCATCGTGCAGTTCACGACCACCCTGCAGGACAGGACGCTGGGCTACATTGCACTCCCAAATCAGCTCTATGGTAACCAAAAAAAGTGGCATCTGGATCTGCGACCATCTCGTGTCCATCGACATCGCAAGAGCCGCCAAGTGTTCCTTCTCGTCAACCAGCATGAGGCTCAAGTCCCACGTGAAACCCTCCGTTGCCTGATGCAGCCTAGCACGCGGTGCAGCGTCTCCGTCAATCAGATGACGTGCGGGTCTGTCGTCCTCCACGACCAAACACCGCCTCATCGCCTCTATCTCTCTATCCTCTCTACCCACGACCGTCGCGAGCAGATCGTGTTCAGAGCTCCGCCAGCATGAAGCTTTTCTCCGTCCTATCCTCGGCGTTGCTTGCCACCGCCGTGACAGCTCGGTCCACACTCGTCAAGCGAGACGACAACCTCTCAGTACCCGGCGAGAACCCACTTGAGTTCTGTCAAGACCCAGCGGACAACATCCTCGCCATCAAGAAGGTTGACCTCGACCCCAACCCACCTAAGGCGTAAGTCCTCTCATTCTGGGACGAACTCTCTTTTTCCAGCCTCCTCTAAAGAACCGCCACACTAACACATCTGCTCTCTCAGTGGTACAAAGCTCCAAGTTGCCGCCACCGGTGTCCTCGCCGAAGACGTCGAACAAGGCGCCAAAGTGGCATATACTGTCAAATACGGCGTCATCACCATCCTGCACTCGACCGCAGATCTTTGCGAAACCGTAGCAAACGTCGACCTCGAATGTCCGCTGAAGAAGGGTGATTTGACGCTCACAAAAGATGTGGACCTGCCAGCACAAATTCCTCCGGGAACATACACCGTGGAAGCCACTGTGGTCACCAAGGATGATAAGCCAATTACATGTCTGAAGGCTAAGGTGCAGTTCAAGGCCGGGGGTTCTGCGCTCGAAGGCCTGTTCAAGGAGGGTTTGTAGGAGAGCCCAAAGCGGAAGGGAAGCGATGCGAAAGCTAGAATGGATACGTGCCGGAATTGACCAGGATAAATGGCGCAACAAGCCAGTGTTTGCGCGCGCTGGCTTGAAAGTGTCGTTCTCTTTCGCGAGAACTACGTCCGACCGCGAGCCATGTATCTCAACCTCAGCATGTTCCACAAGCACTTCTCAGCACGGCGTTTGGGGATAGCATTAATGTTGTATGACCTAGCTTGACTGAATATACGTACGGATGAATATGTGCAAACCACACCCTAGTTTCCAATCTTTTCGCAATTGATCATGCGATACCCGTAACATCAAGGCCCTTCTGGCAGCAGCAGTCAAAATGCCGAACGGAACAATCGTGGAAAGGTGTGACAAGCCCATTGCCTCTTCACGCTACATCATGACGAGGAACGCAACAATTAATATCGACACTCAGGAAGCAGAGTATGAAATCTGAAGCGTGAATTCACTGAACATCTTGCCACTCGGTCATCACCTTTTGTATATCAGCTGAACTCCGGTGGAGATGGCCTGGTATGCCTCACTGCCCAGGCTTCAACTGCCTCAACATGAGGTTGCTTGAGCACCAGACATGCTCTGTACTCAGCTAGCTTGTACTCGCAGCTTGGAAGCCTTCAATTGCGGGTATCTCATCTCCGTCATCATGCGGTTCTTCTAAACGTCCCCCTCCTTCTCACCCTGTCGAGCGTTTCCAGGTACGCTCTCGCCAGTAGCCACCATGTGAAGCGCCTTTGAATCCTTCGGGTTGACCATTTTGCATCGGCCATTCCCTCTACTCTCCGAACAACTTCCTCACTCTCTTCATTACACTATCTTTCTCCGGATCGTATGGGTGGTCTTTACTCGGGATTTCCAACAACGAAGGGAACGCCTCGTTGTATGCGTCGACTTTCGGTCGTATCCGGTCTGCGATCTGTGGGACACATGTATATCAGCTTCGGATCTCTTCCAAGGTTCATCTTGCTCGTGCATGTGCGCTCTTCCACATCGAAGCCCTGCCTATGCTGTCCTGATCACCCTGCCCTGCTCTTCCTCTCCGAACGCCGCCGTCTTAAAGTAATGTATAACGATGCCACGTACATGTTGATTTATGAGTAGGATCGCAATATCCTTCCTCTCCTTCGTAAATTGTTCAAAGGCTCCTTCGATGGCGGAGTCCTGTGTCTTCGAGTCGACGACGAGGTAGTTCTTCTGCGAGTCGGGTGGATCGGTGACGTGCTATAGAAGCCCTTCAGTCAGCCTCAATCGCTCCAAAGATATCCGAGAACGACGCAAGAAGTTGAGAGACGTACGCCTACACCTGCCAGCAGGATGCCTGTCACGGAGTCCTGTGAGATGCTATTAGAAGCTTCGCGCGATATTGAAGACCGGCGTGATATGAAGCTGTACCTCGTCTCCTATGACTGCGAGAAATTCTCGGTCTTTGTATGCGGAAGCTGGAAGAGCCATGGTGTTGTCTGTGTCGAGCTGCAGCTGCACGAGGCGGGCGATGATGTTACTTCGGATGTTGCTTGGCGTGGTTGCGTGGGTGGGTCCTCCTCCACTTCACTCTGCCACTTTCTTTAACACGTCGAATTCACATCATTGCGATTGGGCAAGAGCTTAATCTATACCAGCAAGTACGAGGTCAAAAAGGCCGTTCCATCAGTGAGCCGGAGCACAGGATCAGCTCGTCACCAACAATACAGAGAATACGAAGCGACATGATGAGCGTTATAGCAGTAAAGGAAAAATGGAATACGCTTGTGAAACAGGAAGACAGGCAAAAATGTCATTGCATGAGAACAACAAAGTTGAATCTACGCTAACTCCGCTAAAATGTACAACACGAAAGCCAACTGTTCGGCCTCCCTCTAATGCTTCTTGTAAGCCTTAAACTGAATATCATGCTCATAATCATTCAGATCTCTGAAATCGCCTCTCAAACTCTCAACACCATCCTTCTTCACCTCCTCCAAAAGTCCCTTGACCTTATCCGCGATCTTAGGTCCCTCGTAGTTGAATCTCTGATATACCACATTGCCAGTCAACGACTGACCGAACGAGTGCATCGAGTATCCAGCATCCGCGTACCTCTCCCAGCCATTAGGAGAGTAAGCCTCAACAACAACTCGAAGAGCAGAGCCGAGCACAGATTTCTTGTACTCTTTTGATTGCGCCTCGAAGATGCGTTGGCAAGGGAAGGAGACCACGCGGGCTTTGATCCCAGATTTGGAGAGTTCTTCACGAGCTTCGACTGCGAAGCGCATTTCGGCTCCGACACCGATGAGAGTGACGTCTGCGTTCTCTTCTTCGATGAAGACGTATGCACCCTTTGCCACACCGTCGCGGGAAGAGTGCTTTGGGTATTGTGGGATCTTTTGTCGAGAGACGGAGATGATTGATGGGGTGTTCTTCGCCTTGATGGCGACGAGAGTAGCGCCTGCGACCTCTTCGGCATCGGCCGGACGGATGTAGTAGAAGTTTGGCATGGCACGGTAGAGAGCGGCGAGCTCGATAGGTTGATGTGTTGGACCATCCTCACCAGTTCCGATGGAGTCGTGTGTAGCGATGTGGATTGTTTGGAGGCCTTGGAGAGCGGCCATGCGAAGACCTGGGGCGGCGTAAATGTAGAACATGAAGAAGCTGGAAGTGATTGGGAGGATAGTGCCCTTGTTGAAGGCTGCCATACCGTTCGATGCGGAGGCCATGGCGTGCTCGCGGATACCCCAGTGGATGTAGCGACCTGAGTAGTCGCCGTTCGGGCCACTGACTGTGCGGAGGTCTGGGTGCTGGAAGTCAACCTTGCCCTTCCAGGCCATGTTGACTGATGGTGTAAGATCTGCCGTGCCAATCATGAGGTTGTTGATCTTTGAGGCAATGGGCTGGAGGCATGCACCAGCAGACTTTCGCGAAGGAGTTTCCTCCGTTGGGAAGTCTTCGAGCTTTGGCACGAGCTTCTCCCAATCATCGATCATCTCACCCTTGACGCGCTTGTCAAACTCAGCAGCGAGTTCTGGGTACTCCTTCGCGTATCCTTCTCGGAGCTCAGCCCACTTCTTCTCGAGATCCTGGCCTCGTGGCACGACCTCGCGGAAGTAGTTGTAGACCTCATCTGAGATCTGGAAGGTCTTCTCTGGGTCCAAGCCGAAAGTCTTCTTGACATGTGCAATATCCTCCTCGCCCAAATCAGCACCATGGGTGGATGCCTGTCCTTGAGCCTTGCTGCCAACACCAATAGTGGTGCGGACGTTGATGAACGTTGGCTTGTCCTTTGCTGCTCGTGCTTGCAAAAGCGCCTTGACGATGCCCTCCACGTCGTGGTTGCCGTCCTCGACCTCGAGGACATTCCAGCCGCAAGCCTTCATCTTCAAGTTGATATCATCAGACTGCGCGATATCGACAGTTCCATCACATGTCACCTCATTCCTATCGAAGATGACACAAAGGTTGTTCAATCTCCAGTGTCCAGCAAGCTGGATGGCCTCCATACCGACACCTTCTTGCAAGCATGCATCTCCGATTGTGCACCAGGTCATGTTGTTGACAAGCTCGTATCCGGGCCTGTTGTATTGGGCGCCAAGGTGTTTTGTGGCCATAGCAAGACCAACTGCATTGGCAATACCCTGACCCAATGGGCCAGTTGTGACTTCGACACCGTCGATTTCGATCTCAGGGTGTCCAGGTGTGATCGAGTCAAATCGAACAGAGTGATATGTGAGCAGTTGTTCCCATGTCATCTGCTTGAAGCCCACGAGATGCAGGAACGTATATTGCCATAGGCATGTGTGGCCGTTACTGAGAACAAATCGATCGCGGTTGAAGTAGTTTGGGTTGTGTGGTGAAATCTTCATGACATATTTCCAGAGTGCAACACCGATCGCTGCCATTCCCATGGCACCTCTGTTCGAATGTTAGCTTAGCCATACTGCATATCCTGTCGAGACGCTGCCTACCCAGGATGACCGCATTTGAATTGATGGCACAGATCTGCGATTAAAGCTCGAAATGTGCCAAGGACTTTCTTTGTCAACTCATTGTCTTCCATCTTGATATCTTCTACTGGTGCAGTATCGCTGTGCCCATTGGCCTTGCCATTGAGCTTAATTGGCAGATGGTCAACATCTTGTTGTGAGATCGCTCCTGGTGCCATGATGAATGTCTGTTCTCTCTAGTGTGTAAACCTCAAAGATACCAGACAATCGCTGAGAGAAGATGCTGCAAGAAAAGGAAGAAGCAATGAAGTGATGATGGCACAGGCAGCGTGTGGCCAACTCATATATGAACCCAAAGGCGAGCCATAATTTTTGTCACGTCACACTGGTCCCCTCACGCGAGCCGCCCATGGGGCTTCCCCCAAAGCTCGTCTCGAAGAACTCAATCGCATCCCGATCTAGATGTGTCAAGCGTAGCAGCAAAGCTGGGCAGACGCTGTTTTGGCGGGTGAGGAGAAGAGCTGTGGACTTGTGGTGGTCAGCACAGCATGTCGGCCGACAGGGACCGACGGCTTGCTTGCCTCGCAAAGACGGCAAGTCGAAGCGCTGCTCTTCAGGCAAGTGAGCTGGCTTCGGCTTTCCCGTTTCAGGCTCCCCGCCAACGCGACTTCTCTTCTCCACGTTCCAGCGCCGTCTGGACTGTCATCTTTCCGGTCGTTCGACAACATCCCAGCTCCTCGAGACGCGACACGTGTAGCTATGGCTCTCAATGGCATCGCCAGGCGCTGGATGACCTCTTCATATGCCGAAGACTCCACGTTGTCCCGCTGCTCTGACATAGCTTCAGAAAAAAGGTATCTAGCACATCTCCTTGATCCTGCCATTCGCAACTTTTCTGTCAACCTTCCTTCACTTCTCCATACACACGAGAACAACAGTAGAGACTACCAGAATTTGATAGAGCATCATGGCACCAGGCACAATCGGAGACTTCGTTCCGCCCTCCACAGAACCCACACCAGAAAGTCAAGTCTCTTCAGCAAATGCGCCCACACCAGCCCTCTTCTCCCTCTCCGGGCAAACAATTGTCATCACAGGCGCAGGCCGAGGTGTAGGCATCACACTCGCAATCGCTTGTCTCGAAGCCGGAGCACACGTAGCTTGTCTCGACGTCCTCCCATCACCAGCAGAGAAAGAATGGGCCATCATCCAGTCCTTGTGCAAGAAGAACAACCTCACTGCCACATACGGGAAATGCGACATTACGAACGAGACCGATGTGCAAACAACCCTTGAGGAGATCGCATCCAGAGAACAATCCCAGACAGCTCCCTTCAGCGGAATCATTGCCTGTGCGGGAATTCAACAAAAGACGCTAGCCTTGGACTACCCACCAGAAGACTTCAACAAGATGTTGAACGTCAATGTCACCGGAACATTCCTCACGGCGAAACACGCATCGAAGATGTTTGTGAAGAACAACATCAAAGGCAGCATTGTTCTGATCGCCAGTATGAGTGGAATCATTGCCAACCGAGGATTGCACTGCACAGCATACAACAGCAGCAAAGCTGCCGTGCTCCAGATCGCTAGATCCATGTCACAAGAAGTGGGACAATATGGGATCCGGATTAACACGCTTTCGCCGGGTTATATTCGTACGGCGATGACGGCTGCACTGTTGAAGGAGGAGCCACACCTTGAGAAGTTGTGGATGGCTGGAGCTCTTTTGGGGAGGATCGGTGCTCCGGAGGATTTCAAGGCACCTGCTGTATTCTTGTTGGCTCCCGGAAGCAGCTGGATGACGGGAGCGGACTTGAGGGTCGACGGCGGGCATTGTGCTAGTGCTTGAGCACATATAAATGTAAATTGTCGCGCGATGTAGCGTTCTTGCGAACTCATATTTTGATGAATCACATGTAACAGTGTGGCGAAAGCTTTCCATCTTTTTGCAACTGGTGTAGTCGCATCTCCAGCATTCGGGGTTCGTTGCATTATGTCCCCCTAAGACTGCCCCCAACGGTGGAGTCGATTGGATTAGTGAACTCATATACGCTTTTGATGTTTGATCTCGTTTCGAATTCGCAACACTGCCTCCAAAAGTGGAGCTTCGCGCTTGCAATGGCCCTCAAATCCTCATAGCGACGAGCTTGATTATTCCTCTTACCCATCTCGAACTCGCCAATGAGACAGAGAAGTCAGTTCCCAGTAGTATCTTGATTCTTGGCCTATAGCCCCAGTATACAGCTCAACACCTAACCCAGGCTTCAATATATTGACCCACCTAAAACATTCTCGAGACGAGCACTGTAGAGGTAGGACGGCAATCGTAAGCGCACTTTTCGCCTCACTTACTCCAGGCAGAAGTACAAGAAAGCTGGGTAGCTTGGATGTAACGGAACTCTCTCCACAGCTGCATCTGTGGCTTGCATGGTTTTGCCACGCTTCGCAGCTATTCGCAAGCAAGCTTGGTACGGCAAAAGGTTCAATTGTTTTTTGTTGACGGCATGTTCGTCATAATCGGCAACAAGCAGTGCGGCTCATTGCCTGGGCTCTGCTGTTGCTCGTCTCGAGGTGCGACTGTGCTATGAGAGTGTCCATCAGATCCTTGCGAAGGGAGCTTCGACGTCAGTGTCCGCTGCCAGCTACAAAGTCGAGCTGAGAGGACGTCTGGTTGGTTTCAAGGGTTCTGCTCAACGGCATAGTGATCTGTGTTAGCGAGGTAGAGTGTTTGAGCGGCCTGATCGATTCCGGCTTCGAAGGCAAGCTGTTTGGAATACTTGTAGCCGCATCCTGATTTCTTGTCGTGGTGTGTTGAATCCCTTCTCTGTAAGTCCACCACTGAACGTACAGCACCGAGCAACACATGTTTAGTGTAATCATTTGCATAACCACCTAGAGAGCAGCCAGACCATTTTCTACACGTCGGCAGGACTGAACTGCAAGCATTATTCTCCCAACGGAAGTCGGCAGGCTGCAAGATGTGCAGTTGAGATTCCATGCACAAACGCAGCGTTAAAAGTGTTGTAGTAAGACGCAACGCGATGTTATTGAATATGGTCGCCGAGATGGGAAGTAATCGCTCAGCGATGGCACGGTGATCGAGGAAAGGGAACTTGGATGAAAGGGTCCGGGTACGGCATCCCTGCTGATTCGGCGTGGAGGCGAGGAAGCTGCCGATGGCGGGACCGGAGAAGGAGCTGTGCTGCCGTGAGGCACAATTTCTTTGTTTGGCCTCGTGGGGAGAATTTCATCGCTGGATGTTGATGGACTGCCACATTCTCTGCGTAGAGCTGGCGCAAGCATGCGTCTGGTCATGAGCTGGCCAGATATGGGCGGAAATGGCATTGTGCAACCAGCAAGCAAACTCGCCCTGTTGGCAGTGCAGTGCGCCCGCCAACTAACTTTCGTTAGCGCATTGGTGGGGTGGCTTGAGGGACAAGGCCGCCTCACGCTCTTCCTCCGACACACGCTCGCCTTCTCGCCGTTTCTTCCCCCAAACATGTCCAGCGCCACGCCCTCCATCTTCACGTGCTAGACTCGGCGTAATGTCCTTGTACAACGGAATCTACGGCGAACTGAGCGACTTCAAGGCATACTCCAGGAAGCACTAGACGGCCCCCGCTCGTCTCTTTGACCGTGCTCCAGAAGAACAATCTTACCACGCTGTCCCCGTTCACACACCCATCACCACCGCTCCTCCTGACACCTAACTCCGCGACACCTCCTCTCTGACTGCAATCCTCATCCACCGCCCCCGGCATTCGCTGTGTGCTGCCAATTTGCACGCACGGACAATTTTCTGGAAAATATTCCGCAGCTCCTGATCAGCTGAGAACTCAACATGCACATCACCGAAAAGTTGCAGCAAGCCCATGGCAAGGGCAAGGCAACATGTTCATTCGAATACTTCCCTCCGAAGACGGCACAAGGTGTGCAGAACCTGTACGACCGCATGGACATGATGCATGGCCTCGGCCCGGCCTTCATCGACATAACATGGGGTGCTGGAGGCCGCCATTCATCATTGACCTGCGAGATGGTCAAGGTGGCTCAGACTGCATACGGCTTGGAAACATGCATGCACTTGACTTGCACAGACATGGAGCGCAGCAAGATCGATGATGCTCTGAAAGAAGCCTACAAGGCTGGTTGCACGAACATTCTAGCTCTCCGTGGTGACCCACCTCGAGAGCAGGAGAAATGGGAGGCTACCGAAGGTGGCTTCCGCTACGCAAAAGATCTCATCACATATATTAAGAAGACATATGGCGACCATTTTGACATTGGCGTGGCAGGATACCCAGAGGGTGTCGACGAGACGTGCGGCGCAGACGAGCACATCACCTATCTGAAGGAGAAGATTGAAGCGGGCGGCACCTTCATCGTGACCCAGATGTGCTACGATGCAGATATTTTTATCGATTGGGTCAAGAAATGCCGGGCAGCTGGCATCCCAGAGTCAGTCCCGATCATCCCCGGTATCATGCCTATCTCCACCTATGCTGCGTTCCTCAGAAGGGCGAACTGGACGAAGGCGCACATTCCCGAGCACTGGATGGAAAAGTTGGAACCTATCAAGAACGATGATAGCGCTGTCAGAGCCGTTGGATGCGACCTCATCGTGGAGTTCTGCCAACGGCTGCTCGACTTTGGTTTGATGCATTTGCACTTTTACACCATGAATCTGGCCCAAGCTGTCAAGATGGTGCTGGAGAAGTTGGACATGATTCCCGAAGCCGAGAGTCCTCACCCAGACATCAAGCCACTCCCATGGCGCCAGTCTCTTGGTCTCAACAGACGCGACGAGAATGTGCGACCAATCTTCTGGAGAAACCGCAACAGGGCTTATGTTGCTCGTACGCAAGATTGGGATGAGTTCCCTAATGGTCGTTGGGGTGACAGCAGATCTCCGGCTTTCGGTGGCCTGGACGAATACGGGATTGGCTTGAAGGGAACCAACGAGCACAATCGGAAAATCTGGGGCGAGCCCAAGTCGATTCAGGATATTGCGAACCTCTTTGTCGGTTACATGAGTGGAAAGGTTGAATCGCTGCCATGGTCCGAGGCACCAATCAATGAAGAGGCCAACACACTCGTGGATGATCTTGTCCAGCTGAACAGCCGCGGTCTGCTTACAATCAACTCCCAACCAGCGGTCGATGGTGTCAAGTCATCACACCCAACCTATGGCTGGGGTCCGCGGAATGGCTACGTATACCAAAAGCAGTACCTGGAAGTGCTCGTTTCTCCGGCTCTTATTGAAACCGTCATCGCGCGCATGAACAGTGACCCAGAAATCACCTACTACGCTGTCAACTGCAATGGCGAGCTCAAGACAAATGCGCCTCCAGATGGAGGTCCAAATGCTGTGACTTGGGGTGTCTTCCCAGGTAAGGAGATTGTGCAGCCCACAATTGTCGAAACGGTGTCCTTCCTGGCGTGGCGGGATGAATTTTACCATCTTGGTCTGGAATGGAGCAAGTGTTATGAAGAAGGCAGCGAGAGTCGTAAGATCATTCGGGAGGTCACCCAAAACTGGTACCTCGTCAACATCGTTCATAATGACTTCCGTCAGCAGCAAGGAATCTTCCCCATCTTTGACGGCCTCAAAGCACCAGGCCTTGAGCCGGCTGAGGTCAACGGTGTCAACGGCCATGCGGAAACGAACGGTGTGGCACCAGAAACGAACGGCGTGCCAGACGGCAACAATGCTGTTAACGGCGCAGACAAAGTTGCGAGCTCCAACAGCGCGCAAACCGCATAAACATAGACGGAAAACGTGGAAGTTACGTCTACACCTTAACGTGATTATGAAGAGATTGCATTTAGCGAGGCGTTCAACCGGGCAACAGGGCTTCTTCAACAAGGAGACCATCTCAAAAAAGGCGCTTCAACAATTGAACGAGGGCGTTGGAATTTTTGACAGCATTTTTTGAGATACCCATTCAACCGGGACAGGGCGGCGGAAACTCTGTATTGTATGTAATACAGGCACTCGGCCGACGAGTGCGTTTTCTACAAAGCGTCGCGAGTGGTTGCTGTTGGCGACACTTTGCAGCTTCTGTGGAATAAAAAGGGCTTTTGCGCGACGACGAGCAGAAGTCGCGTTTCAAAACACTACTCTTTCCAGCACAACTGAGAACGTGAAACTTGTTATCCTACTGATGGAAAGCGCTTACGTGTTTATAGGATGAATGAGGCAGGCTAGATTGCTTTTTCATTTCAGGAGTTTGGAAATGTGCTCAAAACCTACTCAAGCTTTCTCATTCATCCGCAAGGGTGGCTTGCTTAGCATCGGCACGTGACTTGTCCTTTGACCATTCTAGTAGGACATCAAAGTCGCTCGTTGTTGTGAACACACAACAACGAGTCAAGCTTCCTAACCTTACAAGGCAGTTGAGACCTACTGCCTAGTGTACACCGGAGCCCGATCATTGTTTGCGAAGCATAAGAATCACCATCTCAACCACGAGGAGAAAGGCCAAGCATCAGTCAACTCTTCGCTTCCACTAGGAGATATTGAATCAGAGAAGATCTGTAACAATGTGCAACGGAGCCGGACGCGCTTCGCAAGGAGGAAGGATTGTTATTCTGCAACCTGTCTTTCAGAATTTCACCACCAACACAGCGACATCAAGTCGACCAACTTTGACAAGAGGTTTCTCGTTACGATTGGACGATGATGGAGATCGTTCATGTACGACGGTGACGATTGATGGGTCAAAATTCTCGTCTCCTTCATCTTCACGATCATCGTCTCCGTCATCGTTTGGGGAAGAGTCGTCTGATGAAGATGTTGAAGCAGAGAGTGAGAGGTTCTCGTGGAGAGGGAGCAGTTTTGTTATTCAGTGAGTGTCACTTCTTTGCCTGGCTTCGAAAGTGTAAGAAGAAGAAGGGATGCTAATGCGAATCTCAGTCGCGATGGAGACCTAAGCTCTTCACATTCGGGTTGTTTGGACGACACGAGTTCGATTCTGCATCGCTTTGATGTTCCTGCTTTGGCGCAAGATCGGATTCCGTTCTCTTTATCGAAGAGATTTGATCTTGGTGTTGGAGGTGAGGGAATCGTTGGAAGGAGAGTGACATTGATTCGAGATCATTTGGTCGTTGGGCAAGGAATTGTGGGCTGGAATTGAACATTCGATTTGACGGTTGCTGTTTCGGTGCGTATTCGAGCGTATGGTGTTCAGGCGATTTTGCGATTTTTCATCTATCATTCTATCAACATTTTAATCAGCCTATGAAGTCTCATTCCAGGCAAACTCTATCTACTGATTCGTCTACGAATGTCCTCCACGGTCCTGCTTCCCAATACTCTTCCCTGTCAGTCCCGCAAAGTAAAACTGCTGCAGAGCACTGCTAGCCATCGCGCAAGGGAATTGAATCAAACGACACTTTTCCACAGCTTCGCTCAATTTCTTCCCGACTTCCTCCGCCGCAGGACAATCCGCTAAGCTCCAAGAGTCCTTCTCCAGCATAGCCTGAATCGTATCATCGCGCGTGAACATTGCATTCCAGCCTGCGGCTTTACTGATGATCTCGTACATGATCTTACGATCGACGCCGAGATGTTTGCAGAATGCCATGCCTTCGACGGAACCTGCGAGGTGAATTCCAGAGAGGAGGTCGACGATTGTGTCTTTGGAGATTTGATGGGATTTTGTCATGTTGACGTCTGCTTGTGATGCGGTGTGGACGAGATCTGGTTGGGATTTTGGAAGGTAGAGCTGGACTAGAGCTGCATCGTCTAGACGTAGGAGACCGGCTTGTTCGCCTTGCAGGTATAGTTGCTCGGCGGTGTCGACGAGAGGGACGGGGTAGTGTTCTCGACGAGCAGTATCAGTAACGATCATGGCATCTTTTTGGATAATGGCCAGAGCCGAGTATGGGTGCCAGTCGTTCTTCAGTGCATGAGGAGCACGGTTCTCGAACATGAAGGATGCACCGGAAGAGGAATTGACGTGGTCGGCTACAGCTTGCGTGTTGAGACCTACGGTCGCGGCGAGCGCGAGAGCTTCGGATGCGGTGATAATGTTCACCGCGGCAAGAAGTTGGTGGATGGTCTTGGTCTTGGTACCAGCGCTGATGCCGCCCATGCGGTAGAGGTTGCCAGACATGGCTTGTAAGACCTGAGAAGCTTCATCGAGCTCTGCTTCGGGTCCAGATTCGAAGATGGAAAGTGTTCCATTCGCCGCTCGAATTGTGCCGCCTGAAACCGGACAGTCCAAGAGCTTGATATCTCCTCGCCCAGAGTCGTCCAAACGCTTCCGAAGCTCGTGGAGGAAGGCCGGTGGAGTGGTAGAGCAAAGTATAAATGTCTTGCCTTTGCCTAGTCCTTTGATAACCGCATCATCTCCATCGAAGAAGAGACTTGAGTTTTGTGCTGCGTTGGCTACCATGGACACGAAGAAGTCGGCATGCTCAGCTGCTTCCTTTGGTGTCTTTGCTGCCTTTCCTCCGGCTTCGACGAACGAATCAACCAGAGGCTGGTATACATCAAATCCAGTCACTTCGAAGCCTTCCTTGACCAGATTCTTCGCCATGCCACCACCCATTGCTCCCAGTCCAGCAAAGCCGACTCGTGGTTTCCCTGAGGCCATGATGACGTTTGTTCAGCGATGTGGTGATATTCTTCGAGATTGCTGGAAAAGTCTACGGAGAATCAGACCTGCAAGAGTTTGAATAATTCCTTACTCGAAGTGAAGTGGGACGTGTGGTCAACATATTGGCGCCAAACCTGCCACTGCTCGTCGGTGTTTGAGAACGGCATCCCACTTCCTCCGCGTTTCGGTCCACTCGCGGCTGAATGATCAGGCTGCTGCTGACTGCACTTTACCCAGGAACCATGATACCGCACCTGCCTTGACTGTTGACAAGTCTGAACAACATCACTTCATCTCCTGATGACCTACATCTAGTGCGTTTGGGTATCGATTTGAAAGCACAGTGAGACCCAAGCAGGCCAAGACGTGAAGCAGACACGTCGTGGCTTTGTCGCGAGCAGAACCTGCGATTCCGACAGCGACTTCGCAATCGCGATTGTGCCCACAAACCGAATCGTGTATCTGCGCGAGATGGAGCGGAAGTGTTGCGCGTAAGGAGTGCGCGAGCAGTGTGCCTGCAACGGCCGAGAGCATTCCCAAGATGTCTGCCACGACGCCAACAGAGGACACGCCATCGCGATGCACCACCAAATCCTCCAGGAAGACATCTCTGCAATGAGAGAAGCACGAATGTGACGCGTTCCGATCTCATCTTCCTCGCGCGCTCCCACTCAGGGACACTTCGCAGTCACGATCCGAAAGGGAATAGCTCCAATCCTTCGACGATTGACCAATGACGAGACCACAATTCAGCCATTCTGACGACGATATCTATTCAACGGCCGTACTGTAGGACTGCGAACTATCGATCCAGCAGTTCGATTGCGAAACGTCCGTAGCAGCTTGCTTGTTTGCGAGGCTGAGCTGTCACCGCACCTTTGCTCACTGGCTGGTGATGCGCTTGGCCTCCATCCTCACGCTCGAGCACTGACCAGCCGCTCCTGATAGCTGCTGTGAAGCTATTCTGTTGCCTACGTGCGTTCGAGACAGCTCGCAATCAGACCTCTTTTGGTATGAACTGGTATGTCGGCCACGATTCGATCATAAAATCAACATAAGTATATATAGGCCTGGTTTTGCCCAAGGTAAGGGGAGTATCAACAGTTTCACAAGACAGCAGCACTCCGAGTCTTCTACGCGCATTTCACTACCAGCACTTACTCGTATCTCCTCATCAAAGGAGAAATGGCGACCACACTCCACCTCTTCCCAAGGCTCGACCCGAATCAAGGCTGCACGCAGGATACATGCGATGTCTCTAGATCCATCTATGGCTATCGACCCAACCTTGCAGCCACTGTCATCTTCTTCTGCATCTTCGCACTATCAGGACTCACCTTTGTCTTCCAAGGCATCAAATCGCGGACATGGTTCTTCTCCTCAGTAATGTTCGTCGGCTGTCTGTCCATGACCCTTGGCTACGCCGGCAAGCTCATCCTCAACAACGACCCCTTCTCGGATGCAGGCTTCAAGCTCACAGTCGTGCTGTTCACGTTCTCACCAGCTTTCTACGCTGCCGGCATCTACTACACCCTCAAGCACATCTGCCTCACCTTTGGCGCGAGCTTCAGCCGACTCCGACCACAATGGTATACCTACATCTTCATCAGCTGCGACTTCCTCAGCATTGTGCTTCAAGCCGCAGGAGGAGCTGTGGCATCGGCGTCTGAGGACGAAAGTGTTCTGAAAATAGGCGACAACATCATGATCTCTGGTCTGGCATTGCAAGTCGTGACAATGGTCGCCTTTGCCGCACTCGTCGCCGACTATGCCTGGGCCGTGAGGCGCAACCTCTATCGGCTCAACACTGAAACAGCGGTCCTTCGGAACTCGATTCGCTTCAAGCTTTTCTGTCTCGCACTCTGCCTCTCATACACATGCATCCTGATCAGATGCGCTTATCGACTCGCCGAGCTGTCGAGTGGATGGAGCGAGGACAACAAGATTCTTCGCAACGAAGGACTCTTCATTGGCTTGGACAGCGTGACGTGCGCGATCGCAGCGGTGGTCTTGAACATTTGGCATCCTGGTTGGTGCTTCCCAAAAGAGCAACAGGGTACTGCAACCAAGTCTGCCTCGAGCGACAGTGGTAGCGATGATGAGAAGGTGGATGTATGATACTGCGGAAGAATCGGATTGCTCTTTTGTGTTACATATCCTGTTAGCGATAGACGAAATTATTGAATCGACATGACAACCAACGAACTACTCTTTCGCACCCACCATTCCCTCCAACAAAACCAACAACCCATACGCTCCCGGATCCGGCACACCCCTCGTCGCACTCTCATCCAAATACGTACTCCTTCCCAACTTCGCCTCCATCTTCTTCGTCCCCTCAACCCCTTCCTTCGCCTTCTCCAACGCCTTCCCAACCTCACCTCCACCCGCCAAAGTCTCCACAAAAGGAATCAGCGCATCCATCATCGTCCTATCCCCCACCCTCGCATTCGTATACTTACACAACTCGCCCAAAGCCTTCTCCAACGCTTTCGCCACACTCTCCTCACTCGCCAAACTCGACGCCAAAGCTGACGCCAAAGCTGTTAAGAAAATACAATATAGAGCTCCAGATGTTCCGCCCATATTGACTTCGAGTTCTGAAACTAGATCTGCTAATGTTTCCGGAAGTCGAGAGAGATCTTTGTCGGAGATGAAGGTTAGGACTTGTTTTGCTCCGTCGCGGAGGGTGTAGCCGCAGTCGCCGTCGCCGACAATGGTGTCGTATTCGGTTATGGTGGGTTCGGCGGTGATGACGGCGTTGCAGGCTGAGGTGATGCGGGAGCGGATTGTGGAGTCGCTGAAGGTGATCTTGGATTGGGAGGGTGAGAGGGTTTTCTTGAGGGCGTCGGGGTCGGAGGAGGCTGTGGCGCCGATGGGTTTGTGGGGTTGGGGAGAGGGTTGAGGGGAGAGGAAGTGTTTGGGCAGCGGGCAGATCGAGATGGAGAAGCCGCGGGCTTGGTCGGTGTGGTTGAGGATTGTGGAGTGAGAGAGGGTGTAGTGCAGCTTTTGAGAGCCTATTTGGATGCGAAGTCAGTGAGATTCTTGTTGAGAACACGAGATCGAATCATCTTACTCAGGTAGTTCGCGATCTCGCCTGCAATGATGTAGTTCTCCAACCTACTCAAGCCGTTCACATCTGAATAATGCACTGAGTAAACAGTCTCTTCTCCTGGTGAGCCATGGTCCTTGAGGACGTGCTTCAGATCCCTTTCAACAGCATGCTTTGCCTTTTCAAAGGCTTGTGCACCATCCACATGCAGAACAGCCGGGTTGCCTTCTGCCTTTTCGGTATGGAATTTCGAATGTGCCGTGCTTGCATCCTTGACAAAAGCCTTCAGCAGATCCGAAATATGGTGAGGGTTGCTGCGCGTGGTCTCGGTAGCATGTGCTAAGAGGTGCAATACATGGTCTTGTTCCAATTCGGAACTCAGCTCAATCTCCAACACATCAGGTTGATGTGCTTCCACGTTCTTCTGCTTGCCACCTCGGACCACGACAACTCCTTGTGATACCTGGATACCAGCGGATTGTAGTGCATGCGGCAGATCTGTGGCGTGCAGAACGCCAGCGCCTCTCTCCTGAGTGATAATAGCTGTCACATATTTGTCGTCCAACAGCTTGCTCGAGAAGTTTCCTGATGTGCCGACTGCAACTACGTGAACATATTTGCCTTCTGCCTTGGCTGTGTCTACAAGGATGTGCTGGCCTTTCTGGGTCTGGACGGTCTTTATTGAAGGTCGGATGAGGGGAAGCAGTGTGTTCCAGCGTGTTGCATTCTCAAGATCGAGAGTAGATGAGGAGAAGGGTATCGTCTGTTCAACAACGACTGCCATATTTTGGTACTCGTTGTATTCTTTGATGATGTTGTCGTTGTCGACAGTCTTTCACCAAGCTAAGAGAAAGATCCTACCTGTGCTTCACAGCGGTGCCATGCTACATAGTGATCGTGCAGTCAGTGCTTGCTCGATGAGGGGAAGACGAGAGCTGATACTTGATTCCACGGATTGCCTAAAGTGGACATCCGATCCCGAGAAATCGGTCAAAAGCCGACGATACGGATACTGAGCTCATGCTGGAGACGAAACTCCAGACTTCGAGCTGTCTGTCGGTGATGAGAACAGTCTTGCACTTCCTTCGATGCGGAGAATCTCCACAACGCTTGCTATGGGGTTTTGTGTTTATGCAGGAACAGCAGTCGACCGTGGCCAGCTCTTTCCGGTGGTAAGGATCCAGGGGCCTCGGATGGAGGGGTATTGGCGGGGCAATGTTGTGGTCGACAACTGGTGAAATAGTGATCACTAAGAGACATATCTTCCAGATCAGCATCGATATCCTCTCGTAGTTTCGTGCTCTTTGCCTACTGCACGCAAAAACGACGCACGATCGTGTAGCATTGACGACGTCTCGCGACTGAGCAAGTCCGAGTTCCGCCTAGCAGCTGTCCGAGCAACCTGAATATTGGACAAAACCGACATCGACCTCTACTCCTGAAAGGCTTTGTTGCACTCGCAAACCATGGCATCGCAAGCTCTACGCGACAAGCAGGCGCCACTGAAAGCCTCGTACAAGGAAGATGCATCGGCTGCACTCATCACGCTCAAGGCCTCCGGGAGTCTCGACTCCAGCAGCGTGACTTGCAAGCTCGACACCGGCAAGCAAATGGCCCAAGCTCAGGAGAGAATCGCGGGCTTGCATCCCAAGTCTGGCGGTGATGGTTTCGAGATCTCTGGCGAGCTCTGCTCCGGAGATTTGCTCCTGGAAGCGCTCGTGGCTTGTGCCGGGGTCACGTTGAAGGCGGTGGCTACTGCTATGAACATTCCGATCACGAGTGGAACAGTGCGAGCAGAAGGAGATTTGGACTTTCGTGGGACAATGGGTGTGGACAGAGACGCGCCTGTGGGCTTCAAGGACATCAGACTGTCGTTCGACCTCAAGTTCGAGCCAGGAGAAGAGGTTTCAGATGAGAAGGTCGAGAAGCTGGGGAAACTGACTGAGAGATACTGCGTTGTTCTACAAACTCTGGTGAAGAAGCCGCAGATGAGCGTGCAAATGCGAGGTAGTCAGTTGGACGCCGAAGACGGCATTGAAAGGAGTACAATTTGGGGCGCTAAGTGCTGAGTGCAAATTGGTGGCCGGTCGTCATCGCACAAGGCAAGGAGTCTTTCCCGGTTAGAGGTGGTCGCGCACAGATGTCGACGCGTCTTGTATGGAAAAGGCAGACCTCCGTGATCAGTTTGATCAGTATTGCAACGCTCGATGGTATTGGAAATTTGAACGAGGTGCCGCGGGGTGGCTTGAGACAAGCAGAACGCGTCTCAGGCAATCCCTCTCCGAGATGTCTTCGTGACACATTGTCTCTCGCGGTGAGGTTGTTGTCGGAATCCATGACTCGCTGCACGTTCTTACCTTGGCAGCGATATTAAACAATGCACTCTGAGCGCGTGCAGTAACACAGAATCCTGCGGCGTGTGCCGGCGGTCGGCGACGTTCATGCAAGTGTACCCCCAAATCTGTTGAACAGGTACCATCAAACGGGACTTTCGCATGCTGTTGACGCGGCTGTTGTTGTCGGTACCGCAGATCGACGGTGACACGAGGTGAAGGGTATCAGTGCAACGCCGTTTTGGCAAGTTGGCAACCTTCTCTGCGCTGCACCGGCTGGCGGTATTATCAAGACGCAGCACGCCTTCCGTGCGATGTCACCCTACCGTGAGCTGCTATTAGTAATGTGAAAGTTGGAGCAGGCATCAATTGTGCCTAAAGTTTTCCAGCTCGGCACGACTTTGCGGTCCGCAGATGAAACGCGCGGGTGGCGGCCCTGCCGGTCGTTCTTTGACTGGTCAGAAGCGAAATGGGCGAGAAAGTTCGTGGCTCGCTGACGTGCAGCAGCAGAGTCGGCTCGCATTGTCTGCATCTCGGACGATCCTGGCAATTCTTGCCCATGTTTTGCAATATCGCAGCAACGCTGGCCCTGTTTATGAGAGCAGCAGGTGCATTGCCAGTGCAATGTACGAGCCGCCAGATCGGGACCGGATGTACGAGTAAAGGCAATAGTGTGAGCGCGTATCGCTGTACAGCTAGTCTTGCTAGGGGTATCCTAACTTCCGCTGCGAGCTCCGAGGGCTGGCTTGCCACCGCGCTGCACCTCTGTCGCCACAACAGCGGCGTTTATTCTCCGCCAGCTCGGGGGGCAATCAGAGGGCAATCGTGCAAGGCGCGACACCTCTCAGCCCGCACGAGCTGACAATGGCAGGAAGATGGGAATGCGCGCGGCGAAGATAGATAGACGCGCAGGCCTCTCGGTTAGAAGAAGCCGAGAGGAGCAATGCTTGGGATGCAGATCAATGCACGGTCTCTCTGGGCCATTGCGAATCACAGCGCCAACGGGGGATGCGGGCAGAGCGGACTAGACAGGGCCAGCGGAGCGCGAGCTGCAACGCAGGCGCAACAAGCGACTCGAGACTGGCGCGGCGGCGGATGATAGGTGAGGGCATGATGGTGCAAATGGCCTGCCCGCAGCAGCAGACGGCCGCGAGAGCGACCAGCTCAAAGCAGTTAGGTTTGCGTGAACGTCTTGTGAGTCTGACGTATGGTTGCGTAGCATTGCGGCAGCGGACGTCTCTCAACGACTTTGGGGCGGCAGCACCGTGTTCTTCCATTGCCAGCACCGCTCTCTATTGTCTCCTCCCCGTGCTCTTATTACTGTATCATCCTCACCAGCGCGCCGCCTTCTGGAAGCCTGCAGCAACGTGGCAGAAGTGGAGGCGTGGATCCTCGTCAGCGCTCCAGAGAACTCTGTTGTTGCACTGGGCCTGGCACATCGGCCGTCGAGTCGCGGAACGGGTACCTGAACAGCAGCGTATCCACCCATCTCCACTCGCAGAAGCGACAATCTTCTTTCGACATCACGGCAGACATCACCGCGAGCGCTCGCCGCAGAGAAGTGCGCAGGCGTGCACCGCAAGGCCTGCTCGCTCGCTGGGCAGCGTGTCATCACAGCGCGTCGACGGCGACGAGGATTTTGTCCTGCCGCGAATCACCCGCGAGGAAAGAGCTTGGCGCGCGGAACGGCAACTTACAACCTCGACCTCCGTCAGGCCGTCTGTCACGCTTTCCCACAACAACCCAGCATCCACCTCACTCCATACCGCACACACCCACCACTCCTCTGCCCGCCCGCCAG